CATCGATCTGATGACACCGTGCGCGATGAAAGTAGAAAATTACCAAAGCACTAGGCGTGGTGCTGCGAAAAAAAAAAAAAAAAACCGAGGTCATCGTCGAGGTCATCGTCGATTCGGACCCGGTGATGACGGGAAGGTCGGAGCATCGGCTCCACGGCGCCGTCGAGTGGGGTTGCTGATCGGGGGTTGTGGGACTTGTTGCCCGCCGGGTGGGGTAACCGATGAGATTCTTTCCCGGCTGCAACCGGCCAGCCAACAGAGCACGGGTTTGACGATCAGCCAGGAAATAGTGTTTCGGTAACCTTTTGGCCAAATTGCTTGCTATCATGAGGTCAGACGACACAACTGAATCGGATACAATGCGACAGCAAAAAGGGAACATACCCGAAGGCAATGGCAATGCTAGAAGTACGAGCGAAAGCAGAACGGCGAGGTAATGCCTCCCTAGCGGCGAGGTCTGTACGGCAACAAACCGAACACACGTTCATGCAAAATCCCCCCTCACAAAGTGTTTGGGGTTTTCTTAACAAAATTTTGACTGCGAACTGTGCTTTTGAGGAAGTGCCTCTTCACCCCCCATTCGCTCAACGCTCTGAGATCGCATATTCACGACAACACCGAGAGATCTTGCCTCGCCTGTCACTAATGACGTACACTGAATCGCTTTTACATGTGTACATCCACGAGAAGTCTTTTACATTATACATGGCTGAGAGCTTGAATTATACATACAAATTGGACAACCTCTCGACAAGCGTTTTCCATTGAGAATCTATGCTACAACATCAGATCGTGGTGGGTGAGAGTCCGTGACACTGAGAACGCTTTGACCTTATAGGGTTCATCCGGTTCATTTCCAGATTCTTCCAAAAACCACAAGTAAATTCAACGAAACAGGTTTCCGAACTTCCGACCGGGAATACTCTCGGGGACTCGGTGGCCACCTGATGCGAAAGCTGTTCTGCTTGGTAAGTTGTTCTGACTCAAAAAGAGTGCATACTCAAAGGTGATGCGGCAGTCGGAGACCAAAAGCAGGCGCGCAGAGTTCATCTCTTGCATGTTGGAAACCTCAGAAGTCTAATTATGCACATGTCGCTCATTTCATATGCAAACCTCTGTTTACATGATCTGGAGCGTTATCTAAAGCACGCAATCGAGCATCACCAGAGCAGTCATACATATGCATGCACTGCTCGACGCCCGCCTGATTTTATGAATCTCTGCCCGCAAAGCTCAGACCATCGGTTCAGACGGAGAAGTCCGCACCAGACCTGGTTTTCGTCGCTTCTGTAAGGAACAGAGCTCTACTATCGATGAAAAAGATGGTTAGACATAACGTTGTTGGTTTGGAGATCGACGGAACATCCCCACGTCGTGAGTGCCTGTCGACAATGGCACAGCCTGAGACCTGCATAGAACGAGCGAAAGGGGATTCTGGAATCCAACGCCCATGCACTCACTTGGTTTCAATGGCTCCGAAACGGGCAGTTCTCCAATCTTGCTATTCCAAGATACCGTCCAAAGTCCACTTGTGAGGCTGAGGAGCAAAGGTGTTCTGTGACACGGCCATTGCATATGACAGTAGATCTTGGAATGCTAGAGACACGCAGCAAAGAGGTGATGTGGAGAAAGGGCGATGTTAGTAGATTGTAGCTTGTGCCAAAGAAACTCCCCAATAACACTAACAAAAGCCAAGCTTCGACCAGGAGCTCACGCATAGCACACTAACATGACCCCATTTTCGGGAGCACTCGTTTGGAATCCTCTGGTAGACGCGTACTCATGTAGAACTGACGTTATGTTGAATGCATTCTGAACAGGTCCATCGACCACAAAGCCCCGATAAACACGGCAAATCGCCGGATTGAAAGAATGACGAGGCGGAAGATGGAGAACTATGACTTGATCACAGAGCAAGTCGGGATGGTGTCGATGTCTGTTTTTGTTTTGTTTGGGTCCGTTCACTTTCGTTCTTCATCCCCTCTTTGGCTCCTTCCCCAGCGGTTTCTGTGCAACCTTGGCAATCTGACAACGTTGCCGCTCGGCCATTTCTCCTCACCCGAACTCATTTTTTCCTGACGCCAGCTGCCAGTCGAGGAACTCCACGCCGGGTCTGTAAAGTGATGGAAGGGGTCTTCATATTGACCTCCGTTGGTTTTCTTGTCTTCCCGATACCTTCCAAGTGTAAGTTTACGCCGGTTTCCAGTCCCGAAAATCGTTGCTCGCTAGGAGATGAGTCGCGAAACTGCCACTAAGCTCGATCGTGAATGCGGATACTTGGACTTGATTACAAGTAGCTACTAATTCCATCTACGCCTCTGACGTTGAGCATTATGTACCCCTTACGTTTCTGCCTTCTCAGTCAAGGTCCAAGCAATAGCAGGAACCCGTCGCGCTTTCGCCGGAACTCTCACTCGAACTGATGTTGTTTCCAGACATCAGGTCTTCTGGCCCATGGCTCGAAAGGTACCTGAGCTGGACGCTCGTTGTCTGTTGGCAGTCCTGTTTACGACGGCAACGACTGAGAGGCTCAAGAAGACATTGGCTTAGATCACTGTTTGCTGGCGTTCGAATAGGTAGTCAGTTCCTGGAAACCATGACCACAAAGCCGTCAGAAACAAAATCGATGGAAGTGTCCGACAGAGACAGAGTGGTCGTTGGCTGCACCTGTACACAGTAAGATCTCTGTTTACACACACATGAAAGTACAACAGCCCTTAGAGGCTCCGGCTTGCTACAGTTGGAATACAATCAAAATACTGTATACTTCAGAAAACAGTCAAGACCACAGCTTCCAGCAGACCACAGCTTCCAGCAGACGACTTGTTTACCTATTATCGTTGGTCGTAGTATCAAGCAAGAGAAAAAGTAACGTAGTCAGCTAACCATAAATGGCCCTCCAGTCTGCATCTGGCTTCCCAACTGTATCTGTCGCTTTGCTTTCCCTTCACATTTCGCAGCCGTTGAGACTGGACAAGACCTGTGGTAAGGCGGAATTGATGGGAAACCCAGCTTCTACATGGCTTCCGGCTCACCTCTATGTTAGACTTGAATCATCAGTGGACATTGCGTTTTCCATGGGTTGTACCTGCTTGTTATCTTCCCGCAGAGCAATCAATTGCACCGCGTCTGCGATCAAGAAGGCTTCTGGTTCTCCAACAACCGCTGGGAGTTGACGAGATGCAAAAAGCTGACTAGCAGCATAAGACTCCAAACCCGGCGCTAATGCTGAACAGGCAGTAAATTTCTGCGTGGTATACCCGCTCAGTTCTGTTTGGGTCAATGTAACGAGAAGAGAGTATTGAAAATCCAAATGGCGACCTGAGTGGTTGGTCGCCGCCCACTTTCCAGCCTGGGGGAGGGGTTTGTGACAGCAGGGATAATTAAGATTTGGACCCCCGTGCTACGTGTTTACTTGGGCGTTTTTTTTTTTGCTCAGGAAAGCCCATTGGGGCCAAATGGAATGTCTGCCAATCAGAGCAGTGGACGAATTCGAGGAACCGAGACGAAAGGTTCGCTTTCCTCCCGTGGAGATACCTGGTACCTAGAATAGCGGAGCACTAGTGGACACTACCCTCCACAGGTTTCCCACCAGGCACACTGTACCTGCCCCAGCACGCCCGCTCCCACACTCGGCAGGGCCCCAACACTCGTGGGCCTACGGCGCCAGTAAAGACGACTGAAGTTGTAGGTAGGCCTGGCTACCAGGTACACTAATGGAAGGAAGGTACCTACCTTACTGTGTGTGTGATGATGCGGAAACCGAAACGGTCGACCGGCCGGGCCTGTTGTCTGTTTTCCTCAGTCCGTCCAGTCTTCGCCTAGTACCCGTCTGTCTATCCATCCGACCCCGGGCTCTCCATCTCGACTTCCCGTCCTCGCTCCTCACCACCACCGTGACCTAAATCCAGCCGGGCCCCGTCCTCCCTCTCCCCAGCTCTTCCCACTTCAGTTCCTTCGCTTTTCCTTTCCCCGACTCCCTCTATCCACCCACCTCCCCATTTCCTTCTCCCACCTGCACGCTCTTGGCATCGGAGGTGCATTTGCAAGGACGGAAAGCAGGTTCCTGTGAGGTTAGTTTGAGAAAGAGAAGGTGAGTGTACGCTGCAGTGGGCTGCGCTGGACTCGCAACTCGAGCAGCCGTCTGAACGGGGGTCACTCCTAAAAATTTTGCGGGTGAGCTAATTCCTCGACTTCAATCTCTTAGAACCGACCACTGCAAGCAGTACGCAGTTTATTCACCCATTACGCGACGAGACCAACTACTATTTCACTTTACCTCTTATCCGATCATCCATTCACTTGCATTGGTTGCCCAGTTTCCCCTTGACCACTATCCCGGGGAAATCGACAACGCAGAACAAGAGTCACGACTTGGAGCTCCATCTTCTGGTTTTTCCTGTCTCGGCTGGGTCTTTGTCACAAGGAGACCGATCGAACCTCTCGCTGTTCCGGCTCATCTTGCATGTGCTCTGCCTCGATCACACCAGGCCACGCATTGGAGCTGCATTGCGTCCTCGGTTCTGCATAAGATAGCGCTTGGAAGACCTCGATTCCAGCTGTGGTCATTCTTGGGAAGCGCTGCGTCAAGAGGACATACGCATGAGACTGGACACGGCGTGATTGCACCTTGGGAAAGCACACGTCTCAGCAGCTTTCGCCTCTTGCTGTTTGGGCACATTTTCAGCGATTTTTATCTGCACACATACAAGTAGTCGGACTCTCCCCGACCTCTCGATTGGAACTGCTATTCTTTTACCTATTTCCGTTTGTTTAACAGGCACTGGGACTACAAGAACCGAACGAACCCACGACAACCCACATCAGTACCAGCTACCGCTCACCATCTAGCAGTGCTCGACACAAGCATCACATTCCCACTACATCAACGCACATACGGCCCCACACTCTCGGGACCCTCGTTGCCCGACATTTCCCCCAGCCATCAACTCCCTGGTCCAACGGGTCAGCAAGGCTCAGGATCAGAATCCTATCCGACCATGAACCCCAACGGACCATCCGACGTCTACTACGGACAGATGTCCCAGGGTAGTTCGATGCCCGTCACGACGGTGCCTTCCCACTCCCATTACCCTCCTCAACAGCCCCCGCCGCTTTCCACCTATGCTCACCAGTATGGCAACCCCCAATACGGATACGCCAATGCTCTTAGCTCCCCGGCCCCGATTCCGCCGTCTCTTCCTCCGTCCATGAACTCGATGGCCGGCCAATCGGTCTTGCCCCTTCCTGGCAGCAGCAGCATGGGACAAGCTTACCAAACTGGTGGTTTCGACACAACTGGTCAAATTGCGCCCCCCGGCATGAAGCCTCGTGTGACTGCCACGCTGTGGGAAGATGAGGGCAGTCTGTGCTTTCAGGTCGAGGCGAGAGGCATCTGTGTTGCTCGCAGGGAAGACAATGCCATGATCAACGGCACCAAGCTGCTCAACGTCGCTGGCATGACCCGCGGACGCCGTGACGGTATTCTCAAGAGCGAGAAGGTCCGCCACGTTGTGAAGATTGGCCCGATGCACCTCAAGGGTGTCTGGATCCCCTTCGAGAGAGCCCTGGATTTCGCCAACAAGGAAAAGATCACCGAGCTTCTTTATCCTCTGTTCGTACACAACATCGGCGCCCTGCTGTACCACCCTACCAACCAGAGCCGGACCAGCCAGGTTATGGCCGCTGCTGAGCAACGCAGGAAAGACAGCCAAGGTCAACTTCGCGGCCCCCCCGGGTTGCCATCCCTCCAACAACATCACCATCACTCTATGCTTCCAGGTCCTCCGTCCTTGCCCTCGCATCATGGCATGGGACGGCCGGCGCTTGACCGTGCACACACCTTCCCTACACCGCCAACTAGTGCCTCGAGCGTGATGGGCTCTATGGGCAATTCGGACGGCTATCAGTGGAGCCAACAGAGCATGAATGGCCCGCAGGGCAACAGCTCGATCTCTCTTGACACAAGCCTCGGTAGCAATGCTCGCTCTATGCCTAACACTCCAGCGACAACTCCCCCAGGTTCGACAATCCAGAGTATGCAAAACTACCCTCCCGTCAGCCAGTCATATGACAGCTCTCGCCAGATGTACCAAGGACATTCTGCCCAGCAAGCTCAGTACCAGAGCCAACAGCACTATCCTAGCCAATCCCAGCATCAGGACCGGTCCGTCTACAACCAGAGCAGCTACATTAAGAACGATATGGGCCCGCCCTCCGGTAGACCTACCGGCCAGTCCAATGACACATCCGACTCCAAGCCGCCTAGTGGCTTGAGTCACCAGAGCCAAGGGCAAAGCGACTCCGGTGCTCATGCAGGCTCCGAAGAGGAGGATGACGCGAACAACGATGGCGAGTACACCCACGACAGCAGCGGCTATGACGCGAACCGCGGGTCATACAACTACAGCACACAAGCCGTCAACTCGCTGCCGCACGACCACGGTCTTGCCCCTGAGATTGGTGGCTCCCCCCATCAGGCTGGATCAGGCCGCGCTACCCCAAGAACCGCAGCGGCGCCTCCGAACTATTATTCTGCGCAGGGTTACCATACTCCCCCGCGCGGCCAGCCCTCAAGCAGCTTGTACAATGTTATGAGCAACGAGCGAACCGGTAGCAACGGTACACAAGGAAATGACCTGTATGCGGGCGCGGCTGATATGCCTAGTTCCCTGCAGAACGGCTACTCCGCTCAGCCATCCGTTATGAACGGAAGCTCCGGTGGGCTGAAGCGGGGACGGGACGATGATGATGATGGCGGTAGGCCTACGACCGGCGCCCCTAACCTGGGTCAAGGGAATGGACATGAAGCGCCGCAAGACTATGATGGACGGAGGCAGCCTCCCATCACCTACGTACACGGCCACTATCTCGCAAGCCGCACCATCAGCTATCGCGGCCCAGAGGCGGAGGTAAACATTGAGTGAGAGAGCATGCCCGAAACTCTCACCTACACGGCGCACCTATACGGCGCACCTTCACACACAGCGCACCTAAACAGCGCATTGTTTTGTATTTTTCACGGCGACATAGAGCGACTTGACGGAATTTGCAGTCGGCTGGCTGTCTCGGCAACGTCTCAACGATCTACGATTTCTCAGTTTCAGTGTCCTGATGATGGCTTGTACATGGCTCATGAATCATGTGGATCCGCATAAAGATTATGATAGCCACGGGCACCTTTCCTCTCCGATCTTGTCTTGTCTTTTAGACCAGATGATAGACGATGGGGCCCGGTGGTTTACGAGAAAACGTCGCATCGAACCCGCCTATAACGAACCTAGGCGGGGGAGGAGGAGAACAATTAAGAGGGGTCGGAAAAGGGCAGTTGGTGGTGAGTAATCAGGCGTTGGACTTGGTACCAGCGATAGTTTGTCACCTACCGTCTACCTTGGGTGAGCTGCCGCGACCCCTCTCGAAGTGTCTTGTGGCGGTTTCTTTCTCTTTTGTTTTTTATGACGTTTTCACTCATGTTCGGCTTGATGACGCTTATGACCTTTATGTTATGATTTTTGTTCGATTAAAAAAAGGGTGGGACGGGAGTGGGTGTTGATGAGAAGCGTGGGAGGTGGTATGCTTCTTTTTCTCTCGTCTGATTTTGGCTTGGAAACACATGGCTCGGTGGGTTGCCTTTCTCTGGGTCACGACTTTATGATGGAGCTTGTAAATACGACTTTAGAGGAATATCATCAATGCATGCCCGAGTTGAGTGGTGCCTGAGGAGCCTTGGGTTAGCCTTCATCACTCAACTCTTTTTAACGTATACACATTGGAGATCCATCAGATCATGTGCTGCCGTGGCGTTTTTCAGTGCCGGGACGTGACACTACTTATGCTAACAACAACGGAAAGGTGAAATCTAGCGCAAGTCAAGATACGACGGGCAACCGTAACACAGCAACGCACGTCCTTCAATTGACTCGGACAGGCTCACATAGGACCAGGCACGCCAGGGGCAAGATGGGCAAGATTGGGCAGATCGATGCCCTGCGGAAGTCAGGGTTCCGGTAGGTACGAAGCTCAAGCTCTTCCAGGTTTCGCGTACCGTAGTGTATGTACGGGCAGGTAAAAGCCAGCATCAACCTCAAGGAGGTACCTGCTAGGCCGTTAGCACGACGGGAGCACAAGGTTTCCATGCCAGCCGGGCAGGCTCGCCAGGCCCCCCCCCCCCCCCCCATTTTTAGAGGGGACACACACGGCAGCGTGACCCAGCAGGCGCCTGGCAGCGGTTGCATGGGAAAACAAAAGAAACAAAACACAATGCTGCAGGGGCAACGCTCAACGCAACCTAAGTACCTACAACAAGTCTATTGATCTGGACGTCAATCGCAGCCCACACTTTGCTCATTTCCTGATCAACGTTTCCCACACTGAATCCATAATAACCATCGACCGCGACCTACACCAGCTACCAGCTTCATCCCCCACTATTTTCAAGTCTGACCAGGGGATTATCTCGGGGACTTGTTGTAAGGTACGCCACGGTTGGTCCACGCCCCGGTTTACGACTCTGCGACGCAGACATATGCTTGGGGCTTTTTCGCCGATACCGAATTCTGTTCTCAACCTTTCAACCCCTATCAATAACCATCGACAACCAATCCTCGACATCATGGACATGGATCTAGATGACGCTCCCTCGAGGAGAAACAACACACACCAAGCTACCGCGGGCGACCACATCGACGACAGCAAGAGCAGTGAAGCTGGCACCGCGACATCGCCGCCTATCGGCCGTGATCCCTCGCCGCCGAAATCTGTCCGCCCCATGTCGCGCATCATCTCCGGCAACGAGCTCTCCCCTCTCAAGATCCTCCAGCACCAGCCGCAACAGCAGCCATTGCCTGAAAGCGCCGACTCCCCTCTATCGCCTGCGGCAAAGAGCATGGCCCCGCCCCCGCTTCCGCAAAGCGCCCGCAAAGCTCCCATCAAGCGTTTCCCCGTCAAGGTCAGCCCTTCGTTGCCCGGCAGCGAGTCGACGCGCTCCTCTTCAAGAGACTCGCAAGATCGTCGGATAAGCCTGCAGGATGTGATACGCGAAAACGGAGGCATCAAACAAGCAATCGACATATTCGAGGATGACGATGTCGACATGACCGGCATCGAGGGCGACAACGGTTCCAAGCACTCGCTTCTACAGAATGCGTCGGCAAACAATACGGGCGGCGAACATGAACAGGCGATACACGACGAATCCGTCTGCGAAGGGAACGATACCATGGTCAGCACGTTTAGCACGTTTTCGGCCGTCCCCGACCTCACCAAGTTTTCGCACATGCGATCCGAGAGCGCAAGCAGGTTCTCTGTGCTCGGTGGAGGGGTGTCGCCTACGAAGCAGACACTGCACGCAAACGGCCTGGTGTCTGATAACAGAACAACGACCGGAAAGAAGAGAGATTTCGACTCTGGCAATGGCTCGAACCTGCTAGACTTTACGGATACGCTACGATATGGAGGCTACGGAGCACCACAGACCTCGCCCACACGCCGCACCCAGTTTGCACCGCCGAGGCCTGGTAGTACCGATTCTGCCACCACGACGCCCCAGCGCCCGGGCAGCAATCTCTCTAACATTCTCGACTTCGACATCCCACCTATGCCGACACCTCGCAGCGTCCCGACCATCACACCTCGCGAACTCGAAACTCTGAAATCCGGCTTCCTTTCCGAGATCAGCAGCCTCAAGGCTTCGCTGAGCGGCAAGGAAGCAGAGGTTACGTCGTTAAAAACAGCTGTGAGCGACGCCGAGAAGCGGGTGGGCGAGTGCATGGAGAGGCTTCACGAGGTGGAGAGCAGGCACGAGTCACTGGAAACCGAGAAAAACACATGGGAGCGGCGGGGTCGAGAAATGGAGGTCGTGTTGCGGCAGGTCAAGGAGCAGATCGTGCTCGGCCAGCGCGAGAGAGAGGAGCTCGAGTTCAAGCTGGACGAAGCCGAGAAGCGTCGGGAAGCGGCCGAGATGATGGCTCAGGATGCCGAGAGCAAGATGGCTGGTATGCGTGCTGGTAAGGCCAGCGCGGAGGCTGCTGCTCACGAGTCACCTGACAAGGCGAGGGGACAGCCTTCGTCCAACAAGGAGGTGGAGATGGCGGTGGAACGCGTGGCTCGCGAGCTTCATGCGCTGTACAAGAGCAAGCACGAAACCAAGGTGGCGGCGCTCAAGAAGAGCTACGAAAGTCGCTGGGAGAAGAAGGTGCGCGACCTGCAGGCGCAGGTGGATGAGTTGAGCCGGGAGAACGAGGAGCTGCGAAAGCAGAGAGACCAAGACAAAACGGCGTTGGCGACCCTCAACCCGGCGCGGCTTACAGAGCTGGAGGAGGAGCGCAAGGCCGACCGGGCGCGGAATGCGGTGCAAATCAGGGAGTTCGAAGCCGAGGTAGAAAAGCTCGTGGCTATTCTTCAGACTGTCAAGGAAGATAATGATGAACTTCGGCAACTCCTGGAACAGGAAAGGGTCGAAAAGGGAGAACTGGTTCGCCTGGCCGAGGAGATGATGAGCATGCAACAAGAGCTGCCGACGCCCGCGCCCGCACCTGCATCCGCACAAAACAACAACTACCTGTCGAGTACCGGTGGCCCGGGGCCCTTCCGACCGTAGAGGAAGCGATGTCAGCGCCACCAGCAACGGCGACAGCGGTCATCATGCGCCGCAGCCAGTGAGCATGACCTCCAAGATCGGAGCGAAGCCAAGACTCGGCCTCGGAGGTGGACCGGGAGCCGTACGCGCGCCAACAAAGACACAGTCAGCATCCGGAATTGCTCCTCCATCGGGTATGGAGGGGGCTTTCCGGGCCGGTGGTGTCGGACGTCCGACCAGCATGAGGGCCCCGGGTGGCAATGGCCTGGGACTGAAGGCCTCGGCGGGGAGCAGAATCGGCGGGCTTGGTGGCGGTTTGGGTCACGGAAGGGCCCAGAGCGCCACGACATCAGGGCCAAATGGCGTGAGTGGATTGCCGCGGCCTGGGTCAGGAATGGGATTGAGAGGTAGCGGGACCTTGGGTGGTGGTGGTACGGGTGGCTATCGGGGACACTGAGGAGGTGTGACCAAGCCTACTATGAGTACTACCCAACCTCTTGTTATGAAGGTTTTGAAGCCGCAGCAGCATAAAGGAGGTGGAGAGGGCGGCAATGGGGAGGTTGCGATGACAACCACCACGGCAACCAAAACGACAGCGAAACGAACTGATGCGAAATGAAATGTGTTCAGATTATCTTCTTTTGACTTTTTCTACATTATATCCACATACACCTTATTCTGTCTTTTTGTCTGGCTAGGTCAAGGGGTGAGCCATCTTTTTGGACAGTCCCAATAGGACTGGCTGGTGGAAGGATGAGACGGAGTAGTACAATTCTGATTTTATTCTCTACCGTCCTTGCCTCTCTTCTACATTATATATAGGATCGGTGCCATAGATACATACCCTTTGCTTCAGCGATGTTACTCCTTTTATACTCTTCACCAAATGATCTTTAATGTTCTGCTGTGATGTGCCGTGTGAGCACCGCTCTGGTTATGAGAACCAATGTTGTCCCACGTCTATCACAAACGAATTTACATAGATTTCAACCTCGACCCTGACATGGTTTCACTTATATCACTATGAAGGAAGATTGTTGCTCATCAGATCATATTTCTCTCTACGATTTACCGACATAATTCAGAGGAACTAGATGGGATGAAAATCATTCACTCATAAATCTAATATCATCCCAACCCGGCCTTTTCCCACCCGTTTTTTTAGCCCCTTTTACCAAGTAAACCCTTTCAAGCCATTACAGTAACACCCCACTTTTAAAGATCCAACTTCTCATGCTTAAACCTCCTCTTGCCCTCTCCCTCACCATAGACCGCACTAACATGTCCCTGCCCCCTAATCTTGTACTTGTAAATCATCAACCCTTCCAGGCCGACAGGACCGCGCGAGTGGATCTTGTTGGTGCTGATACCGACCTCGGTGCCGAAACCATAACGCATGCCGTCCGCGAAGCGAGTCGACGCGTTCCAGTACGCGCCGGAAGCGTCCACGGCCGACATGAAGCGCTCGGCCTCGTCCTTGTCGGAAGTCAGGATCGCCTCGGTGTGGTGCGAGCCGTGCGTGTTGATGTGGTCGATGGCGGCCGACAGGTCGGGGACGGTCTTGACGGCGAGGGTGAGGGAGAGGAATTCGGTGTCGTAGTCGGCGTCAACGGCGTCGACAACGGTGATGTTGCTAGAGGAAGAAGAAAGGGCGGCCTTGGAGACGGCGTCGCAACGGAGCTCGACGCTCTTGGCGGCCAAAGCGGAGGCGACGGCGGGGAAGATGGTGCTGAGAGCGGATTCCTGGACCAAGAGGGTCTCGACGCTGTTGCAGGCGGCCGGGTAGCTGGTCTTGGCATCGACGACGACGTCGGCGGCCAGCTTGGCGTCGGCGGAGGCGGTCAGGTAGATGGAGCACAGGCCGTCGGCGTGGCCGAGGACGGGGATCTTGGTGTTCTCCTTGATGTAGCGCACCAGCTCGTTGGAGCCGCGGGGGATGACGAGGTCGATGTCGCGGTCGAGGGCGAGCAGCTGCGGGATGGACTCGCGCGTGGTGACGAGCTGGATGGCGGCATTGGGGACCTTGGTCTGGGACAGGGCGTTGGAGATGACGGTGCTGATGGCCACGAAGGATTCCGTCGACTCCTTGCCGCCCTTGAGGATGGCCGCGTTGCCGGACTTAACGGCCAGAGCGGCGATGTTGGCGATTACTTCGGGACGAGCCTCGAAGATGATGAGCAGCACGCCGATGGGGCAGGTCACGCGCTCCAGCTCGAGATCGTCGTCCAGCTTGGTACGAAGAGTGACCCGGCCGACGGGATCCTCAAGGTCGCGCACGTCCAGGATGCCCTTGAGCATGTCCTCCCACTTGCCCGTCTTGCCCAAGTCGAGGCGCGACACCAGGCTGGCGCTCAGCTTGCCGTCAGCGGCGGCTTGGCGGGCCAGCTCAAGGTCGCGGGCATTGGCGGCCAGGATGTCGTCGCGCGCGGCAGTCAGGCCGGCGTGGATGGCTGTCAGGGCGTCGTTGCGGGCCTCGGCCGAGAGCGTGGCCAGCACGTGGGAGGCCGACTTGGCCGCCCGAGCCGCATCGGCGGGACTTGCGTTGGTGAGAGACATTTTTGTGCTAGATTCCTAGTGTGATGAACTGATTAGTTATATGAGATGAAACACTTGTGTGAAGTTGGTGATGCTGTGGATGTAACTCACTTGAGTAACACACTTGAGGCGAGAAAGTGGAGTTTGACTTACAGAGAGACGGGGAATAAGGTAATGACAATGTACTTACCGTTGCGGCGGGTGGTGTACGGGGTAACAAAGTTTTGACTCAAGGTCCCGCTTCTCGCTAGGTACGGGGATCCAATCCAGGTGTTCCGGGTGAGTCAAAGTTCTGGAACTTCAACTTCTTGGCCTCTGCCCTGTGCCCGTGTGTCTTCGGTGTTCGTGCCGTCGCAGTACCGGGAGAGGTCTTGCTATGTACGGAGCCGTAGAACGGGGGATTCTATGTCAAGGGTGCCTGTACTCCCGTAACCGGCGCCGTTCAGTGGGTGATTTCGTCGGATAGTGGAGTGAGTGCCGAAAACCCGAGCGGGAGCGGGCTGGCTCCGGAAATCGGAAGTGGGAACTGGTGGAACCAATTAGGAGCGTTTCCCACCGCCCATCACCGGGCCGTCCTCGGTGCTGCAGGTGTCTTTTAATCTTTGCATTTTCTAATTGACCCACTGCAAAGAGAACTGGAGCGGCTCAGAACGGCTCGTGCGAGCAAGAGCACCCGACTGAGCACATGAACACCGCCAAAATCGAGAAAGGGGAATTTCCACGATGTATCACATCAATTCCTAACCCCCACATCGTGTCGCCCTTTTTGGTGTCATAAGCCATCATGCGCAACAGAAAGCCATTTGCAAATGCCCGACGTCGTCACCGATGAACTACCGGCGTATGCTGTGGAAGGAATTGGGAGCCTGCTGTTCGAAACGGTTCATCCTTTTAAACTTGACACTAGTATCGAACGGCCGCATGAACATCAAAGGATTCCATGTCAAGACGGTGGATGTTCGCGGGCGCTAGAACTGACCTTACCCTCTGTGTCTCGTTCTGGAAGGCGCACCCTGGCATCGAGATTGCCATCGGCACCTTTCCCCGAAGAGCACTGAAAAAGTTGGTGAGTGCAAGTGCAATTGCAAGTGCGGTGGAATGAAACGGCTCACCCGCCCCTGCCTTTTTCGTTATTCCCGTTCCATGCCGACCAAGTTGGTCGGTGGCTTCAGGTTTTTCACAAGCTGTTGCAGTGACTGAGTCCTTCCTCGTTCTCCCTCTCATTGCGGCTTTGCTGCTCTTTCTATCTCGTTTCAACATCCTGCCTTTTGTTATCTTTGCGAGACAATTTTGGTGTACTCACCAACTACTCAGAGTTATCCACATTGGCGTGTCTCGGTATCTCCTATCTTACTCTCCCGAGTATCTTGCCGTTTCGTTTAGCTTCAGTTTTTCTTACAAGGGCATATCTTAGCTATGTACTTCCACTATCTTCTGTGGGCAACTTCACCGTTCCTTTGAGCCTTTAAGGGACAGAACTCTATCCTACAACTGCCACTCGAGACCATCTATAACTTTGTAATAGTCCCCGGGTTCCACCCATACTCGGAGTTGCTTGGCGGCTTCAAGTATTCCCCCCCCCCCTTATTTATCCTCAGATCACCACCAAACATTGCCATGGACGAAGGACATCAAGAAAAAGAATTACCAAGGCCAGCGGCTCCCACTGATACACAGGAAACCCTCTCAGGGGGTATGGAGGAAAAGAAGGACATGAAGGAGCATATAACCTCTTCGGGCTCTGATACCGACGGACCTGAAGTTGTCGATGACTCCGGTCATGAATCAGGTCCAGAGCACAGCGACCCCACCTTGCCTCAGCCCTACCGTACCAAGAGTACTCTCTCTTCGTCATGGGCCCATACGGCTTGCGTTGTGCCCAGGTCAGATCGAAGAGGACTCCTGGCACGTTTTGCTTTCATTCCCGAGGTTGAGCGTCCTGTTGAGTACAAGAACAAGACAAAATGGATGATCACGGCTATTGTTGCTCTGGCAGCCGCCGGTGCCCCCTTTGGCAGTGGCATCTTTCTTCGTAAGTAACGTCGTTATGGTTACTGGTTTTGAAATTTCGCTATCCAGAGGCTGACCAACAATACCACAGCTGCTCTTGAACAGATGGCTGAAGACCTACATTCATCGCCAACTATCACCAATTTGGCAGTTGCGCTGTACATGCTGGCTATGTCAATATTTCCCCTCTGGTGGTCGTCATTCTCGGAAACGTTGGGCCGACGGACCATTTACATCGCCTCTTTCACCCTGTTTGTTGTCTTTTCAGTCCTGAGCGCTGTCAGCGTAAATACTGCTATGCTTGTGACAATGCGTCTTCTTGCCGGAGGAGCATCAGCGTCCGTAAGTGCCTTGTACTTTCTTGAAGGGCATTGAGATGAAGACTGATTCGGACATACTATCAGGTCCAAGCCGTCGGTGCCGGCACTATCGCCGACATTTGGAAGCCAGCAGAGCGTGGCCGAGCCATGGGCATCTTTTACTTGGGCCCCCTAATCGGCCCTTTGTTTCTCCCATTATCGGCGGTGCACTTTCCCAGGGTTTTGGATGGCGATCAACTATGTGGTTTCTCGCCATCCACGGCGGTTGTATCCTGATTCTGATTACCTTCGCATTACCTGAAACGCTCACTGTTCGCAAGGCCCCCCCAACCCCGCCTGCCGAGGACAACGAGCTCAAGCGTGTCTCGACACGCCAATCTGTTGCCAAACACTCGAAGCGTGCTGCCACCATTACTAAGCGCTTTATCATTGAGCCACTCGAGGTCCTCCTCTACTTGCGGTATCCTCCGGTTCTAGTGTCTGTTTACTCTGCTGCTATTGCGTTCGGCGCCCTCTTCATCCTGAACATCTCCATCCAGACCACATTCCATTCGGCACCCTACGGTTTCTCTACCATCATTGTCGGCCTGCTCTATCTGCCCTCTTCTCTCGGCTACATCGTTGCCTCGCTTTTTGGTGGACGCTGGACCGACAAGATCATGATGCGCGAGGCCCACAAGGCCGGCCGCTACGATGCCAATGGCAACCCCATCTTCCTACCCGAGGATCGCATGCGCGAGAACATCTGGCTAGCTGCCAGTATGTATCCGGCCGCTATGATTTGGTTCGGTTGGACGGCGCACAACGGTGTCAATTGGATCGTGCCCTGCATTGCCAACTTCTTCTTTGGATGCGGGTCTATGCTCGTATTTGGTGCTGTCACGACCATGTTGACTGAGTTCATGCCACACCGGAGCAGTAGCGGTGTCGCCGTGAACAACTTTGTGAGAAACATCTTCTCGTGCGTGGGCACAATCGTCGCTCAGCCGCTTATTGACGCCATGGGTGTTGGATGGTTGTGCACCATGATCGGGTTGTTCGCGTGGTTGACTGGCAATTTGGCCATTTGGATGTTGAAGAGGAACGCGACTAAGTGGAGGGAGAGTATGGACAAGGCGTTGAACAAGAAGGCCTAAGAATATTAGCTGGTGACTTGGCTGCTGTTGTGTCGATGGTGTTTCGCACAAAAGTTACATATCGAGAGTAGGAGATGAAAAAATGATGTGAAGGGTTGAGTGTTTGCTTCTGTTGGAGAAGGGGTTATGAAGATATGATTTAATGGTTTGGTTGGATGAACGTAGACGGGTGCGGCACACGCAATAAACATTCAGCGACGAACATGTATATAATGATTCTAGTTCATAATAAGCGATATACGCCCTCAAAGGGATGATCTTGACCATCGCTCCAACATACTTTGTCTTCACCTATTATCTGGGCATCTCAATAATGTGCATTCCGAAGCCAATAAAGTTACACAAGTACTGCTGTATGTGTGGTCAACCGAGCCAGTGTATGTATACCCAGGTGTCCAAGAGGCCGCTGAAATACTATTGGTCACATCTTCTCTTCAGTCGTTCTAGATATAAAGCCATTACGACACAACCACCTATGCCATGCATGACCTTCATTGATATTGCGATCCATCTGCACTCCGTGGAAATATTAACATTGAGAGATATAAGTTCAAAATCTGCCAGCTGTAAACCATCCATCAGACAAGATTCCCTCGTGGCGCAATTGGCTAGCGCGTCAGACTGTTAATCTGGAGGCTGTAAGTTCGATCCTTACCGAGGGAGTTTGAAATTCTTTTCTACTTTTTTTTGCTTTACCTCCCTCATCATTTGCTCATGGGCGCTTGATTGTCGAGGGTGAGGCTTTGTTAGTCTTTTTGTTGCTTTCTTTTTTACAGTATATTGTGAAAGAATTTGAAGTTCTGGTTGATGGAAGTGGTGGTAACGATATGATTGCGGTTTCGGGTATCGTCATTTCGTCATTGACGAGTGCATCATGGAGTTGAGCCGGTGATGTTTACATGCTGATCAATGATATGAAAAGAAGCTGATGAGCAACGACGTGTTGGGCTCGGGAGGGGCGTGATGATGAGATCAGGCACACTCGGTTAACGTCGATCAGGTTTCCATTCTGTTCGAACATTGATCATTCCTGTGCGCAATCGATGGCATCACGCATTCACAATTTTTTTTCTTTGGTGCCAAGATGGTCATCTTTACGGCTGTCCAGCTGGCAAATCCCGTGCCGCCGCTGCCTCCGATCTCGTTTGCCTCGTGATTCGTTCGTCTTCGTTGCTTCGGAGCACGGGGAAGAAAGAGGGCAAAAAAGAGACCGGAGACCGGTTACTCATCCATATCCACGCCTTTGCCGTCGCATTTTGGGCGTAACCGAAGACCTGGAATGCTCATCAGCCAACGGAATCGATTGCCTCGACACTATCAAACTCGTCGCTGGAGTACAAAGAAAGGGATGGGTTATCTTCACGCCGTCCAGCACCTGAATGTTTGGACTGTTCAGGGGCACGTCGTGGTTGCTGGGAATCATGGCCGGGTTCTGGTGGTAAATACGTGCGGTGATGGACGACGACAACGACGTTGATGATGGTAACAGAATATAAGACGCCCGAAAAAACCGACGGGACCGAGTCCTGAAAAAGGAACCTGGAAGCTTCGTTTTTGGGCCTGGATCCTGATCGGGATGCCTTTTTGACTCGAGGTGATCCTAAATCCGACGCAGGGCAGGGCTTCCGGTTCATTCCCCCCATCCGCTCACAAAATGGAGCCAAGAACGGGGGAAAGGGCAAACTCCAGAACTGCAATTCACAGACGCAACCTGAAAGGAACGAAACCTGACTGTTGCAGCCAAATTTCGTCAGCAACGACTCGCCATGCAGGGCACAGTTATTGGCAAACGCTGCAACACCACTTCTTCATCTTGATACAATTTGGCACCCCAACAAGAACCTTTTAATAACCACATGTAACTGTCGTAGCAGAATGCGCTTGTAAATACTACCTTGTCGTAGGCCATGTCTCCCGTCATTACAATACAGCCAGGCGGGTCATCGGATTCAGGGATCGCGCCAAGACTCGGGGTACAGAGATACTTAGGGTTGGGGTTGTAGGAGTGCACATGGTGTGTTTTTGCCCTTGCCGTACTTTGGAGTAGCGCTCGTTGGATCTCATGGTCTCCCCGACACCTAATGTTCTTTGCCAGCATGAAGGCAAAACAGGTGGACGCCCGCCGCCTCAAGGCTGCTGGTGACCAGACTTTTCCAGACCTGTTCATTCTTGGTCTCCTCTTTCATTACACCACCCACACAGATGCTCATCACCACCGCATCCCCCCTGACGTTTCCAACATCGCAAGTCATCTCGCGCAACGCCGCCGCGAAGTAAAAGTGCGACGCCAAAACTCCAGCCTAGACCGGAAGACGAGAACCGACAACTGCTTGCTCTCTCCGCGTCAGCGCCCAAGAGCCAGCTGCCACCCCATCAACCACCCCATTCACATTGTGTGCGTGCCCGGTCACCGTCCAACCAGTGGATCGCCCAATTCCGAACCGCGAGCCTGGGCCAAGGTACCAACGATAAATCTATTCCCTCCATCTCGCCGACGACCCGGATTTTCTTTCCCACATCATCTTCGCTTGTTGCAACAACCAACCTTTGACCGTCTATCCATCTCTACCCATCAATCAGCCGTCAGATTATTTTTCACGACCTCACCCTTTACGCCAAACCACTCCTGAGCAATGGCTCCTCCTGTCAAGAACAGCGCAACTCCCAAAGACCGACGAAGGTCGAATGGGGTCGGCGTCTCTGTGGCCAGCTCTAATGGCGCGTCATCGAAAGTTGTTACCCTCTCCGTGACACCAAATAAGCTACGCGCTATTGTCGACCCTGGCTATGTCAAAGAGGATACACCACTTGCCAAAGAGACCAACGATTCGCCTGCCGACTCGACCGTCATCCCTGCCGTCACGAACTCAGCCGCTGAGAATGCGTCCGACTCAAACGTAAACACTCCCGCAGCCGGTACCCCGGCGCCGCAGTCCGTTCCTATGGGCCCGCCTACCGATGGACTGAAGAAGAAGGGTGTTAAGCGGGCGGCAGGTGCTGGCGTGAATGGCAATGGCGAGGCCAAGGTTCGGGGCAAGCCGGGTCCCAAGAAGAAGCAAAGGCTGTACGTGCTCTTCCCCTTCTGAATGTTTCCTCATCCAGGCCAAGACTAACAAGCATACAGAGAAGACGGTACCGTCGAGGGCGGCCGAGGCGGCTTGGCTGCACACAAACTTGGACCCAAGGCTAACATGGGCGCTATCAATGCCGGTCTCCGAGCTCTTGACCGGTCTGGCAAGCCTTGCCGGAAGTGGACCAGAGGTGGATTTACCCTCAAGAGCTTCACCGGCGTTGTGTGGGAGCTTCCGCGCTGGACCGCACCGCCGAAACCACGGCCGGAACCTACGGCAGAGGAACCCACTCCCGTTTCAGCATCCGCCGAAGGAAGCAGCAAGGAGAACATCGTTTCGGGGCAGAACACCCAAGTAAAGAGCGAGCCAAGCAACAATGGGGCGGATGTCGAGATGAAGAATGCCCCCAGCTTTGCCGCCGCCAACTCAGCCGCGCCGTCACCGGGACCGACTCCAGCCCCAGCACCTGCAGCAGCACCGACAGCCATTGCCGTATAGTCATGGCATTGAGTCTCGATCACTGCTTTGCACATTCGACTTTTCGGTTATACAAAGGGGCATAACTGTTATAGCTTGGGCATGATGGGCTGAGCAACATGGTTCGAATGTTGGAAGCATTCGAACACATGCACAGGAAAGGAAAAGGAACAGGTCATGGGGAGCTATCCCCCTACAAAAGCTCGTCTGCCGCCCGAGGTATGGAGCAACAGTTTGGCGTTTATGGCGTGTAAGCAGGGACTGCAGGATTTTCTTCCGTATGAATTAGAGGTATACATGGCCACAGCGAGGCCCGGAGTTGGCGTTTCGGTATCAGGGGGATTTCTCACGTCTGGACGACGAGTGTTGCTTACGGGCTCCGCTGGCGAGTGTCTTGCAGCTTTAATATGAGGACATCAAGACCTTTACAAGCAACCTATACCCGAGTATGTACTTTTGGTCATTAGTCTGGTAGTAATGCGTGGATGTCGCGCTTGATATTCACATCATTGCCTTTATCCTGAACAAATTCTGACTGAGTGTCGACAAGTTGAGCCCAAGAGAGCTTTGAATACAAAGCACATGTGACTGAAAGTGTTGCCTGTGGTGTCTTTACCTTCTTTGAAGGGACCTCGACACAACACAAAGACTTGCTTCGAAGAAAGCTGACATGAACCTGTCTGTCAGCGCCTGCTGGAGCATCGCGCTTTGAATCGACACCTCTTGCACACCCTATTGCTCGGCGTCTTGCAATGTTAACCTACCTACCTAAACAACACTTTACACAGTATTGATCTGACCAAGTGGAACAAGGTCCGCGAATGGATTTTCCAGCCGAAGTTCCATGAAAGCACAAACGAGGGAGGTGTGGTGTTGTTGCTTGTTGGTCCTCCGCCTGCCTCCTGACCAATCAAATGTTGGAGTACAACGGTACATGCTGTTGCAGGCGTTGCCCGGATGGCAGCAGAAGCGAAATCGATTGGGACACGGCAGGCAATGCAGGCGTGTTGGTGTCATTGACTGCCGGCCGCCGGCATCTTTGGACCAGGGTGCTGGGAGGTACCTCCCGTCTCGAACTTGGGACAGGTCCATGGAGTGTTCAAACCACCTGGGCGGGCAGTTGACGATTTGGGAGTTGAGATGTGAGTGCTTTCTGGAATTCGGCTGTGGTTCTACTGCCATGAGCTGTTACTAGATATGCCAAGGTTAGGAATACTTAAATGAAAAGGACCAGCTTGATGCCCAGTCACGGCAAGCTGAGATATGAAAGACATCGATACCTCTAACCAACGGTGGATCACTCACCCCGCTCCATTCCTGGGGAAACCTTCAGTGTCATGGTCACCACTGCACTGGGACGGGACTTGCTCCCCTTCCTGTCACTCCCGCCGTGATGTTCAGTGTTAAATGTCGGGATGGAAGACTCTCAGCCGGTCATCTCATAACATCTGTACTGGCCCGGGGGCTACGCTGAGGTGAGAAAGATATAGAAAGTAGGCTTGTGTCGCCGGCCTCGCTGTCCCGGTAGGCGATGACAAGGACCCTAGCAGGTGCCAGGTTAGGGAACCCACAATAGGCGTGGGAGCACCTGCTGACCTCACCCTGGTTCCCCATTGCGATAGAGCGGGAAAGCGGGACTGAGCACCTCGAGGGCCCAGCTGATAACAGCAACACCCACCTGCCCTGGCCAACAATGTAAACCCGCTCGCTCGCCCAACCTTTCATCCCTTCGATTGCCAGTGCTCAAACATCTCGATAGACTTCTCTTTGAATCACAACTGATTGACTTTTGAATATCTTCATTACAAAGTGCCCAACCGCCGACCACTGCCGCCCATTTTGACAAATCAGAGAGCAACTTCCAAGTCAGGCCGTCCGGGGAAGTGCGTGCATGCGTGGAATGCGGTAGTGCTTCGGTAGGTAGGTTCCAGCTCCGAGCACGACCATTTGCGGGTTGTTGAGTGTTGAATGCTCACTCGTCTAATTATGACATAGCGGCCTTGGATTGCTCGTGCTCTGCAAGTTTCAACACCTCAACGAATCGCCTTCCACCTCCGTCATTCGCACACCACACCCACTCTACCACACAGTACACCACATCGGTCCAAACCGCTCCCGAAGCCAGCAGCACCCTCTATTGCCAACCCGCATAAGCCCATCTAGACGTACTAGACAGACAGTTTCCACACAACAACGAACTTTCTTGGACACCATCAGATCGGCGACATATCTCGTTCCCGCCTGATCCTCCTCGGATATCAACCAGTTCCGGGAGGCCAGGTTCCTCGGGCACGGGCAACATCAAACCAGACCAGTCGCCTGGGGCAGTCGACAGCGTTAACTCCGACCATCATACGCACCTCCGCCCTCCCCACTCAGTCGCTCAGACACCGCTTCCACCATGACCAACCCAAACCCGTTCCCACGCCGGACGTCTCTCATTGCCTCGGCCAACAATGGTTCTCGCCCCGTTAGACCCGCCGGCTTCTCCCACTTGTTGAACCCATCCCCCGATAATGGCGGCCAAGGGAACGGCGCCAGCTCGCATGCTGGCGCGCCCTTCTCCTCCCTCGATGCTGGCGCCGCACACTCGGGGAATGCTCCTCATGGGCTGGGTGAGGGGCGCGGGCCGCACCGGACGTCTGGCGGTAACTTGCCGTCATTCTCTCGCGCCTTCGACATGTTCACGAGCAAGGAGCCGTTACTGGCGGGGGCGAATATGACATATAACGGAGTCGGGCCCTCGGCCAACGTCAGCAAGACGGGCTTCCTTTTGCCTTCGTACCTGCGAGGGTCCGGTTATCTAGAAAAGCTCGCGGAGCAACACAAGGCCAAGCTCTCGGCTGACAGAGACAACTTCTCGTCTAAAGGGCCATCTGGAACAGTATTTTCCGGGAATACAGGGAACACGGAAAGCAGGTCTTTGACGCTTCCCCTAAAGCTCACATCCGGCACACATCGAGGTGTGGCGTTGAATTTGATAGAGCGTCCTCCCGCATCAGCTGAATTCGAAGATGTCGTCAGCCCGCTTCCCACTCGATGGAACAGTGACGACAAGGACTATACAGTGGAGGTCGTTGGCGATGGTTACGAAGTAAAATACACAGGGACAAAGCTGGCTGACCATGAAGCGGGCGCGATACGAGCGGATAACCCGATGCCCGCGCAGTGTGGTGTATACTACTTTGAGGTCATGATCCTCAACAAGAAGCGAGAAGAGTAGGTGCCACTTGGGCGTTGAGGTCTCTGTGGAATTTTGCTAAGCCGGGCGAACCGACGCTGACTTGACCGTGTCCGCATAGAAATGTCATCGCCATAGGGTTCGAAACTCGAAAGGCCTCCTTGGCGAGGTTCCCGGGCTGGGAGGGTGAGTCTTGGGCCTATCATGGCAACGACGGAAAATTCTTCCCGGGTAGTAATGCGGGAAGATCATACGGCCCAACGTACGGCGCCGGCGACACAGTGGGTTGCCTAATGAACTTTCGGACAAATCAGGTGTTGTTCACGAAGAATGGCGACGAACTAGGTATGCTTAAGTGCAAGAGTGGGCTGTGTGGTCTTGACTAACACGTGGCATGTATAGGGATCGCGTTTAAGGACCCTATCTTTAAGGATACTACCAGGAATTTTTATCCAGCCGTCGGGCTGAAAAGGCCTGGGGATCATGTTTGGGTTAACTTTGGTCAAGTTCCTTTCCAGTTCGACATCGACGGTTACATGAAGGTGAGGCTACCCTAATACACTGTCGGCGCAGTCTTGATGTGGCATTAACAGGATATTATGCAGAAACAACAAAAGCTGGTCACAGACAAGATCAGAACCACAGATACTGCGATGTTGGCGCCTCCTCTAAATGATACCGAGCTCATTCAGCAACTTGTAAGTTTGATTCGGTCCCTGTCACATTTTACTTGAGACTGATTACTTCAAAAGGTTTTGCAATTCCTTCAACACGATGGCTATGTGGGAACTGCCCGTGCCTTTGCCGAAGAGATACACAATGAAAAGCAGGCTCTCAACCTGGACGCCGACGTTCCTGTTGAGGGCGTCAGTATTAAGGATGATGAAGATGCTAACAACAGGCAACAAATTCGCCGTGCCATCCTCGAAGGCGACATTGACCAGGCTCTCCTCTACACCAGTCAATTTTATCCCAAGGTCTTGGAGGAGAATGGACAGGTCTACTTCCGGCTACGCTGTCGCAAGTTCATTGAAATGATCCGAAGGGAGGCGGAAATGAACCGTTCACTACAAGAGGCCGGAGTGAAGGCTAAGAGCACCTCTCAGGCCCGACATTATGCTGAGAATGACACGCAACGAACATACAACCAGCATACAAGCGGCAGGGAGGACGAAATGATGACGGAGGGCGAAGAAGAAATGATGGACACCGCAGAAGATGGTACCGAGGATCGCTCGCTGGGGACAGTCAACCCCGAGGATGAAACCATGGCGATGGGCGCTGCCGGGGTGAGCGAGCTATGTCAGGACGCGCTGGAATACGGCCAAGAGTTGCGGGATGAGTTCAAGAACGACCCAAGCCCCGAAGTCACTAAGCATCTTAACGAGATATTCGCGCTGATGGCGTACCCGAACCCCTTAGAAGTGAAGGAGGTCGCACACCTCCTGGAACGAAAGGGGCGTGTGGCGGTGGCCGAGGAGTTGAATTCCGCCATATTGAGTAAGTCCATTATTCCCTTGCTTTTCCTCATTCCGTACCACAGAGGCAATCATACTAACCATCTTTGTCACTCACAGCATCCCTCGGGAAGTCTTCTCGCGCAGCGCTAGAGAACCTCTACGCCCAAACAACAGTCCTACTCGATGATCTTAGGAAGGACGGAGGTGACGGCGCATTTGTCACGATCCAGGGCGTGATTGACGAAATACCCAAGGCACATATGAATTAGGATTGGGAAAGTGACGAGGCAGTTTGTCAGTCCACGGACCAGGTCCAGAAAAGGAAGCGGGAGCAGGAAGAGGAGCAGAAGGAAAAGAAGAAGCAAAAGCAAAAGCAGACGCAGGGCGATGATCAGGGTCACGGTTAGGAGCTGGATGTAGACATGGAAGAGGCCGATGATTAGGTTTCGGAAGAGAGCCAGGAAGTACCTGATCGAGAATTTTGGTCTGCAATCCGTGACCGGTTCTCCGTGGTGGATGGCGAGCCTCATGTTCTTAATCAGGAAGAATGGGAGCGGATCGAGGATACAATTGATTGGTGGTGGTTCGAGAGAGAGGGCTGCGGAAATCAGAGTCCGAATCTGGAAGAACAGAAGCGGCACCTCAATGCAATTCTTGACCGGTACTGCGTGGAACAGGACGAAGCTCAGGGTGTGCACCCGGCAGTACGGAATCGGATCCTGAATGCTTTTTTTGAGCACGAGAGTCCAAACTTGGATCCTGATTCTACTCATTGCAGTCCTTCAATACAGCGGCTTGGGGATGTGGATGAGGCTACGTTGGCTGAACTCAGATCTAAAGCAGGGCTAGGAGGGTCATCACCTGGAGGAAGACGAGGATCTGGATCTGGATCTGGATCTACCTTACCTTGACCAGATTCTTTCCAGGGCGGTCAAGGGTAATGAAGCCTTGACAAAGTGGTATACATACACCAGAGGAGAAGCATGGGAAAACAGAAGCAGAGGAGACAAACGCCAGGAAGGGTGAAGAAGAAGAAGAAGAAGCAGAAGGGACCAAGAGCTTGAATGACAAACAGCGAAGACATCATGATTAGGGTATTGGTTGGGTCACCATGGATTTTCACGACATGGGCAACCACGTACGCACGCTGTTAAGCGTTGAAGAAGGGAATGCATGGGTGGATAGGTTGGGATTGGGTTAATTCTTTATAAATCGAGTAGAGCACTAGGGTAGGTATCATCATCATCATCATCATCATCACCATCCCTTTTTCGGCGGATTACATCTGTGTGGGAGAATGTGGACTGAAGTGACTCGGTCCGTTTAGCCCTCGGTGAGGATTTGCCGCTCTGCATAGCAATGAAATACATACATCATCGAAGTATGGCACCTCACAGTCTCACTATCGTTACCAATGGTTGGGAGGGAATCATGGAATCTCAGTTAGTACTGGGACTTGAAGTAGCCCAACTCCGAGGGCTTACTTGAAGTAGCTAAGCCCCATCCATACCACAGTCGGGCAGCATAACAACGATGTCTCAGACGATAATAGCTATCTATCTTGCTCGCCAACATCCAGTCCCGTTGGTATCATGCGATTTACCCACAAAAAGCGAACGTCAACAGCTTTCTGTAGCGGTAACTATGATCATCGACGCCATCACCCCCAAGTCTTCCATGATTTGTTTCACGGCTAGGAGTGAGTAACATTGGAAGATAACATCTTTGCCCGTTATGTACGCAACCGATGCTCTGCTTTTCCCCCTAACGTCTACTGTTGTAGAGAAAAGTCTATAAACGAGTACAAATCCGTTTATCTCTTGGTCGCGTCTGCCCCCCATTGCTAATAGCCAGCCAACTAACCAAATATCGGCTAGTTCATCCCCTGAAAAACGGATGGGAAGGCATCAACTTATGGATCATCCTCGCCATAAAACTAATGGACGGGGAGACCACTCATCAGATCCTCCTCCTCCTCGATGTGGAACGACTCCTCAAACCCGCCACCTGCGATCTGAAGACCCAGCTTGTGTTCGCGAGCTGCGTCAAGCTGTCGCTTGACCGTGTGACTGATGTACTCGCGGTTGCTGGCCAGGCGCTTGTTGGTCGCCTCAATGATGGGCTGCAGAGCCTTGATGCCCTGCGCTACCTTGTTCACCTTGGCCGAAAACTCTACCTCTGAGAGACCTTGTGCGGGCGCCGACAAGAAGGTCAGGTAGGCAGGGCTGCCGTCTGTGGGCCGCTCGATGGCGCCCTGGAGACTCCCGTCGGCGATCATGCTTTGCAAGAGCTGGCCTACCGCTTCTACGCTCGGTAGGGGCGCGCCCGTTTCGGCACTTTGTGTTCGCTCGCGGATCTTGTCGAGGGAGATGTTAGTGTAGACATTGCGCAGGTTGATAATTTGCCACCGCTGGTAGTGGGCCAGCACCAGCTTTGCGAGCTCGACGTTGCCCTCGTTGGGCAAGAGCTCGGCGTTAAGAACTTGAAACTCGCGGGTTAGATCCCCGGCATTGTCTGCCTTGAAAGCTTGAGCGAATAACTTGTAGGGTTTTCCCTGGGTTGCGAAAATCTTCTTTGCTGCTTGTGAAGTCGTTTCCGGTAGTGTTGGCGGCTTTCCGGTCAGGAGCAGGCCGACAAGGATCCATTTGTTATATGCTTCTGTCATGACCTTGCTGCAACCGCCATCTCGCGTCGGATATGTGACGCATCGCTCAAAGGCATCGAAGGCTTGCTGCCACATGCGGCGCTCGACGAAGCACAGGCCGCATAGAAAATCGTACTGAAGCACCGCGAAGCTGGTGAGAGCGTCGGTGAGCTGGCTATCAGGGTTGATGTATGCCGGTGGCGGTAGAGACATGTCGCAAAGGGGCTGGGTTGTCGACATGCCCTTGGCCGGCATGTAGATGATGGGTTTCTGGATAAGAGGCAATACCGGTCCTACATTGCCGGTGCTGTATGCCAGTTCGACGAGGTGGCAGTGGTGGGATGTGAGCATAGAACCTGAAGGATCAAGTCTTAGGAGGGCAGCAGTGACCACCTCAACGGCAATGGAAGACTGGTATTGAAGTCAGCAATGGCTACCCCGCGGAGAGAAGTATAGGGATCCTACAGGAAACACGCTGTGTTCATTATACACCTCCTTGAGGATGTCTGACCAAATGCTTCCCGTACACCGTATTTGGCGAGCATCGAACTGGAGGAAGAACTCGGTCATGTATGATGCCAAGCTCTCGTGTGCCTGCTGAGAGGCCCGCCCGGAAGCCTGTAGTAGATAATCGAGGATCATAAGATATGAGAGGGAATGGACGGCGGGGTTGACATGCTGCGCAGACGCTACCGGGTCAGCTGTGTGAACGACAACTTTGTACAACGGACAGTCCCGGTTTGGGGAAGTACTATGTACCTTGAGAATATCATCGGCGGACTCCCTTATCCACTGCGCGTTGTCTTTTATGAGTTCTCGCACCCGCTTGGCATGTTGCTGGCTCTCTTTGTAGTATTCCTCGTTATCAATCCCAGCGGCCGGCGGGAAGGCCGTCAGGACCGAAAGGCGTCGGTCCATGGCTCGCCGTCTAGATACGGGGAGAAATGTTGGTGGGCGAAGAGGTTGACGACAGAAGGAAAACGATTGATTGCGGTAGCACTGATGGATTTCAATGGCTCGGTGGAACTTGAGAAAGCGTCGTGAAGGTGCGCGGCGGGGGGTAGCTGGTGCCTGGTTGCTTCTGGGGACTCGAGGAATGACAGTTCAGGTTGACGCTGATGGCTGGATAATATGGTGATGACGCCGTGTATCGATTGACGGGTCACAGGATGCTCGTGTCAAAAAGGACGAATAGACAAACAAACAATGGGCGTCCAGAAAATCTGCGGTATGGGAAATGGTGATTATGGTTTGGGAATGAGCTTGGGTGCTGTGGTTGTAAAAAGGTAGAAAAGCACCTTTGCGGCCTGCCCTGTAGCGTGTAGTGGTGCTTGTCGATGCGGTGCGCTGGGGCTCAACTCAGCTGTCAGTTCCAAACGGAAAGCTCCCCCGCGCGTGAGTGGAGACTTTCAGTGCTAGGATGAGCCCGGCGTTGACTGAGGGAGAACGTCATCAATTCTGATTGGTCAAGTTAGTTAGGATATATGGGAGCCACAGCCACACATCGTGTTTTCAGCCTCAGTGGCTTGACCTGTTGTCCACCAAGGTGCTCAACGACACTCGTTGAACTTCACACTTGCACGCACAGCGCCATCATACTTTCACGATCATTCAACGCCTTATGGCATTGAACATCATCACTTCCCAGCATTCTTTGGCGGAGCTCGACACGACAGTAACCAACTTCTAGCCAAGGAAGCGACCTTCACTCAATGTTCTGGGTACCATCTTCGCGGCATGGGCTTAAGAATCCAATATCACTATCACTGCCCCCCGAAGATGGCTCACTGTTCAAGAACGTTACAAAACCAATGCAACACTCTATAAACTATCTTCAGAACACCCTAAGCGGAGTTCAGGGAGTTTTAGCCCAAGCTATCATTCAGTCACCACCTAGGGCTTAGGGATCTCTCTGATGCCTATATCTTTTTCACCTCAGCATATCCAGCCGCAACACTCAATCTTGATTTTTCCTTCATCCATGTCATCTTTCTCAAACATATACTCCATCCTCAGCGAGCCATATCCTGAAAAAGCCTCGCATATATGAAGTCATTAACCATCAAAACCCCCTGTTTGCCAAGTGGCCGCCGGTTCCTGGTTGAGGGCCATCGCCATGAGCTTGAATTTGTTGGCTTCTGGGCTTCGGTCTCTAACAAAAAGCGAATAATACCCGATGCGCGGGCAGGTAGTTGCATCGTTATACCACGGTACTTGGTTGTTGTCGTCGTCTTTTTCCAGTGGTCTACCAGTGGAAGCAACTCACCAAAGCATCTAGTCCTGGTTAGTGTCCCTCGACCACTTCCAGTGAGTTTCCGCATCCTCGTAAGCAGGACCCTTCCAGTGAGCCGCCGTGTTGCCGCCACCTTTGGTCTGCTGTTGCTGCTGTTGCTGATGATGATGATGATGCTGCTGCTGCAGCACGTGGACCTGGGCTCCTCCTCCTCCCGGCGGGCCGCCTTCGTCCTTGCCCTCGTTATCAGAGCTGTCGGGGGTCGTGGTGGTCGGAAGGAGGCGGTAGGGGTGAGGATGTTGAGGGAATCCGGGAGGAGCTTCGATGCGGCGGTAGTTGTTGACTATGCTGGGATCACCGCGAGGATCTCGAAGTTGAGGCTGAGCGGGCTGTCCGATGGGACCGAAGCGGCAGGGACCTTGGCTTAGGATCTGGGGGCCTGTTGGAGGAGAGTCCTTGTTAGTTGGAAACTAAGTGACAGGATTCACACGAATGTCATTTTGCTTACCAGTCGGGATTCGAGAAGGTCCAGAAGAACCACCTCCAACACTCGGACGCCAGTTGTTCAACTCACGAGGGCTCGAGCTTTTCTCACGCTGGTAACCACCGCCTCCGAAGGCCTTGACTCCCATACTGTTAGTGGCGGCGTTGTTGCTGTGGCCTCCCGTTCGCATAATGTCACCACTGCCACCAGAAGCCGATCCCTGATCAACTGACCCTCTGCGCGAGATTGGACTACCAGAAGCCGTAGTCAGCGACCGGCCACGAGGACCTCCACGGAGCGCGGACAGATCCATCGACCCCTTGCTGGTACTTGACTCATCGCCGTTGGTCAACACCTGCCTCTGCCTCATCAGCTCGGCTTGCTGCCGTTTATACCAGGCTGGCAAGCCGTGGAAAAGGCCGAGCATGTGCTGAGTGGCCCTATCGTACGGCATCTCGTGCTTGTACTTGCAGCCTTGCTGTGTGAAGGCACAAGTGCCCTCGTGCACCCACTTGTCGCAGAAGATCTTGGCTCGCTTGGGGCCTTGGCCGTGGAGAGGAGGGGGAGTCAGGTAAGCGGCTGCGGACTGGTGGTGAGTAAGGCTCGTGCTGTTGGCTGATGGGCTGTTGCTGGCCAGGACAATTTGGTCGATCTGCGACTGCGGTGAAGCAACTTGTCAGTCATGCATTCAACTCTTTGAGGGTATGGTATTGGGGAGTGTCTTGTATGGATCGGAGCTAATTGTTGTAATTCTGTATAGGCTTTGTAGAATCTTACATACCTGAACAGCATCCTTCTGCGCCACCTGGGCCTGAACGGGCTTCACGTTGGTATTGCGCTCGTTGGCATCCAAAGCCTGGGGAAGCTCAACAACGAACAGACGAGAGATGTCGGTCTCATAGGCGGGCACGCCCACGAGTGGAGGAAGCATATCGGCTGGGATCAGTCTCGTGTAGCAACCGTTTCCGCGGTCGTAGGCGTAGGCGTAGAATTGATGGGGATATTGCGGCCCCCGTGCGTTGTGGTGTGCCTGTTGCGCTCTCTCCGCTTCCTCGTACTGCTGAACCATCTGCCTCCCGAGGAAGTCGCGCGTGTTCTGCGTAAGAGGCCCATGAGTGTGACTGACGAGCTCTTTTCTGGGGTGGGGTCTGGTGGCCACGATGGCGGTGTGACGAGACTGCTCCCATTCCGGGCTGGACTCCTCTGAGTTGTTGTTAACATCCGTCGCCGACTGATCTCTGGGAGGAGTCGGGGCAAAGTCCATGCTCATCGGGGAGGAGACAGGCGACCCTCTTTGGAGTCTCCAGTGGGTATTGAGATCCCTTCTTTTGATGGCGATAGGCGAATGGGGCTTTGGGATCTCGTTGATTGGGGAGTTCTGGCTTGGCTCCATGGTGACTGAAAGGCCCGGCAGAAGTGGTTGTGAAAGGGACTCAGCCGGCTCTATAAAGAAAGACTGAAACTTCGGAGTTCTAGGTGTTGAGAAGCTCGAGCTTGAAGCTAGTTCGGACACTGCTGATGAGGATCCAGTTTCTGAGTTGGGCTCTGCTTGATGAGTGTTAAGAGGGGTATTAGTAGCAGCGGAGTAGTGGCCGTGTTTGACTAATCCATCCATGTCGAGTCTAGGTATATCGGATCAACGATGTGACGACACGGAAAACACTGATGGGACAATTAGCATGCTACTGACTCCGCAGCTGTGGGTGCCGGCTTGGGTTGGACAGCCACTGAGGATGGAAAACAAGCAAGAGAAACGCTTAGCAAAAAGCGTGAGCACAATGAAAACACACGCACCATCAACGATACCAACAGCTCAAGTGGCATCAAGCTGGCCACCCCTTGATTCCCAGCAAACGAGGGACCCGGTAGACGTGAAAAATCCGGGGTTGTCTGTTTTAGTATTTATACCGCCTATTCATATCCCCAGGTGCGTCTTGAAGGTAGAGAAACAGAAGCAGAATGGCGGAGAGCGAGCAGCAAGCCGTCGAAAAGATATGTGGCAAGCAATGGCCGGGGAAGCTTTGCAACAGTCCGAGCCAGGGACTTGAGAAGGTATATCAAAACAAGCAAAGAGCAAGGAGCAAAAGCCGGGAGCCGCAATCAAGTGAAGGACTACCTATTTCTCCTCTCTGCCCTGTCCGCCCTTCCGCCCTTCCGCCCTTCTGTCTACAGACAGGGCTTGCTCGGTCGCCCTTCTGAAGTGTCGTTGTTGATGCTGCGTTCGAGTTATGTGGTTGGGTACGGTAGTTGTTAGGCACAGGTCCGCTTCCGCGGGATTGGTTAGAGGCTAGGTAGATGGGCGGATAGATGCTTGATGATTGCAGTGATGTTGGCTTGCATGTTGCGGATGCGGCGAAGCTAAGGGGGCCACGGGGGGTGTGACACTGGTACACATACATACATGCTTTCCTTTGTAGCACAAAGTGGCCGCGGAACTGGACGTACAACAGAACGATGTGGCTTGTGAATCGTCGGTAAGCAAGTCTTGAGGAATGGAGAGCACTGCGGTGACCCAACAACTTTGAGCTAAAGAAAGAGAAGAATTACATACGTGTATGGTGGTGACAAGATCTGGCTGACCTTGACCGAGTACAGTAGCGGAGCAGACAATTTCCTAGTAAACCCTACAACGTACCTCACGCTCAAGCCTCCGATACAATTCGGACATAATGGTGGGCGTAAAGATGCCAACTTTTTGGCAGGAAGGAGTATGATTGTGATTATCCACTGACCGCAGCGCGGTGGAAGGTGGTTTTCTTTAGGGAAGCCTGAAAGCCGTTCCGAGGTTGTTTCGTTCCTTCCACCACCCAACACAACCAAGTGTTGGGGAAGGTAGCTTTGGATTATCAGAATGTGTGCTAGTCATGCCGGCATTTTTTTACGCCATTAGCCCGTGCTGCATTCTCTCTCTCTTCCCGTTGTTGCTCGTGTGCCATTACACTCGTGTACTCTTTGGATATCTGCCATACCATATCACACAAACGAGCCGCAGCCATGTCAATACCATCAGCCCTCTTGGTAGCAATGCCGACAGAATGGTGGGCCATTGCGTGCCTACTCCATATACCCGCGTTATGTGGTCTTTACCTATTTCTACGTTTTTTCCAGTGCAGTTGAAGTTCCGAACCGCGCGGGGACAGACGACGGGCGACCAGAGGCAAGACGACATGGACTGTCGTTTCTAGGTCTGCAACAACAACAAGAACAAAAACCATATGCGAGCAAACGCAAGACCCCAGAGAGACAACATCAACGGGAATTGCGGAGGCTACTTTTTGCGGGAACTTGCATTTTTCCCTGCTCTGGCTCCATGTGACAAACAGGGAAAGCCACAACGCCATGGCGACGGTGAGCGGCGAACCGATTTACTTCAGAAGGTGAGACATGTCCCTTTGGGTCTCTCCCCCATGAGGCCCGGCTGCCTGGTGTTTTTGCATACTCATGGATATGGAGTAGCACAAATCCCCAGTGCTGTTGTTCTGGGGAGAGTTCGGAATTGCTAATGTTGACAATTACCTAGACACAGGAATGCTCCCTCACTCTGGTGACAACTCTACGGAATGGCTATTATGAATAGTCCATCAATGCTTTGAAGTTCAGTCTTTCACGACACATTCATCTAATTTATTCGTAAGTAGGATAGCCCTTGTCCTACGCTCGCCGCTTTCCCAGTCTCGCCTAACTAATGATACTTCTCATTCTTAAGGTACACGATCATTTGTTTCTATATCGGCTACTATCTGTTACCTATATACGTACAACAACATTCCTTATCGAAGCGAAACAAAGGACGTCATCACGCGAACTTCTCAAAGCGGCACGGTTTTCTTACCCAGGCAACAAGAACCCAACACAACACGTCATTGAATTCTGAAGTTGGGAGAGATGGATCTGTGACATATTGCATTGGCCCACTGTTGATTCCAAACGCGAGGGCAAGAGTGGGATAGCCAACCGGTATCATCGAACATCTCAAGACACTATGACAGCCCAGGATATGCTCGACAGTCGAGAGGCAGGGGTAACATACAATGGGTTCTATGAACAAAGGCAGTCATGATTTCGAAGACACCACAACCCCGTCTGCCCTGCTATCAAGCCAATCGTTTTTATGGGGGGTTCTGAGCCAGTCTTGCTCAAAATACGGATCACTGTATGAAAAGGTCATATGCGAGACCTGAAGTAGCAAGCGAAGCAACACACAAAGAAAAGCAAAAAGCAAAGGGTAGAAGCAGAAAAGGTATCGATTATCGCGTCGACATAGATATCCGAACACTAGCTATATCTCCAGATCCTGATCTGGTTCTCTGTGAACAAAAACCAAGGGAAAAGGCCAAAAAACGCAGTAACAATAACTAGATCCCAATCCAACATCAAGCATCTGAGGGTAGGCATCTGATACATCCAGCCTGTAATGGCAACGACGGAGAGAATCAACTGCCAATAGGTAAGATACCCCTGAAGCAGTCAGTCTCCCTTTTCCATCGTGCTGGAAATAATCAGTACCTAACCAGCTGGCCCAGCCCTATCATCCATTGTTCTACCCTCTCCTACCCCCAATTCTGTCCTCAATAACACTTCACCCTTCTTGGCAACCACCAAGTCTGGAGAGCATACTAGAGATAGAAGTTGGTAGGTTAGAATACAAAAGTTGGACCGGCTAGGTAGCGATGAGCTTATAGACTTGGACCTACCAACTACAAGAGTCGTTGCCGATCAGGACCGGCTGATGGAGAGAATACATGGCCGTACTTATTGTATTCCTCCTCCATATGAAACCTGAACTCCACAGCATTCAATTCATATGCATGCGCCTCTTTCCAGTCTTCGTCTGTCATTGGTACCAGCTCATCCTTAATCTCCGAGTACATCCTGAGGCGGTTTTCATCAGCTGTATTTTAATTCCCATGATCGTAGGTTAGCGCGGTTTCGCCATGCACAGGAATTGCGGCTAGGGTTTGAATAATCCCAGAACCCAGGCTCTGCTTACATGGTGATATCTCCGCTCCTTTGACTTCCGTTTCTTGCGATGCGACTGCCATGCCGGCCAGATGAATCTCTTGTAGCTCTCCTAGATCTTCTTGCCATTTGGGTCCGAGAGGTCTCTTCTCCGGCCCTACTAGCTTGGAGATATTCTCTCCCTTGACTACCTGGACACGAACCTCCGTCCTGAACAGACCAGCTTCGGGAAACTTGACATTCTCGACCACGAAGTACAGATACTCGAGAAACAATCTCAAATCGCTCTTTCCTCTGAAGGCCGTTTTGACCTCCACTGTCTGGAACTCGTTAAATTTTCGATCGTCTTTCTTCGAAGCGTCGAGAACTTCGCGTAGAGCAAACCCAATTTGGGCTGATCTCCAGTGAAGAATATTGGGGGTCGCAACTTTGACTACCGCCGCAACTTTGATCTCGATATCTGAGCCAACTTGACATCGGCTATTTGGGTTTTTACACTTCATACCAACATTCCGATGTTGGCTGGATCAATTTGGCTTCTCATTAATTCTCGCCTCGCCCTTCTCACGCGACTCCCTTTGTAACCGCCCGAACATACTCGGAGAATATGCTCATAACATATTTATCACCACGATGATCCTTTACACCGAGACAGAAGGTTGGCGGTTAAGTTGGTGTCGGAAAACGAGCAGTTGGCCGTGCACAAATTTGGAGTGAGTCTGGCGCCTGTATGTGCCTGTCCCAGCTGTGCCAACGCTAAACTTTTGACTTCCAACATCCTTTATCCTCATAACATGCTCTTCATCACGATGATCATCGTCGCACCGGAGAAAAGGGTTGGCGGTGATTTTCGAAAGCGGGTCGTTGGTTCTGATATATATTGGGAGTGCCTGTGCCTGCCTGCCCGAGCCGTGCCAACATACACCAAGGACTAGTGGCACTTCGAGCCGCACTTTCTGCTTTGTTCAGCAAATTCCAGGAGTTTTTCTACTTTTACCGCTGTGTTCTTGCGTTGCGATGGACCTCATCCAAATTGATATTCTACTTCCCACTTGATGTTATCGGGACGAATGTGGGCAGTGTCTCGTGTCCGCACCTTCCTTCACGGAGGGCGGAGGGCAAGAACCAACACACTAACACTAGGTATCGGACGATCCTTCCATCTGGACCACCTGCACCTGCACCCACCGCCAATCCGCCGCCCGCGCTTGCCCTTCCACTTGATAAGCAATCAGTCTAGACCATGGAAGTTGGCAGGATTTTATCCTGACTAGTACCTATCAGTGCAGGTGAGGGTCTCTTTCAGCGTGTCCTACCTTCCATCCCCCGGTCCGGTTTACGAAGAGGTCCCGCATTTCGACTCTCGGTTGCAGGCATGACTGAGCAGAGACACAAACTCATGATGAGAAACTAAGAACCATTTACAGTATCATGGTGAGTCTTGGATAGATAAGTTTGTCGTTGGGACAATTGAAGATATGTAGCAGTATAACGGAGGCACACGCGCAAATGTCCAGCATACGTGCCACTGTCACTCACTCACTCATCGCCCGAGTTTGATGCGAAAGGCAAGCACAACCACAATCACTATCATCTGTCTGCATCCCATGGTGTTATACTGACTGATTTGTTATTTGCTATAGGTATGACACTTGATGTATGGAAGTCAACGTCTGAGGCATGGTCACCATGAAGTGTAAACCACCGCGAGCAAACCTAGCCCAAGCATGCTCTTCTAACTTTTGCCCACTCTTCTCGCCCTTGATTCATTCATCCGTAGCAACTGAGCAAGCAAGGGAAAAAAAGAAGGCGAAATCGAATGCAGGTTCTTGGGTAACTACAAAGACATGACTTAAACAATGCAACCGACCAACTAGCCAACCCGTCCTATTCATCCACCCCTCAACCTAATGAATGGTATCTCCAGTAAACCAAGCAGTCGTCTTACTATGATGGAGGCCTTGGAACTTGCGGTGGTCCTTGTCCTTGTCCTTGTCCTTGTCCTCCTTCCCCACCTTCCCTCTGCTGGGGCGGTTGACCCGACTGCCTCTGCTTCGCCTTCATAGCATCATCCTTCCTCCGCTGTACCACCCTCAGCATCTCGAGCAAGAATTTACGCTTGACTTCCAACCTCTCCGGAGTCTGGTGTGGTATGAACCTAAGATTATCCAGCGCCAGCCGTAGAGGGACTTCCTGGCTCATCTCGGGACACATCCACGTAGGAGGGTGTACGAAGCCGCAGACGAAGCACGAAGTATGAGGGACATTTGGCGGTACGGGTGGGCCTTGGTTGGACCAGAGAGCACTGGGCTTGGATGGCTGTTTGGTGGCGTTTGAGGGGAGGTTGTTATGCTGTTGGTTAGGTATCAGATTGGGAAGACCGTTAAGAGACGGTGGGCGGATTCCGGCTCCTAGGACGGGGACGGGAAGTATGAGTATTGGAGGTTAGTTTCGAGGCTCCGTTTGCTCGCTGATTGGCGGGGACGGGCCTGGGGTGAACGGCAAGGTCGCCGCCGATGGCATTGGGGGACACGGCATTGGGGGGCATGGCAACGCCGTCGGGAACGGGGGTTTGAGCTTTGGGTCTGTTATAGCCGGCAAGTCGGTAGATGTCTTGGCCGTTGCTGCCAGGTCGGGGTGGCTTTGGTTGGCGGCCGGTTGCTTTTGGGCCTGCTGGGATGGGGACGGGCGTAATTTGGACGACGAGCTGGCTTTGGGAGTTTTGCCTTGAGCGGTTTTTTTGGGGGTTCCGGGGGTCCGAACTGTCTTGGGCATCTGCTGTTTGCGTGAGCGTGGTGTCTTAGTTGTTGAAGACGAAGAAGATGACTGAAGAGGAAGCTTCTTCTGCTGGCTAGCTCTAGACTTAGGCGTAGAAGCCGACTTGGGCGTAGAAGCTTTGGCTACAGTGGCCGATGTGTTCCTCCTTGAGGCTGCGACCACTGGAGCCTTCGTCTTGTTCTTGGTTGGGGCTTTGTTTGGAGTTTTCGTACCTTGTTGTTGTGTATTCTTTGCCTGTAACTTGCGTGAGCTGCCTCCGTTGGGTAAGAACTCACCACGGGGACTGTCCCGATCTTCATTACCGCTTGTTTCCCCATCACTTGCATCACCGCCCATGAAATCACCGTCTTGATCGCCATGGTCACTCTCATCTCCTTCTTGGCCTTCTTCAAACTCGAACTTCTGTCCGCGGTAGTTCGCCGTCTAGTCAAGGGGTTAGCGCCATCAGAAAGCACACTATTAACCTGTTATCACTTACTTGACGTCGTCGGCCACCACGTCCCATGGCCTGCATTTCCTTCTCCCTCTCGAGGCGTGCCTCTTCTTCTCGTTGCTGAAGAATCTGGTCCCAAACACTCATTGTTAATGCCTTCTCCTCCGTCTCCACGTCATCCTTCAGCCCATCCTGTGCCCAGACACGGGCAAAAGCGAACGCAGACTCGGCGGACTTGTCGCCGTCTTGCTTCGTTTCTTCCTTGGCCGAACGATCAAGAAGCTTTTCAATCGCTGCTTCATCATATACGATCCTGTCCTTCTTGCGCCCCTCTCCGAACAAGGCGGCCGCTCCGTGCTTAAGCACATTCTCCACATCGTTAACAGCCTCGCCTTCTTTGTCGTCCATGGTCTCAATGAGAAGATGATCAAGAGCCATCTTCTTACGACCAATCTGAAGAATCTTCTCCTCGGCAGAGTCGACGGTCATAAGCTGGAAGCAAAGCACCTTCTTTTGTTGACCGATACGATGGGCTCTCGAAAGCGCCTGGATATCCTGATGAGGGTTCCAATCGGGATCAAGGATAATGACGGTGTCGGCAGTCGCAAGGTTGATACCGACGCCACCTGCACGGGTTGACAGAAGCATGCAGAACAATTTGGAATCCGGGGCGTTGAATGCATCGATTCTTTTCTGCTTTTCCATGCCAGAATGACTTCCGTCAAGTCGTTCATACGGAAGATTCATACTCGCGAGGAAGTCTTCCAAAATTGTCAGCTGGTCGAGGAATTGACTGAACATCAAAACTCTGTGTCCACGCTCCCTTAGTTTAGGAAGCATGACTTCGAGCAACAGAAGCTTGGAAGAGGCCTCGACCAGGTTCCGCTTGCTGACCTCCGGGGACAGGTTCCGATCTTCGATCGACTGACTGTAGACAAATGGATGGCACAGACACTTGCGGAGCTGCATCAGGATGTTGCTCAACGAGCCACGGTCCTGTGACTTGAGCTTTCCGTTGGAGGAGAAAATCGCGCGGATTAGCTGAGGATTGCGCTCCATGATCGACTTGCAGAGCTTTTCCTGCAAGACAGTCATGCTCACTGGCAAGATGATCTGGGCCATCGGCGGCAAGAAGGTGAGTACCATGGCCTTGGTACGACGGAGGAAGTATGGCCTGATCAGCTCATGAAGCTTCGGAAGGTTCTCCTTGGTAATATCCTTGAACTCCTCGTCAAGCTCCTCCGCTTTAAGCTTCGGGTCGATAAACTGCAAGAGGTTGAAAAGCTCTCGCTTGTTGTTCTGTAAGGGTGTACCCGTAAGCAAAAGCTTAAAGGGAATATTAATGGCCGAAAGTGCTTTGTAGAGACTGTTCTCGTCATTCTTCAGTGCCTGTGCCTCGTCAACAATGAGGCCAGCCCATTTCACTGAGCTGAACCGACTACGAGTGTCGGTATCTTTGATGGAGTCATAAGACATGATGACGACGTGCGCCTTCATGTCCTTAGTACCACCCGGGAACAGCTCATATTGAAGGGCCAGAGTTTGTGATACCCGGCCGCCGTAGTAGGCTACTACCCGAAGGTCAGGAGCCCATTTCTTGATTTCACGGCGCCAGTTGGCGCACGTCGGGTTGGGGACAACGATCAAGAAGGGCCAGATTTTCGGGTTATCCTGGATCATGCTGGAGAGCAAAGCAACCACCTGAACAGTCTTTCCTAGACCCATTTCATCGGCAAGAATAACGCTGCGGTCGTGGCGGAAATTATAGAGCATCCAGTTGAGGCCCTCAAGTTGGTAGGCCATCAGCTTGCCACGAGTAAGCCCGGGTGGTTGTTGCTTGACCTCAATAGCACCGTTGAATTCCATCTGCCTGAATGCTTCAATGCGTTCCTTTTGGTTGCGCCATGGCTCCGACTTGAAGTGCTTGCCGTTGAGGTATTCCCGGTAGGCCTCAAGATAGGCGTCATACATGGAAGAGTCCGCAGGAGGTGGAGTGTCCCAGACAGCGTCATCGTAGCCCAGACCTTCAAACTTGACGAAGATTTTAACAACGTGAAAGATGCGGCTCAAATCGTACTCCATCCTGTCGGCAAGCGACATTGCCTTATACTTCTTTGTGTCTTCAATCGACTTGGCAGCATACTGGACATCGAGGATGATATCGGGGGTCAACCATGAGTCATGGATGGCCTCTTTCTCTGTCCATTTGAGGAGCGCGTCAGCAGGCTCATCCCTACTGGCCTGGTCTTCCATACCCTCTCCGAGGGCCCTCTTGATGAAAGAAAGACGCATATTGCCCTTGCTGACACCGTAAACCCATGGACCTGGCACCCAGACGCAATGCGCATAGGACTTGTCCTCCCATTTGACCAAATACTCGATCTGATCATCGGTGAAGTCGAGAATGGTCTGACCTTTGCCGTACTGGCTGGGCTTGATATTGACTGGTCTCCACGCCACAATCTTGTCGATCTTGAGATCCTCGGTATCAATGCATTCTTTGCATCGCCACGTTGTTTGGTATTCTTGTAGGCGATGACTGCGTAGATTGAGAGGATCATTGATGGCCGGATCCCGTGTCTCGTTGGGGTGAGGTAGGTGTTCATAATGCCAGCCTCGATGGCATTTGCTACAACGAAACAAGACATTTTGAGGATTGTTGACCAGCTTCGGGTCTACTGGCTTGATAGGATCCACTCCATCATTTTCCTCACGCAGTTTCTCTTCTTGTTTGGGTGTTTTCTTCTCGGAAAAGGGAGTGCAGGACGGGTTGACTTGATGACAGGACTGGCAGGTATCGTGTTTCGGAGCACGATTGTCCCTCTTGGCGTAGTAACCGGTGCAAAATCGACATTGCATGACAAAGGAGTCCGTGTCGACTTTGGTGACCCGCTGCTCACGGGTATTGCGAGTGCCGAGACATATCTTGTGGTAAGAGTTGGAACAACCTTGACAGTGAACGAAGGCTCCCTTGTTTGGATTACCCTCAGGGTACCCGCAGCTGTCGCACACCGGACGATGGGCATCCTTAAAGTCCACCGGGGCCGGCTGGAAGACCTCTCGAACACTGGCAATCCTGGGTGCGGTAGGTTTGGTATCTTGAACGTAGAAGATGTCGTCATCATCATCGTCGAAAATCTCCTTCATGCTCTTCCTGGATTTGTTGGCCCGAGAGGAACGCCGTTTTGACTCGAACTCGATATCTGAATCTCCCCCTGACGCCTTGACCTTCGTAGTGGACTTCCGCTTTTTCCTGCCTCTGGTTTTGACGATGTCAGATGTGACAACAAGAAAACCATCGTCATCGTCAGAATTTTGGAGTTCATCCTTGTCGTAATCTCGATATTTCTTCTGTGAGCGGGGTCTCAGCGCTCGTGATTCGGTGCCGCTTTCATAGGCTATGCTCCTTTCACTAGAAGCGCGGGCGCTACGCGTGCTGCGCTTGGCACCGTTGACAAAGCCATAGTCATGAAGGGAGTGGCGACCACCGTATTCATCGCCGGAGTTCTCCTCGTAGAGTTCCTCGTCGTCTTCATACCGTCTCTTTCGCTTGCGCAGGCCGAGGCCCTCGAGGTCGTCATCGAACCGATAATCATCGTAAGCGGGCTGTGTGCATAAATGTCAGCGAAAATCAGCCATGATGGATAAGTATGACTTGAGAGGAGCATGAGATCGCTGCCTCCAGCCAAGGCCAAAGTGAAACGAGACCAAAACGCTGTGAGATTCCATGAACAGGAAGTGGGAGCATGGTGAGAACGCCAAAGCGATGTGATCTTTGAGTGAGCTCTTACCATATTGCTTCCTGGGCTGCACAGCAGTATCTTGATCGAAGCTTGTGATTCGGTGAGGAAGATGAGGGGGTTGTAGAGTATTCAACGAGAAGGGCTGAGTTGTGATGATCAAGAACAGTTTCTGATCCAGATATAGGAAAGTGTAGGGAAGGAGAATGAAGAAGGGGTAGTAGAGATGGGGAGGGTAGGAGTCACGGCGTTTGCTGCAAGTGTAGAGGTTCGATCTGAAACGCAAATCCAACCGCTCCTACAAAGCTCCAGAGCTCAAGTATGATATCTCCAAGTCTAGATGGGAGAAGATGCCACTTGGACACATAATCCAGCGAAGAAAGCGGAGCTCTACGTGGGCAAACAAACAGACTCGATTGCCCCGAGACCAGGTCCCTACACCTCCGCCTTCCATCGCAAAGTCCATGTATGTATCTTTCACCAAGCATGGCACTAGCCATGGCCTCTATTGCCTTATCGCGAAACCGGGAAAGGTGTAGTATCGCGCCAACCAGGTATTGCTTACCTTGTTCCTTCGCCTGCGGGTATCATAGTGTTTTGCTCCCTCATCCCAATCCTCAACCTCAACATGGGTGAATGCTGCCCGCTCCGATGGCGGGATCCAGGGCAAGGCAACCTCGATGTCAACACGCCTAGTGCCGGTTCTCCTGTGGACTGTAACCCCGCTGGCCACAGCATTCACGCTTCCACGGCAGCTGGCTAACGCATCCGACTCTCGTTTCTTGGGTTTGGTCGAGGAGGTTTCCGCTTTCGTCACTGCCGCGAGAGCAGCCGCGGCTTGCTCGAGGAATGAACCGGGGTTGTCATCGTCAGCTGGCGCGGGGGGTAGGATGAAAGGCTCTGGTTTCGGTGTGGCGGCGAAGGGATCAAGAGAGCTTTTGGATCGATCGGCGTTGGGCGCGGGTGGTGATACCGGCTTGGGCGCGGCGGGCTGTGCGGTAGCGACTTGGATTTCGTCTTCAGATAGATCAGACTGAAAGGTATACGCCATGGGCTCCGTTGCCGGGGACACAAACAGCTCATCGTCAGAGCTTGGGTGGGCGTTACCTTCGTTCGCCATCTCGTCGTAAATACATGGAGTCGCCGTTTGCTATCGAGAACTGCTATGGATAGCACCAGAAGGGCGACGAGGGGGTGGTCTGGATCCGATCAGGTTAGAGGGATTAGCAACACGCTGGGAGACATAGTCTGGTTCGCCAACCTTTAATACATGGGTTGCAGAAATATCGGCCAGTATGAGGACTGGTACAGTATACAATATGGCGGCCTTGAAGTTGTTCGCGCGGCGAGAGATTTGGGAGGCTTTTGCCGGGGTGGGAGGAGGGGGACGCGACAGCCGAGAATAGTTTCGAAGAGACGCGACGTACCTAGCATGGAATCATTTAGGTGACAATCCATTGACAATCCAATCGGGCGATAAGGAACTGCGAACACCCATGCACTTCGAAGCTTCACCCCACAAACAGCAGCCCTATCACTGACTTGCTTTGATCCACCATGGGAGGCTCTTCAGTGGAACACGGGGTGTTGCCGCTGTGAACGTCAGCGTCGAAAGATATGACAAACAGGGGCTCTTAACAATTATGCGCATTCTGCACAGACCCTATGCTTTCCTTTGAGATTTTTAGCATCTGTAGATGGGATCCGCCGGGCCTAGAATCAGATCTTTGCATCTTCTCGTCCTGTGCTTCTCACTTTTTCTATAGAAGAAATTTCCAGTGCTTCACTCACTCTTTGTTTTTCTCATAGCTTATACAAAAGCCACTCTTACTTGAAACCATTCATCTTTTCACTCCAGAATTTGAATTCGTTCCATACTTTTCACCAACATTCGAAAATTCTTCACATATCACAGTCTTGGGCCAACAAAGTCTCCAGCAACACCGACTGCAGGTCTAAAGCAGACCATGACACTATCCATGCTTTGCCGGGCTGCAAGGCCTACGGTTCTCAGCCAAACGCCGGCGACTGCAACAGTCTTCACTTTATGCATGAGACAAGCTCATTCTCTTTCAGCAATACACGCCGGCATCCGGAGGTCAAGCAAGAATGAATCCAGCATGACATATGCCGAGAGGAAGGCAGCAAGAGAGGCACTACCGAAACCGACCTACAAGATCCGGAAGGGCAAGAAGGACATTACCGAATACCCCGCCAAGGCCGATCCTCAGTCACGACGGGCTCGTTTCTACGATCCCGAGTCCAAGTTTGGCAAGAAGAGCTTGGTGTACAAACTCAAGACCGGCTACCTGGATGAGGATGTGAAGGAGGCGCTGGTGCGTGAAACTGGAAAGGCACCTTGGAAGGAGAACGAGGCCAGGTCATCTGGGAAGAAGTCTGCTTCAAAGCCTGCGTCCAAATTCAACAAGGACCTCTTGGATCCAGCAGACTTTCATGCGGCCTTTGCGGGAGGTTCATCATCAGAGCCCGCCAAGTCTGAGAAGCCCGTGAGGCGGGCACCAGCACCATCCAGGGACTTTGGCAGGGAACCCCGTCGGGAGTCTTTTAGAGATCGACGAAGTGAACCACGGAGAGAGGGCTTCAGCAGACAACCCCGCGAATTCGGGCGGGAGCCACGGAGGGACGGCTTCAGCAGAGAACCCCGCGAATTCGGGCGGGAACCACGGAGGGACGGCTTCAGCAGAGAACCCCCGTGATGACGACAATGGGTTCAGGAGGCTTCGGGAGGAGCGGACTGTGGAAATCAATGAGGAGCTCCGCGACGCCGTCGATGAACCATTCCCAGAGCCCAGTGAACCTAGAAGGGACTTCAGGGTCTCCCGCAGCGAACGCAGGGACCAAAGACCTGAAAGAAGGGACTCCTTCAGAGACACTCGCAGCAGCACCCGGGAACGGAGAGAGACCGACAGAACCCCTCGCAGGGAATTATTCAGGGATAACGACAGGGAAGAAACAACGCCAAAGTCACTATCCATCCCCTATACCACCGCGGCCTCGCAGTTCCTGTACGGCACTTCAGTGGTAGAGGCGGCTCTTCAGGCGGCCAGACGCAAGCTTTACAAGCTCTACATCTACGCCGGAGCCAACCGTGAGAAGCTGGCCAAGGACGCCGCCATCCAAAAGCTCGCTCAGAGGAACAAGGTCGAGATCGTTTTCGTCAACGAAGACGGTCTAAAGATGATGGACAAGATGAGCGGATCCCGCCCGCACAACGGTTACATCCTGGAAGCGTCCCCGCTCCCACAACCACCTGTGATCTCCTTGGGAGAGGTCGTTGAGGCCGAGACCGGGCAGGGGACTACCGGTTATAAGGTTGTCTTGGGCCACCAATCGCACGAGGAGGCCCTCATCAACGGCAAATCCGATTTTGTCTCTGCGTCCAGCACCACTCACAAGCCCTTGGTTGTCGTGGTAGATCAGATTTTGGATCCCGGTAACCTCGGTGCCATCCTCCGCAGCGTCAGCTTTCTAGGCGCCACCGCTGTTGCCATTACCAAGAGGGAATCGGCGTCCATGACCCCGGTCGCTCTCAAGGCCTCTGCGGGCGCATCCGAGTCGCTCGCTCTCTTCTCCGTCGGCCACCTTCCCAAGTTCCTTCAGGACTCGAGGGAGAACGGTTGGCTGGTCTATGCGGCCGTCCCGCGCACCAGCGGCTCTGGAAACCTGCAGAAGCACCTGGACCTTCATGAGATCGAGGAAATCGATCCTTTGCGCACAAACCCCTGCATTCTCCTTCTCGGTAGCGAAGGCGAGGGTCTTCCTGGACAAATCAAGAGCAAGGCGGACTATGAGGTCAACATTCCCAACATGTCGGGTGGCACGGTGATCGACAGCTTGAACGTCAGCGTTGCGGCGGGCTTGCTTACCTCGGCCTTCATGAAGGGACAGGTGAAGTCGGAGTTTGAGCAGTTTAAGGTTCAGGAGGAGAAGTCGCATCTTTGGTAAAGGTAGAGAAAGGAGATATGTTGGTGTACGATAAAAGCCGTGTACGAGGGGAATGTCGCATCTATGAGCACAGCAGGGTATAGATTTTCATGATACCATACAACTTAGAATAGATACCCATCATTGATAGGATAGAGATGTATGTACGTTTGCATACCTCGTTACAAACCTGAACAAGAACAATGACCCGGCCCGGCTTCGGGATTCGGAGCCGGCGACGGGAGCATGCAAGAAAGGGCGTGTCGTGGGGTTCCACCACACAGAGCGGGAGATCTCCGTGACTGTCGCTGTCGTCCACTCATTGCCCCCTGATTATGTCCCACCTCCCGGCGTTTTGGGCCCAATGGCTGCCTTCAAAAGCACCTGGAAGTGCCACTTATTCGGCCCACTACCACTTGGCGTACGCTGATTCTCTCGTTCAGGCAGTTTGTTTTTCAGGCTCGGAGGTGTCCACGGCAACCGGCAACCTCGATCTTCGACATCTACCACGAGAGGTAGCCTGCCTTTATCAGTAACGCTACGGCATCAACTTTCTTTTCGGATTCTTCTCTGGCCACAGGGAAAATTGTCCGAATCTCAAGACTTCTCAAGCCTTCTCCAGGCTCTTAGAAGAAGCTTCATGGGGCCGGGCGCCTAGGTATTGACTTTGGTTGGCGATCGGGTACGTGTAGTCTCACCGCTTGCAAGGTATCCCAGGTATCCATCGAGGTTCTCCCAGCCACCCAAAAGTTTAAACGAAAGTTGCGAGCTGAATCACGACAACAACAACTTTTTGTTTCTCTCAAATATTTCTCTCCAATTCACCACAAAACAACCATCCCAACGGAATTTTACCTACGGAGGAAGCGGCGGGAAAAGGGTTGAAAAGAAGGAAAAAATCGAAACCCAACATCCCAAGACTCAGTCACCAACCAACCATGCGTCTCCTCCCACACTCACTATGGCTCCTCATCGCCGCCCACCTCGAAGCCGCGCAAGCTCAACAAGAACAACAACAACAACAACTTCCCACAGCCATCAAGAAGATGCCTCCCGACCAAAGCGAGAAATTCCACCCTCACTACGTCGCCTTCGCCAATGCCGATACCATGGGTTCCAATGACGATGACCGCCTGCCACCCATCATGGGCTTCATCTCAGTCGAGCAGCAGCAGCAGCAGCAGCAGCAACATGAACAAGTCGAAGCCGAAGATCCCGTCCTCGCCGCCCGCCGTCTAGCCGACGAACAAGACTTCCACCTCCTCCAACCCAACTCCTCCTCTTTGATATTATCCTACCGTCCACCCTTCGCCAACCACGATTTTCTTTTCCAAAGAAAGCTAGAGGAAGAGCAACGAGCAGCCTGGAGCTTATTCCGCCGGTCGCGGGAAGCGCTCGCCCGCCTGCAACAGCACGACAAGCACAAGCGGCAATGGAACTGCCCCGAAGGCACAGCCAGCTGTTCGCGCATCGGGTACCCGAACAGTTGCTGCAGGACGTCGGAGACCTGCGTGGAGATTGAGGATGTCGGTCTGGGGAAGGTAGGGTGTTGTCCGGCGGGCGCGACGTGCGGCGGGTCGGTGTCTACGTGCGCGGATGGAAACACGGGGTGCGCGTCGGAGATTGGAGGCGGGTGTTGTTTACCTGGGTTTGTGTGTGCTGGTGTTGGGTGTAAGTTCTCTCTCTATCCATTTCCCCGTCTCCTGGTTGTCCACCATACCATAGCAGAGTACCATACTGACTTTTACATAAATAGGCATCAAAGAAGGCACATCCCCCACAACCACCCTCCCAGCTCCCACAAGCAGCGACACAACAGCCATCATCCCTCCGGTCCGCCCAACATCCTCATCCTCAACTACTATCACCTCCTCGCCTCCTCCCCCACCGACAACCACCATGCCCCCAAGTAGCAGCGCCCTCTCCTCCTCGCTGGACTACTGCCCAACAGGCTTCTACCCCTGCCTCGCCTCCGCCGGCGGCGGCTGCTGCCAAACCGGCCGCGACTGCAGCGTAACCAACTGCCCGCCAATCGAGATGACCACGATAAAGAACACCAACGGGATGACCGTCGCGGTGCCCATCACTGCCGTACCGACCACGACAGCAACGGGCACGTGCGCTTATGGGTGGTACATGTGTGGAAAGGAGGCCGGCCCGCTGCCTGGGTGTTGTCCGAGCGGGTACGCTTGTGGAAGCGTCAGTTGTTCGGTCGTGATTACGCCTACGGGCTCGGGAGAGTTAGCGACGGCGACGGAGGCGAAGGAGCTGCCTACGTATACCAAGGCACCGGCTGCACCGCTGGTTGGTGCAGGGGCGGCGAGGGAGGTTAGGGGCGTGGAGGTGATCGTTGGGGTGGCGGTTGTGGTAGGGGGGATGATGGTTTGATTCCAGCCTGGGGGTCCTTGTAGAAGAGATTGACAGAAGGACGACGCTCCTGGGCTCATCATGATTAATGCTAATATGTGTATATGTGGGTAGACGATTTTTCATGTCGGTTGCATTACTTGGGAGTTTTAGCGTCTTTCATGATATTTCTGAACTGGGTTAATGGACAGCATTCTTGCTAATGAAAAGAAAAATAGTGAGGTCAAGAGTCCCAAATCCATCGTCAAACGGAATACCAATGCTTCAAACAAGTCATAAGTCATAACCCACCTTCTCGGACCATCGCCAGGACCCTAAGCGCTGGATACCCCCCTCTCCTCACAAAACTTCTTTACCTCCTTCTTCAACGTCTCGTCCTGTCTCCTCACCAGATCCATAATATCCTTACACTCCTCACCCAAGCCTCCCGCCTCATCTCCTCCCATCCCCTCATACAAACTCACCATATCCCCCAGCACAGCCTGCAACTGATTCGGCAACCACGTCACGATCGGACTGCCTCCTGTAGCCGTCGGATGGCTCGTCTGCTTAAGGATATACTCCCTAGCAAAGCACCAATGACGCCAGCGAAAGTCCCGGACCTGATTCAGCATCTGAATCCACAGGCTCCGAGAGCGCCTCACTTCGTCCCTCTCTTCCTCTATCATATTATCCGTACCATCATCAAGAGCAAGCGCCCAGTTCCTCAACCCCACCACCTCGCTTCCCCTCTTCACCCACTCCAAAAACGCTCGATGGTTGCTGGGTCTGTACGACCGGAAATCCTCCAAAATCTTGGTCAGGGGCGTGTCAGGCATAGGGATCTGCAAAAAGTTATCCATAAGAGGGATCATCGAGTCGTTTGCGCCGGACTCGCCGCGGAATGAGAGCGGCTTGCCGTCTGAGCCCGGAAGACCCTCATACACGACGCCGTTGGGGAACATGCTCTGACTCTTAATGCCGAAGATGAAGGTACGGAACGAGGTGTATTCGTTGGGCTTGGAGCGCTTCCACATGGTCTCCATTGTGGCATTGACTTTCTTCAGGGCGGCTAGCATCTTGGACAGGGACATGTTGAGGGATTGGCGCGCGGATAGTCTGGCCTCGGGATTGGTAGACGAGGAGGAGAGGGCAGATCGGCATACGTCGAGAGAGGCTACGGCGCCCGCTACGAGCGGACCGGAGTGCCGGACCATGTCAATGTGGACGAGCACGAAGCCAGCTTCGGAAGAGGTAGGGTCCAGGCCGTTCTCGAAGGCGCGGATGAGGCGGACGTTGGAGGGGTCCGAGAATGAGAAGCCGAGGGAGGGGTCGACAAGGCGGTAGTTGAAGAGGGCATACGAGCCGGCATATTCCATGAAGGGTTTGAATTCGCATCTATGTTAGGCGGAGCTTGTCAGTCATTTGAGGATTGATATGAAGCAGGAAGAAAGGTGGGAGAGTGAAGACTGAGTTGGAGTTGGCACCGAACAGAGACGAAGCTCCAAAGACAACCCTCGACGCAAAGATTTGTGGGATCGACCAAAGTAAGGGGTGAGCACTTACATCTCAGCACACTTAGCAATCGGTCTCGCCACATTCGCCGGCAATACCTGTCTCCCAAGTCCATATTCTTCCCCTTTTACGAACCTCTCATGGCAGGGTTCCAACAAGTATGCCGACGCCAGGAACGAGTAGTCCCGATACAGGGCGTTCATCAGCGGTAGGTCATGCCTATACTTGTCCACAAACTCGGTCAAGTCCGGCAGCTCCTTGTGGACGGCCTTGCCAAGCAGCCCCTTGCCCTTGGCGAGCAGGCCTGGTTTTCCAGAAGCAGTCTTGACTGGCATGCATCGGAGGATGCATTCAAGGGGGTCGAACTCGGAAGGTAAGTTGACGACGGGATCCATACGTGGGAGAAAGCCACGGGTGGTAGAGACCATGAATGCGGGAAGGGAGACATCATCTGGACGAGGGTTGTGGAGGATGGGGAAGTCGGTGTCGTAGACAGCGGTATCCTTTTCCAGGGAGCCCATTGTGCGGATGTCGTAAATGATCAATGATGATTACGATGATGATGATGATGATGGCGATGGTTGTTCCAAATTTGAAAAAGCGAGCAGAAAAAAGCGATCTAAGAGGCCTTCGTCTGGAGGATGATGCATATGCAGAAGTTGAAATGTGAAAAGACCGAGTATCTCTGCGCCTATATAGACCGTGGCCGGAATCCATTCCGGCCTCTCGTAGCATGCTCAACCCAATCATTTTCCCATGTCTCGTCCATCACAGCAGGCGCGCCCCAAGGCCGGTTTCTCTTTGTCATGGGTTGACGGGTTGCAAGAGACAATAGCTACGGGTTGTGATAGTTTGTCTGTGGTCCCGCCTTCCATCCATCGACCACTGCAAGGGAGTAGGAATGAGAGATGGTGTATAAATCTGGCAGCCACGATGCAAAACGTGAAGATATCTGGCAGGCGTCAATCCCATTCGGTTATTGTGGTCGATGAGGCTTTCTTTCTCCAAAAAAAACGGAGAGTTTCGACATAGTGTTGGCCTAATATCGGCGAGTGTCTTTGTTCAAAGTGGTCTAACGGGTCGTCTCAATGATTGTTCTTATCATCGGCCAGCGAGACAAGTTCCGTCTCAATAACGACAAAGCTGTGAAACTCAACTCCAAGTACTTCGGCCCGGCCTGCATCTCAACCGTGCACAAACCAAGCCACGATGCCGCATGTGTCGTCAGGCGTGCGTATCGGTGTGTACATGTGAGCCATGACACCGGGATTGACTAATGGGAATTGGGAAATCCCCACTTTGCTCCGGCCCTAGCCGGTCCCAGCCGGCCTCAGCTTGCCGATGTTAAACCCCACTTGGCCGGAATGGTTCCGGCCACTAAGTCCGGTCACCGGTGATCAATAATAGTGACCCGTACTATTGGTTCCAACTCAGTCCCGCCCTTATCGCTTGCTAAACCAACCTGACATCAAGGTTCAGCGGGGTATCTATCTATGAAGTTGTCCTCTGTTTCTCCGGGATATCTTACATTGTACAGTTTACTCTGGTCGTAGCCCTCGTCATGCATTCCCATAGCCAGCTTGAATCTGCTCACTTCCAATGACCTGTTTCCTCAAGCCTTGTCGTTGAAAAGGTTGGCACTTGAGTCTGCCGGCCAAAGCAGCTCAAAGAGCCGGTCATGGTGTTGCTCCAATTCTGCCGATCCAGCTCTCCTAACCATATTCCCTAACCTCCTAGACCTGAAAATGGATCCCCCATCATCCTCTCCTTCGCCCTTGGCATCACTCATATACTGGAGCATCAGATGCGTGTAAGCGAAAACACTTGCGTCAAAAATTGTCGGCGTCTGCGCTCCAAAGAACCACCCAGTTTTGCTTTCCGAAAGCAGTGTCGCCAATGCCTCAAAGGCATTCACAGCCGCTCTGTACACGGCGTCCTCATCAACTAGTAGAGATAACGCCGTAGAAGCAGCGCCACCGGGCCCGGTCTTTAGAATCTCGGCTTCTGCTGCTCGGCGCAGTTGGTGTCTGAGTGCGCCGCGCACCCAGAATGAAGAGGAAGCTGTCGTGATGTAGAATCTATCTAGCAGATCTGTGCACTCGGGGTCGCGGTAAAGGGCCTGTAGCCAGGCGTTTCGGATGGGGACGTCGAGGAGGGCTTGGTAGGCGTCAAGCCTCAGGGCTGAAACATCTGGAGGATTTGAAGTACCGTATTTCAGGGCATAGTCATAGAGTTTGGATGACGGGATTGGTGATGGGGCGTCGGTAGGGGCCGATCGCTTAGGGAGGATGAACGGAAGCGCGCCGGTAGGTGAGGCATGGTTGGTCGAGGGCAGGATTTGGAACTTGACACCGGCAAGCTTGAGGAACGCCTATTTGATGTGAGAGAGTAGAGTTAGACATTCGTAGCTTGACCCTCTGCAAGTAACCTTTTCGGCGACGTACCTGCCACTTCAAACAGCTCGGGTTGAAGCTTGGTGCCCCCAGTAGCGCATCCTCCTCGGTGGAAAAGACGTAAAGTGTAGGAAGGTTGCCGGAAGTAGCCGATTGTGCTCGCGCGGGTAGGGCGTTGACGTCGTAAGCGACAAGAGGAAACGTATCGAAAAGCTTCTGGAGCGGACGAGGGACCTGCATCCACTTGCGAGGTGGTGCGGCGGCGGTGGTGGTCGCCATGGTTTGTTCTCGGATCGACCTGGTACGATGTGTAGAAAATATGCGATGCGACGACTGGAACGATGATGGTTCTTGGCTTTCGATTATGACGGCGAGCGGGGTGGTGTATGGCGTTGTGTAGAGACTTCAAGCCGTACCTTATGGAGGGGTAGGTAAGTTGTTTCGATCGGTATCCTAGGTTCCGGGCCTGAAGCGGAGTGTGACAAGTGAAGTGGCTGTTCCTGAATCTCGATGTCGCAGCTTCCGGATGGAGACAGCTACGCGGTACGTCAACCTTTTCGGTTCCTTCCTTTCCGTGTCTCCATAACGCGGCTCGGCTACCTCTAGTGGAGGACCGGGCGCGCGGGCAGTAAGTGGGGCCGGGTGTACTGAAAGTGGGGCATTGGGCCGGCCTCGCCTCGGCGTGCAAATGCACCGAATGCATTTCACCGAACCGAAGCCGCACAAATGTCGGGAAGTCACGCCGGTGAGCCTACCCGAAACTCGTTCCGCTATAAAAGCCAACATGGCCCAAGCTTTTGTATTTCTGCCCGTCCACACTACCGTCGCGTACCTGCAGCGCCCGGGACTTGTGCTTCTCTTACTTGTAGATTCATGAGGTACCCCTCCGTTGTCCTTTCAACCGCCTTGCCGCCATTCCCAAATCCGACTGATTGCATCAAAGATCAACAGCCCAGAGAGGCAACTCGAAGGTGGAAGCATGAAAAAAAATGAAACGAAATCACAAAGCACCCCAAAACGCCATTCGAACTCTTGGTTCGGCTGTACTTCCGACATAGTTCGCCACTCTCTCGCCGACATCTTGTTCTCACCGTTGATTAGCTCCCTCGAAGCGACGGCTCTTGAAGCCAAACTTTCCGCAACTTGTCCCGCGCCAAACGTGGCAGGTCGCTGACTAGCTTAGGGATACCGGGATCTTTTGCCGCGTTATCAGTCTCATCAAAGAGGATTAGAGGATTCAATTTTCGGAGTTTATAACATCAATCCTCAACATTCGACGCATATGCGGCTTGCCCGGGTGGGATTGGCAGCATTGTGGTTCCACTGTCGTTCGACCCTTTTAAACTGTCAGGCTTTTGCTTCTCTGAGTGACACTACACAAGGGCTACCCAAGCTACCTACCTCGACCTACACATACAGCACACGAAAACTACCGAAACATTATTAAACATCAATGTCTGGGAGATTTATCCATGAACCCAAGCAAGAAATTAAACCCCGTGTTTGGATTCTTGGAGCTGCGGATACGCATGTGGTCGCGGGCGGGCGGGCGGGCGGGCGGACAAAGAGGCCGAAATTGAAAAAGCCAAAATGCAGCCCTGTAGAGCCAAAGATTCAAGGTGCCCCCACACTCACCCACCCTTGCTCCGCTCCGGGCCGGGGTTGCAACTGACTGGGGCCCTGCCCGGAAGATAGCGATGAGATGCTGCCGGAAGAGGGCTTCACATGTGCCAACTCCCGAAGCAGTGCCAACTCAACAAAGCAGATACCGAAGGCAGAAATTTACACGATACCCGGAGAAAGCTCACATAGGTGTGTTACAGGACAAAGGAGCTGGCAACTGAAGTGCCAGCGAGTACTGTATCTAGGTAGGTTGGCTCCTAGGAAGGTTTCTGCTCCAAAGGAACGAACTGGCTCCCACCAAATATCCGTGAAACATGGGGAAATACCAACCGGACGGCACGAATCGTGTATCATCAACAGACCATCTCGGGGTCTTGTCGATCTAATGAGATCTATTACACCTGAAGATATTTCTGGACGAACTATGCTCGCCCTGGGTCAGCCTGCGCATCGCCATTCGCTGTGATTGCGTGCTTCACTTCATTTCAAATGTCAGGGGTCACGAGTTATGAGTGTCCCTTCAGATTACCGAACCTATTAATAAAAAAGAGCTTGAAATAAGGAACGAGGATTGTCGGCTTGCGACTGAACCCTTACTTGAAGAGTTGGTCCACTCGTCTGCAGAAAGATCAAGTAATCTTCAAAAGACTCTTGCGCAAGGTACGTATGTACACTCAGGTTGGAAGGACCGACAAATGGTAAATGCTTGTCGCCATGAGCTAAACACACGTGTGGCCCATTTGCTTGTATCTGTCAGGGAGTATTTCTTACTGGCGCAATAGGGATGAGAACTTAAAGGTCAGATGAGAATCATGAAGAGTGTGGGGGAACGGGAGCACCTGGGCCTCGACGGACGGGGTGGACATCATGATATGGGGCGCATATGGAGGTGGATCAAACGTCCCCCGCCCTTGTCTGCAAACCCCAGACAAGCACTTCCACGCTGCAGAGTACCTGTGAGGTACAGGCTTTGGCTTTTACGGAAAGCATTGGATGACGAGGAAATGAGAGCAAATGACAACGCAAATGCGACATGCCGGCTGTTCTGCGGAGGTACCTCGCCCGTACCTCTTACAGGACAATCTGCTGGCTTGGCACGGTTAATTGGAAGAAGCCCCATTGTTGATCCTCCATCACCTATGACGCCGAAACAATGAGTGTCACCACGGTCACTACGGTCAGCCGCTACTCCGAGCTGGGTATCTACACATTTATCCATTTTGAGGTACCTGGAAGGTGTCAGTCAGTCTTGTGGAAGAAGAAAGGTGAAGATGTTGATTTGTGAAGCAACTAAGATTACATGGCTGGAGGGGAGTTGTTCACGTCCACCTGATGCTTCAAAGGATGGAATTCAGAATGTGATATATTTCACCGTCATCCACCCCCAGTCGTCCCAAGGCTTCTTCCCCATCAATCCTACACACCAACGCAACCTAGCTGTCCTCCATTCCCTTCGATATCTCATCGATCGATCCTGTCACTATCGGACACCGCCGGCACTGCAGTATCACCACGTCAACGGGCATCAAACAACAAGACACACCAGAGGTCACTTTGCATCTTGCAGCCTGCACCATCCCCGTTTCCAGTACACCACTACAAAAGGGGACAGATTACCAGGTATTGGTTGCCGTATTAGCCTGTTGACTGTCCTCTTCTCCCTCGTGTGCTCTGTCCTCCTTCGACAATCATTGCCTGGTTTTACACAGTATCTCGTCAGATACTGTTTGCTTGCTTGCTTGCTTGCTTGCTTCCAAGTTGTATCGCAAAACCAAAGGACTCAACATCGGTCGATAATCTGAAGTCATAGCGGGGAACCTTCCATTCCTGGAAAATTGGAGAAGAACGAGCAAAAACCGGAGCAAAGGGTTGAGGAATTCAAGAACCAAGAAACAGTCGTATACATCATCCTTGGCGTTGGTTCAGTCGTGAAGACAAGCACCCGCCCCCGGCCTTTTTTTTTTCTGCTGCTGTCGGTCGGTCTCGGTCGATCCACTCAAGAGGATCCCATCAAATCCCACACCCTACCCTGGACGGAATTCGGAGAGCGAGAAATTCTCTTATCAGCGAGCTTCCTCCGCGAAAGAACGAACACACACCATTCTTTTTATATACCTCTCTCTCCTACCTTCCCTCCCAAATCTCCAACAACTTCTTCCCTCTCTACCGCAGCAGCGACCAAATATTTCGACCACACACACCTCCCTCAGCTCAGCTCCCGCGATCACCCCAGAGCACTTACCAGCAAAACCTTATCAACAACAACACTCACACCTTCTTTGAGAGTTGCCTGTCCATCACCCGGCAACCGCTCACTTCCAAATACAAAAACACCAGACAACCCCCAAGACTTCGATTCACAGCAATCATCATGGACGCCTCCAACTCCACCCCCACAACTCAGCAGACCTCCTCCATGGCTTCCATCCAACGGTCGCCCGTAGCCGCCAAGATCGCGCCGCCTCAACCTGCTCCCGCCAAGACTGGAAACTCGACGGACGCCTTCCTCAAGGACTTCACACTGGTCGCTGAGGCCGCAAAGCGCGCCCAGATGGCTGTGATGATGCGTGACTTTGAGGATATCGGTCTTTCATAAACGACTCGATTGATCACATGTTGTGATTGAAGAAGGCATCTCCTGCGAGGATCATGGGGTAGAGACGACAATCGGTGTTTTCTCCACTTTGGGCAACAACGACAACAACTTCTGGGCCGAATTGGAGTCGGATTGCGACATCGCTGGCTGCTGTTGTCACCAATCGTCCCCAAATGGCGAAGAGGTCCGGAAACGAGAGTGGCCTTTTGATGGAAGTCAACGAGCGATTCATCTGGCTCATTGACGGAACTGTTTTTCACCCTCCCCGACGTTTCACCATCAAAGCGACTCGAAATGGGCAGTTTCGCCAACCGGTCACAGGGAAAAACTCTGAGTATCCGGAAGAGACTTGGTCTGCGACATTGGTTCATTCGGGAAGCACACATGGCATGCCACCGACAATAACTCAGGAACCATTGCACCTGAACCACGGCACAAGAAAACCCTCACGGATGAGACTCTCTGAGGCAGCATCAGCTTGCTGAGAAACTTGATTTTGTCACCACCCCTCCTCTCCTCTACACCAACAAGAAGAAGAAGCCTTCGCAGGCAGCCCTTCACACACATTTTCCCCTTCTCATCACTAATACCGTCTGGGCGTTACTGGGGCGTTTCACACTTTGATTTTATTTTATTTTTTGACATTTCGGACATACGGCATCATGGAGTACAAGGGTCCAGGGCACAGGGAAACCACGGGGGAGCATACACAAGCACAAATATACCTTACACACATAAGAGACGGACGGCGGCGCAGAAGATCCGGGGCAGGCGGATGCTGAATTTTTTTAATTTTTTTTTACCACAACGGGCGGCGGAGTGGCTACATGTATCATCTCACAGGGGAGTGAGAAGGATTTTTTTGTCATAATAAGCATTATCGGCTGGATATATCCCATTTGCACTTTTCCACTCAGATATCTCTGCTCTCTCTTTTTACTACCAGCACAAACCAGATAAAACGTATACATGGATGGATAGATATCAGCCGAGATACTCATGGTTAGGTAATAATTTCAAGCGAGAAATCACTGGATCATCAAGATTACCCAAATTTCGAGTCCATACGTGTGTAATAATAAGAAAACGCTATTATTAGCAATCCAGTCCAGACCACCCTAACGAGCTAACCTTACCATTCAAACTTGATCAAATCTTCGACATAAGCGCCACTCCTCCATCAAGCGTCACCGTAGCCCCATTGACAAACGCGCCCGCCCTGCTCGCCAAAAACAGGCACGCGCCCGCCGCGTCCTCCGGCGTTCCGATTCTCCCCAGGGGATTCGCAGCCTTGATATCCTCGCCAAAGTCCCTCAGCGTCGCCGCCATCATCTTGCTCGGGAACGGCCCGCACGCCAGGGTATTGCTCGTAATGCCCCTCGGCCCCAGCTCCACGGCCATGTGTCTGCTCAAATGGTGCAGGCCGGCCTTGCTGGCGCTGTACGCGTACGTCGGCAGCAGCGGGACTCTGATGCCGTCGATGCTGCCGATGTGGATCACGCGCGCCGGGTCAATCACCACGTCACCAGTCGTCGTCTTCTTGGCCGCCTTCTCCAGCAGCGGCGTCAGCGCCTGCGTGAGGGTGAACACCCGGTGCAGGTTCAGCGTGAGGAGCTTCGTCCATGCGTTTTCGGGATACTCGTCGTAGGCGGCGCCCCAGGTGGCGCCGGAGTTGTTGATCAGAACGTGCAGCTTTTGCTCGCGCTTGGAGAGTTCTTGGGCTAGGCGCGTGCACTCCTCGGCGGAGGAGAGGTCGGCGGGCAAGGCGACGGCGGAACCGCCCGAGGAGGTCTTCTCGGCCAAGGCGTTGAGCTCGGCGGCGGCGGACTCGCACGCGGAGGCGTCGCGGGAGGAGATGTACACTCTGGCGCCGTTGCGGACGAAACCTTCGGAAATCATGCGGCCGATGCCTTTGGCGCCGCCGGTGATGAGGACGACTTTGCCCTGTGTTGAATCAAGTTGTTAGCGTTCATTCTTTTGGGGGTCGTTCGTTGGGGAAGGGAATATGTATGCTATGCGCATTGTATGATGTGCATTTGCAGTGCGGTGCGGTGCGGTGCGGTGCATGGGAATGACATGAAATGACGTAGACTTCAATAGACCGTTAGACGTACCTTGATGCCGAAGAGAGTGTTGACATCCATCTTGATGATTGCTGCGGCTCCTTCTTTACCGACTAGTTGTGGTTTCGTAGAGGTAGTTGTCAGAATTGGTGGGTTCTCCGGTGAAAACCAATCCAAAACCCATCTCTCATCCGGGATGATCGGGGCCGGAGGATATCAAGAGGTTCTTTAAAACCATCTTTCTCCTACGTACTACCAGCCAAACGATATCCGGTCGGTGCTGTTCACTAAGACGGGAAACTGTCGACCGAGACGGTTTCAAACGACAAGCCGAGGCTCGTTGGCGTTGCGGTAGTTGGCCAATCAACGTGTCCTTCTTATCGATAGCTGTCACTGATAATAGTTTCGCGGGGAACATCCCAACGAGATCGGCCAGCGGGCCAAGGGGGTTGCGGTGAACGGTGAGCACGGTGAGCACGGTGAGTGTTAGGTAAGCCCGAAGGACGGTCAAGGTGAGTGACGCTGACCGAGGAACGGACTCTCACGCAAGCCTACCTCATTATGACAGCTGGGGGTGTAAATAAACTATGAAACGCTCGCATTATGTAACCTCTAATATGAGGATGATAGTACTTGATTGATTACGCAATATGTGGAGGCATGAAAGTGCCTAGGTACGGTCAGCCACAGCTGTTCTCGTTTTACCGATGAACACTCTACGCCCACCTCCGTGAGTCAACGGTCAACCAACGTGAATACGAAGGGCTATACGAGGAGACATCTCAGAATCTTTCGAAATAGCTTATTTTATGGTTTATACAGTTGCACTTCATAAGCTCACCCACTAGCACACCATGGCAAGCGATCCCGAACCCCCCATCAACACCCCAAGCGCCAACGACCACGCAATCCAAGGCCAATTCCAGCGCCTCCGTTCGCTCTTCAAAGACTTAGACTACTCTAGCCACCCGGAACATTGGGACACGCTATGGAAAGAATCCTTCACCCCGTGGGACCGCGGCGGACCTAGCCAAGCTCTCAACGAAGTCCTTTCACTGCACCGGGAGCTCTTCCCAAGAGCCCCCAACAGTTCTGACGACTGGGACCAGCCGAGACCCAAAGCCTTAGTCCCTGGCTGTGGGAGAGGCCACGACGTGCTACTTTTGTCTGCACACGGCTATGACGTCTTTGGACTTGACTCGTCTCCGGCGAGCTTGGAGGAGGCCAAGAAGAATGAGAAGAGGGTCGCCGAGGAGGAAAATGAGGGTAAGCGGAAGGAGTTGTATGCGCCGAGGAAGGAGCTGGGCGTCACTACGAAGGGAAGGGTGAGGTGGGTGGCGGGAGATTTTTTCGAGAATGACTGGGTGAACGATTCGGGATATGGAAAGGTGAAGAACGGGTTTGATCTTATTTTCGACTATGAGGTATGGTCCCTGGTGCTCCGTGTGCTTTGAAACGTTCTTTTCTCGCCTCGGCTTGCAATCAATTAGTCCAGACACACTGACTGGGATTTCTTTCCAGTTCTTTTGCGCCCTTCCGGCTGAAGCACGCCCACACTATGCCAAGAGGATGTCCGATCTTCTCAACCCGGACGGCGGAAGACTCGTCTGCCTCGAATGGCCACTTGACAAGGACCCCTCAACCGGTGGCCCGCCTTGGGGTGTTTCGGGCGACCTATATCTTGCCCATCTTGGGCATCCGGGACAGGAATTGCCCTACGATGACAAGGGACGGGTGATGAACGGAAGCGCGGATACAACGCCAGGTGCTCTCAAACGGCTAGCACGTATACAGCCCACATGCACACACAAGGCTGGGTGTGACGACCAAGGAAACGTGATTGATCGTGTCTCGGTCTGGAGCCACCAGTAAGGATGGTCAAGCAGAAACCTTTTCGGTACCAGTTACTTTGTGTGTTGGGGAAAAAAAACTTAGCGACAGGGAGGGTGACACTTTGATCGTTTTGCTTGAGCAACTTGCCTTTTGGCAAGACCATCGTCTCATGCGCTTGCTTTGCGCAGCGAATTGTAATGTTCTCCGAGGCCATATCCATGGCGATAGTACGCCAACCACAGGACCTTCAGCTCCTCCTTGTCCGCATTGCTCTCCCCATTTGCGACAGCGTTGGGCTGTATCACCTCGGTCCTACCGTCCTGCACCACCCTGATCTCCACGTTATACGCGTTTGCCAGTGCCGTCAGCTCCAGCTGTCCACCCCACTCTGCTGTATCCCGTATCTTGGCCACGTAGGTGTCGAAGGGCTCCTCGAGAAAAGGCGCAAAATCGTCCGCGTGTTTCTCCATGTAGTCAACCGCCGTATGACGCACGACCCTATATGGCGGAAGCTTCTCTTGTGTTTGCGTTCTCTTGCTCTTAGACAAGAGACCATCTACCGGGAGTCCGTGGACGGCAAGCTGGTCTGCCACCGCGGAGAAGAGACAGTGTCCATCGGGCTCGATATCCTTCTCATCCAAAGAATGTGCCTTGAATTCGCGCGACATGTATGCCTTCTCGATACCGCGGTGATCCACCATGCTCGAGGCCTCTTTCTCGGCTGCTGCAGCAGCAGCTTCGATTTCTGCTTGGCGACGTGCGAGACGCTCTTTCTGACGATTTCGTTTTTTCTCTCCGCCGCCCGAGGACTGTTCCACCGAAGGAGGGGAACTTGTTTTACTCGACTGGTCAGAGACTGTGGTCTTCTGTAGCTGCTCGGTCACATCGTTGACTGTTGATTCTCCGGCATTTTGCTCATCCTCCTCGGGCTCTTGGGCCTGCTCGTCGTTATCGTCGGCGCCGCCGCCTCCTTGCAGCTGCCTGAGCTCATCCTCCTGTCTCGCCTTCAGTTCGAGTTCCAGTTGGGCGCATTCATCGTTGACTCCTTTGCGGGTCTTCTTGGTCGCATTCTTCTTCTTGTTTGTGATGCGTGACACAAGGTCTCTCTGCTCCTTGCGATGCCGAGCTTGCATTTGCTCGAGTGTTTCGGACTCCATATTTGCTCGCTCTTGTAGAACCTGTTACGCTTCGAAAGGAAAATGGTGATTCCAGGCGAGTTCAGATATGACCGAGGTTAAGGCTCGAATGTCCCGTGCAGGTAGCCGTAGGTTTGAAGGTCTTGTTGTGGTTGAGAAGAGTGAAGCAAGGCCTAGGGACGCAGTGTCGAGAAACTCGCCAACATGGAATTCGAACGCGAGTGGGTCGGTGGCGGGGTTTGGCAGCTCAAGGTGCTACCTGTAACCCTAACCCCGTACAAGGTACCGAAGGGGTAGCGCGGGGGTGGGGTCTTTCAGGCACCGACCGATCTGTACAGATTGCGAGAACGTTCGATGCAAGCACGACCAGCCTCATGAACCAATATTAGCTGCATCGTTTTCAACAAAAACCACTGCGCCGTTGGTATAGTGGTTAGCATACTCGCTTCCCAAGAAATCCTCTAATTAGCGAGTGACCCGAGTTCGAATCTCGGACGGCGCACTTCCTTTTGCCTTTTTCTCACTCTATCTCCTAGTATAGTGAAAGCTCAGGAGATGTTCGAGGAATTCTTTTTTTTGACTCTTTTCACTCTACACATACAACAACAAGGTCAGCCTGGCTTCATGTAGCCCGAGTTAGAACCGGCCAGATTGGTTGTCATGGCGCACTCTCAATTCACAAACAGCTGGCAGGAAAGACATTCGTCGTCACTGTCAAGTGTATACATGGTCTTACACAATTCATCGCATATATATACTCTGGGTCGTCATTTAAAGCTTTCATCCAATTGCAAGGTCCCTCCATGTTGCTCAAATCACCTCCCAGACAGATAAGATTGGACACAACCTGCATTGACTCCTACGTGTAAGTAGAACAGTCCTCAGGTTCCGATTTGTCAACGGCCATCATTGGTAGTCCAGTCATGCACGCGAGACGCCTTTCCCGTCGTGCCCGTTTCCACTCACCCAGACAGACGTTGAGATGTCTGGATGCTGTCTTGTCTCTTCTTTACCGCCTTGTTGCTGCTGTACCCGTATCATGTACTGTATGTAACCGTTTCTTTTGCTGGCCTGTGGTACAACAGGCAGACATGTAAGGTACAACGCATACCCTTTATACATGTTACCGCCGATGTGGGTTTTCGTTGATTTGCCTTGGCCGTATTACGGGGTGGTGGGTACACTACAAAGAGGTTGATTATCTTGATGTTGTTCGATACACCCACGGACTTTGCCGTCTTTGTGAGGGAAAACCAGGAGGTGCTCATGAGTCTTTGAAATTGCGAAGTGCGAATATTGCTGGCTGTTGGCGGGGTAGCAAACGTATCAGGACTATAACAAATCCTTCGATGCCTGCGGGCAAACGTCCCATATATGGCAGCTGGGCCAGTGTGGGAGATGAAGGCTGAACTCATTTGGCTGAGTTATCGAAAGGTGGTTGATTCCAGGCAATGAAAGGAATAACATCTCCTTCCGCAACAAGTACTTGCCCGAAATCTTGCCCACATGCATGTTGGTGGTGCATTTGGGCCAAGCTTGGGGGATGAAACGAGGCCGACGTATTCGTACTCATGTACTCACATGCTGTATCTGTGGGAAAGAAAGTTACAACGAAGAGGCGCGAACTGCATGCCCATTGCATGGTGATGCTGCATTAGAAAAGAAAATTGATGGGTTGAAGAAGGACGGGGGAACTATGGAAAACGTGGGGCAGGAACAGACGAGGGGGTGCGGACGGGTTGTTGAACCAAAGCAAGGATTGGCCGGCGAGACATGGGAGAGGGGCTCCACTAGCTGGCACACAGCTCGCATCATTCGTCCATTTCAAGCATGAAACGTGTTTCAGACGTTTGGAGCCTAGCGGGTGATGAGCTTCTGCAAATCAGATCAATTAGAGTTGCGAACGACAACATTCTTCGCTCTCTATTTTCAATTAACCTCGAACCCCTTTGTATCTGGAGCGCTTGCTGGTGCCACTGGAACTATCACGCTCCGGGTAGTACCCCGCTCTGTACTTATTTTTCCTTCCTTCTTTTCTTTCATCCCAACTTTGTCAACACGTGCTCTCGTACGATTGTCAAGAAGAGACGATCAGTCACTGTTGTTGATCAACTCCTGTGACCGCCTTCTCGCTCACCGGGCAACGGTCGCTCAATTGCACATTCCAAGTTTTCCCCTTATCGATCGCAATCACGGCAGTCCATCCGGCTTCAAGCGTGCCGTACATCCACAGTGAATGCCGACGCGGTTGTAAGAATGGGATATGCGCCTCAGGAGTGGGAAAACACCTGGGTGAATTTTTGGTATCGGGAGGGGTGCATTGGCGGGTGGCAGGTTGGGCGGGAATGGGACCGTACAGGTTAAATAAAGCGCAGTGCAGCGGCGTACCTACATCATGTAAGGTCAGATGCGCAATGTGCTACACAAAACGACACTATGTAAAGATATTTGGTGTTACCTCGGCGCAGTGCTGGGCTTCTCACCCTCGCAACTGGACAAGACGAAGCGGCTGTCGCGATTACGATTGATTCAGGGGCACACCAGAACGGCCACGCAGCGCATTTCGGTCTATCATTAGCGGATGCCCATCAGGGTTGCACATCGACAGACTGGCGACGGGGAGGTGGGAAAGTGGGAGATTTGCACGATTATTGTGCTGCGGAGTTGGCGGTGGAGGCTTTGGGAAATCGCAGGACCCCATCCGAGGGGATCGCACAACGGCCCAAGAGTCCAAGACCTTCTTCTTCAGCTTGTTCGAGGAGTCCCGTCCCAACTGGAAACACTGGTCAGTCAAGGGACCTGCAGCAGCAAACCCTCGGCGGCATGCCGTCCCACCTGAAATTCCTCACGATTCCCTCGTGAATGGACACCTCGGATCTGGCGTCTTGATTGCTATGGTAGTAGGGCAGCAAACCTGGAGTCACTTCAAGTAGAGTTGCTTGGCCCGGGCTCCCGTCCCTGCTGCTGCCCCTGGCACGTGTCTGAGCGCCATGGCCGCTTTTCCCGCTTTTCTTTCGCTGTCCAAGAAGATAGCGAGAGTGATTTGCATTCGTTCGAAATTGGGAGCAAATTCTCACGCTCCACCATGGGCTCCAAAGTCCAAACAGGAGGTCCCTATAGTCCTTGGCCGCGTCTCTCGGCTCCTCATATAGCCCTTTTATTTTCCCTTGGCCGCCAGACTGCCAGTGTCCAGCATTAAATTAGGGATGTAGTGGCGACTCCCAAGAAGGAGCAGGACTTGGGAGACATGGGCTTGGAATGCGCGGGCCAATGGGCGCTTCTGAAGAGGTGGCTGATCGCCTTGTTCGGGAAAGGGTGCGATGCGGCGAGAGCAAGGGCAGGTTCGAAGGGGGCCACCCAAATACCACCCAGACGAGCCGATACACCCAGGATTGCGACCCTGGAACGGTGCAAATACGATACGTACCTGCAGCAACCCATGGCAGACCCATGCCTTGAGGAGGGTCTGGCAAGTCTGGTTAGGGTTCTGAGCGCGACGTACCTTCCACCCTTCCTTTCCTTCCAGTCGGGTCTTCTGTGGAAGTTTCAAGGGTATGGGACGCTCAGGTACGCCGCAGGTACCGTAGGTGTAATCTGCGGGTTCTTGGGTTGCCCTCGTCGACTCGTCGTTGCCCCCAGGCAGGCACCCCCGACCCCCGAGCCCCCGGGCGCCTCTCCACCCGCAAGAAATCGTGAGGGTTCCTGCCCGCTGCAAAGTGGAAAATGAATATCTTCCGCTGGGTGTCTCGCCTTCCTCATCAGTGTTCCCCTCTCCCTTCCCCGTAGTCCATCGTCGCCTTGTGGTTCTTCTCCCTCGTCATTCCCTTTTCCAGTCGTCATTCCATCCATTCCAGGTGGTCTGCTGCGAAGACTCTGTCCGACTCGTCGACATTTCACTCACTATCACCACTCGCTCTCTGTTGTACTACAGTCACGCTCTTTCACCACTCAACATCCCCATCTATCTTTCTCTTTTCCGCCCAGGGCGTTGATCACGCATTCTCGCATTCGATTCTACGGCATCTCTCCAGTGTCCATCCGTATTTCGACAAAAGGCAAACAATCTCGATAACCGACTCCGACTTTGGAACAAACACTGGTCAGCTGTGCGGCCTATTCAGTCATTTTAGAATCCTAAGAAAAACACGCGGTTGTGGACTCGTCGTGCTGGTCATATCTGGTGGATCGATCTCTGTCAAGAAGCAACTTTTACCGCAACTCACCGACTCGTCCGCTCGATTTCATCCCATATCGATACTTCGACCCCGCTCAACCGACAAGCGATTCTTGTTTTTGGCAACACAACCTTGGTGGGACCATTGTTCGTTTGGTTCAGTAACTTGGACGATTATCATTCGAGCATTTATTCTGCAACCTCGCCGTTGTCTTGACAGTCTTCCCCTCAAGACATCTTGCAAGGGCCTGAAATCGGACAACCGGATAACATCTGTTGTCCTTGGATATTGGTCAGTGCATTCTTGTGAAGAGCCAAGCTTTGGTGCTTGTTCACTTCTCGTTCTGCAGTTCCTTGCTGCGGATTCACTTTTCTAACATTGCACTCTTTCTCAGATTCCCATCACTCTTTCACCAATACAAAATCATCCTCAAAATGAAGGTTTCTGTAGCTATCCTCGCCGTTGCTGGCGGTGCCGAGGCCTTCTGGCGTATGGAGTGCCGCGGCACTTTGGCTGTCGGTCGTATCGACCCTCTGGTCAACTTCGGTGAACCTGCGGCTCATGCCCACTCGATTCACGGCTCTTCCGGTATGTCCATTTGTCCCAAGACACGCCTTAGGAGATGACAAATGTGCTAAATATTCAACAACAGGTTTTAGTGAAAAGGCCGATTTCGAGGACCTAGTTGGGGCTGACTGCACTTCTTGCGCTGTCACCCAGGATATGTCTGCGTACTGGACTCCTTCTCTCTACTTCCAGCATTCCAACGGCTCCTTCGAGCTCGTCCCCCAGGTCGGCGGTCTGTTGTCCTATTACTTCCTCTTCAAGGATGCTGCCAACCCCGACAGCGGCATCAAGGCGTTCCCTCCCGGATTCCGCATGATTGCCGGAGACGCTGCGCGCCGCAACTATACGATTGCCGGCAGCAACGTCAAGGATGTCGACCCTGAGAAGTCCGTGTGGGCCAGCCTTGGACAGACTTCCCAGGACGATCTGACTCAGCGTGCCATCGGATTCAACTGCCTCAACTACAACAAGGCTCCCGAGGGTACTCTGTACCGTCACTACATGCCGGACAAGGACTATCTCGATGCCAACTGCGCCGATGGTATTCGCGCCGAAATCATGTTCCCTTCTTGCTGGAACGGCAAGGATCTCGACTCTGATAACCACAGGTCCCACATGGCGTACCCCGATCTTGTCATGAACGGCAACTGCCCCAAGGGTTTCGAGACCAAGGTCCCTGGTCTCATGTATGAGACCATTTGGGCTACTAATGCCTTTGTCGGAAAGCCTGGTCAGTTCGTCTTCGCCCACGGTGATGTTCAGGGCTTTGGTTACCATGCCGATTTCATGACCGGCTGGGACGAGGACTACCTTCAGCAGGCCGTTGACACCTGCACCAACGACAGCGGAAGGATTCAGGACTGCCCCATCTTCAACATCCAGAGCGAGGATGACCAGAGACAGTGCACCTTCAAGAAGAGCAACTGGCTCGTCAAGCTGTTCCAGGGTACTCTCAACGAGAAAGTTACCGGCATGATTGGCGACTCCCTTCCCGGCAACGTGAAGATTGCTTACGGACCCGAGCCCGCCAATGGCCCCAAGGCCGCATCGCACACCACCCCTATCGAGGTCCCAACTGCTACTTACTCTCAAGGTGCTACTGTCACCAACGGCGACTACATGCCCGGAGGCATTTTCAAGGCTGCTAAGGTCGGCACCTCCGCTGCTGGAAGCGCTGTCGAACCCATCATCTCGACTACCACTCTCGTCTCCATTGCTAAGCCATCCTCGGTCGTCCCCAGCTCGACTACCGAGGCTTCGTCTGTTATCACTGAGGCACCTTCCGTTGTCGCGGAGGAGGATGGCGAATTCACCGCCGTCAGGACCGAGTACATTACCAACGGCAACGTTGTCAGCATGGTTATCGTTAAGGAGGCTCTCGAGTACGTGACCGTCACGACCACTACTGTTACGGCTGTCCAAACCGTTCAGGCCCGCCACTACTCTCAGTACTTGCATCGCCACAAGGTCCGCCACGCTGCGAACCACCGGGCTTAAGCCATGTGCTATATGACTGAAATCCGGTATCCTTACTTCACTTCTGCAGGCCTTGTTCCCTTCCTGGTGACAATTGGCTCTGGGCCACATTTGTGAAGAGCAATCTTCATGGCCATTTTTTCTTGTTTATGCTTTGCTATATCCCTGATGGATCTTTTTTGGTGGGTTGGACTGCATCTTAACAGACCATCATCCGATATATCCGGTCGAGGAAGTGGTATGGGAAAGCCAGCGGATTTAGGGAGATACACCTCAGAAAGTAGAAAAGGAGTTGATAATGCAAAGCCTTGTTCCCTGCACTTTTGCATGTTTGTCGTGGTCATCGGTAGGTATTGAGTACCTAATTGTTGTCACTTGTACTTTTTTTTTATCTTCTCTATTAGCATGGGCAGGCGTTCTAAGGTGACACATCCCAGTGCCTCTGCATAGGGCCAGGTATATAGGCCGATTTCTCTCCTGAGCGAACAATATAATAGCATAAAGAAACAAGTAAGATGGTTACCTACAGAATCTTAACCCACTTGATCCATCCGATGTATGCTCGAGTACTTTCTTTGCTGGATATGGTGAACTTAGGAGGGGATCCGGGCACGTTCACAATAGTTGCCATGTCAACACCACCACCATCTTACCATACATCATATCTATTATTTATGTTTTTCTCTTCGCGATGGTTGACTCAACACAACATACCTCAATGTTTACGTTGCCATGGCGATGGCGAGGGCTGGAATGTTGTCATGAAGTCTCGTGTCGTGGTGTTGTGGTGTTGCTCGGCGCAACGCATTCCATTCCATTCGCAGCAACAATGCTGCACTAAATCAACAATAACACTCCGTTTTATCTCGGCCCTTAGACATATGTTGCCATTCCGGAAACAAGAACCATTGTTTTCGTGTTTTCCGGTTCACATCGTCACTCTTTCTCTCAAAGGTTTCGTTGTTGAAACCACCACGTTCGTTTTCCTCACGTTCATTACCGGGTGACTTAGGACGACGACACACTGCGAATAGCAACAACAAGGGCCGAAAGAATCAACAGCTGTCGCCGACTTTACTGACAGACTGGCATTTGATCGTCAAAGAACCCGGAAGAAAGCAAGAATACGAAGCAAGAATACGAAGCAAGAACACGAAGCAAGAACACGAAACAGCACAGCACGGAAGAAAGCAAGAATAACAACATAACCCCAGCAATAATCGAAATACCAGGCAGGGGAGGTTCGAAATTGGAAACAAGCAAACTGCAGTCGAAGCCGTCATCGCGGACCAGCGGGCGACAACCCTAGCCTCACTCAAAAAAGAGTAAAAGAGAAAGCAACCACAATGGCCGCCGTCGCTGGCGCAGGGGTTGCTCTCCTCCCCTTCGGCGCCCTCATCTCCATCGTCCTCCTCGGCACATTCACCGTCTCCGTCACCGTCGCCTTCTTGGGCATCTGGCTATCGCGTCGTCGTAGACTAGCAACCTCAGCAAAAGCAAACAACAACAACAGCAAGGAAAGAAGCGGCGGAGCATGTCATCATGACTTGACTGGTGAGACGACCATTGCCGGTGCCGTTGCGTCCATGGAGATCGGCAGTTCGTGTTGTTGGCAACAATGATGATGATGGACTCAACGGCGGTGACGACAACTCCTCACCGACGAGAAAGAAGAGCCCAAGGAAGTTGCAGAAACTTCCGTCTGCGTCGTGGACGAGGGCGTCGGCTTCGAGGTTTAATAGTACTACTTCGCTGCTGCCTAAGGTGAAGGGGAAGCGGAGAGGTATTAGTGATAATGAAAGGTTGGGAGACGGAGGAGGACACGGAGAAGGAGAAGGAGAAGATGGTGTGCTTTCTGTTTCTATGCCACCGGGCATGTCGTGGATGGGTACTATGGGCGGCGGGCATGGCGTGCAAGGGCAAGGGCAAGGATCGCTGTTGCCATTCAGCAGGTTGAGAAAAACTTCTTCCGGCAGCCTTCTTCGTCAGCACAAGACAAAGCTGGGTCTGGGCCTGGGCCTGGGCAGGAAGAAGAGCAGTGCCAGTGAAAGGTGGATGGCGAACTCGGCGTGGATCGATGAAGAGGCGCTTCATGGACCAGAAGTGAGTGGGTTGAGCAACATTACTGATGAAAGCGGAAATGGTAATGACAACGAAAACAACGGGAGCCGCAAGTCATGGTTGCTTGGCTGGAGAAAGGGGAAAGGCAGAGATTGGATCCGGGAATCATGACCGCTGAAGACAAGAATGCCTACGGTTCCCAGGTTGGATGGTGACAATCAGGAACTTGCCGAGATTCAGAACCAGGGACTTCCCAGTGACGAGAGAGCAGAGCAGTTGGAGACCGAGACAATGACGGGTCATCTTGGGATTCTTTCTACTGATAGCGGTCGACGTGCGGTCAGATCTGCCTATGGCGCGATGGAGAGGCTGCTTCCCGAGCCTCCCCAGCCCGCGGTAGTGAGAGGACAAGCCGAAACGGGTGGAGGATTCGTCGTTCAACACAGGCAAACCAAGAGCGAGCCGCAGAGGATCTTGAGGGTCACGAACCCAAGCCCTACTACTAGCCCTGCTAGGCCTACTCCCATACCTGGAACGCAGTCAATCCCGACGAAGAACAGACAGGTATCAACAGAGTCGACACTGTCCGATATTCTCAGATCAACGGAGAGGAGGCTTCAAGAACGTGGTACCAGCGGAGTGTCGCGGCGAAACCGAGCGACAATAGCAGCGGCATCTGGTCCCCATCGAGGCCTGTCTCTGCATGTGGCCAAGAGACTTGAGGAAAGCCGTGACCCTGGTCTTCGACGGAGCGAAGCTCTCAAGGAAACTCGAAGGACTCGAGCAGAACATGAACTCCCCGTAATCAGTCCATCAAGGAGTGGTCTCGTGGCACCACTAACGCTCGTTCCTAAGCCATCGGAGCAGGAACAGCGGCCAGATTCACGGGAATCATTGTCCTCGGACCCGGATAGTCTTCTAGCCGAGCCTGCATCCTCGGAAATGCCGTCAGGACTGACGAGTCCAAGCCGGGTTTCGAGCATAGCCGGAACTTCGAGCGTTGCCGAGACAGATATCGAGATGCTCCTCTTGACTATGGATATGCCGTCGAACCGCAGCTCCATGACCTCGGCAGCATCTCTTTCCACTATTCATAGCGAGGACGAATCATCTGAAGGGGAGCAAGAGTATCGGCAGGGACTAAGACGCCATCCCCCGACCGTGCTGCTATAGTGGCAGGAACCGGAAGACCCGCGGTCACCCTATAGACCTCCATGCTCAACAACGAGCGATTCGCCTTGCCGGCTCCGTTGTCCACTGTAGATGCATCTGCACCTTCTCTACCCCCTGGATCCTCTAGCCGGCCCTTCACAAGCTACGGATGTCCTATACCAAGACCTCTTTCAGCGAGATCTCAGGGTGAGGCTGAGAACAACAGGAGATCGTTTGTGCGAAAGTCCATTATAGCACAAGAACCAATCGGCCCCATACCATCGATGCTCACCAGGCTGCTGCCGTGTCCAGGGGTGCCTTCCGGGAAGAACTGTGTGATTGCCCAAGCCAGCTGTGGCACATGGCATACCGCAATGGCTGATCCCTTCCAGATACCAGTCAGCCCGACCTATCTTCAGACATCGACAGACTCCGCAAGTCCGACATCGTCTTCGGGCTCCATGATATCAAGGGACTTCGCTCTCCATCCAACAAGAGCACCACCTACAACAATACGCTGTTAAACTCCATAGTACTCCCACCACCGACAAAACATAGATATGTCGATGCCAAAACGGTGGTAGTAGAGAGCAAACCACCAGTCAGGTCAGGGGTAGCTCATACTCCCGAGCGCAAGCGTCGCTGGCCCTTCATAAACACACACACTAGGACAGACGACGGCAATATCCATCAGCCGCCCTCGTCAACACCACGCTCAGGTTCGCGCCTTTCCCGACAATGGTCATTGCAGCAACAAGAACGCAAAACCAGCGAATCATTATCCATATACTCGCAAGACTTTGCGGCCAACGAAGCCTTCAGCCCAGCATCGGTACCGACATTCATGATGCCCATTCCGTCCAGTCCCACCCGGACATCCCTCCCGCCATCACCAACCAGCGTGGGACTAGCAGCAGCGCAAGCTCTTAACACCGCCAATTTTCAGAGGAACTCCATCCTCTTTGCCGGAGCCCAGCAACAGACCCCCTCTCGCCGCACTTCGCGTACTGGCAATACCAACAACAGGGTGTCCATGCTATCAGCGCGGCGACACATCGACGATGTCGAAGAGGACGATAACAAAGAAAATATGGCGATTACACCCAAAGCCAGCCCCATAGCCGCCACCATCGCCCAGCTGCGACGCATGAACAGCGTCCTCAGCACCGCCTCCAGCGTAAGCAGCATCAACACCGAAGTCGCCGACGGAGGCGGCAACGGCAATCTGAGCAGGAGGAATAGCAGTGTGGCAACTGCCAGCCCGTCACAGTCGGCGCTTAGAGGCGGTGGATTCAACCCCAACCCAAGACGTGACAGTCATCATAGTTATGGCCATTGGCGAAGTGGGAGCAGAAACTATCTGTTTGTGCTGAGCGGCGGTGCTGGAGCCGTGCCGCCGACGCCGTCGACACCGAAAGTTTTGAAGAGAGCGGGAGGAAGCGGCAACGGAAGTGGTAGCGGGGTGCGTCCGCTCTTAGCACAAGTGAACGCGCACTACTCGCGGACTGGATCGGGCTCGGACTCGGGTTCAGGGATAGGAAGAGTCGTGTCGATATCCCGATCTGGGTCGCCGCAGAGGACAACATTGACTCCGACCCATGGACACCATCGAAGCCTGGGTGGTTACGGCGGCAGTAGCGTATTGGGGAATCCCAGTCCGATTAACGTCAACATTTTGAAGAACCGGTTTCAGTTCAACGACGAGGACGACGACAACAATGATGGCATGAACGAGAGCGGAAGAGCCGGTAATGTTGATGGTTCTGCCCGAAAGCAGGAAAGTAGTGGCTTTTTGGCGGGCAGCAGGAAGAACGACGTGGGCGAAGAAGAGGAGAGCAAGAGGAAGCTTCCAGTCAGATTTACGTTGCCGAATTCCTCTCCTACCAGTATTGAAGTAACGGTGAATTTGCCTCCGTCGTCGCCGTCGCCGAGGTCAAAGCAGGCTCAGACGGGCATGGTGTATGTGACACCGAAGGGGAAGCGATGGAGAGACAGAGTAATGAGAGTTTGGGGCTTTATGACCGGGACGGCTTCTTGATTAATTCGCCTAGTCGGCCGTCGGAGGCAAGTCCAAGTGCGGTGCGCGCTTAGGCGATAAAGTTCAAGTAATTATAATGGGGTGAGAAGTCAGGGGCTCTGTCGAAGGTAGTCGAAGGAGGTGTTGGTGTAATTGATGGCGGCCTTGTTTCTGTCTTGTTTCTGATGTATCTGTTGGATGTGGCATGCTTCGTTTTGTTATACCCGGCGTTTGCTTCTCTGCTGGGGAAAAAGCCCGGCACGTTTTCTTGTACATGTTAAGATACCGCCAGCACAGCTGGTTATTTCCCTTTGACAACAGTTTGATCGAACAATTGAAGAAGTGATTGTATGGTGAGAAGCTTGATATCAAATTGGCATGAGGTGAGGAGCTGAAGTGGAGGGGAGGAAGCCTTCCTTTGCTCTGATTGGTTGCTAACGAAGCCAGGCAGCTGTCAGCTGCCTACAGCAACCGCCACCAGCTGAATTTGGACAGTTCGCTTGGGCTTACACTGCCGATGTTTCGACCTGATACAGCCTCACTTGCCATGAACAGCATTTCCCAAGATCCAGCAATACCATATTCTTCTCATCAGGTCGCTTGACTATAACATCCCATCATCATCATACATCTCCCATTTTACATTTCTCTTGCTCATCCATTTGCTAAACCAGATACGCCTACGGTAATCGACCTCCTCAACAACCCCAGATCACAACATCACAACCAATATCATCGTCACCAAAACAACAACATCAACAAAGCAAAATGCCCCCGCTCCCTCACCAACATGTCCCTCGCCTCATAACCTACTACCAAACGCACCACACCCCCTCGGGCGACCCCATCTCCGTCCTCCCCTTTCTCCAAAAACCCGGCATCCACCTCACCCACCTAATCCTCGCCGCCATCCACATCAACTCCGACCCGGAGGGCATCACGCTCAACGACCACCCGCCCTCACACCCGCGCTTCGCAACACTATGGGACGAGCTCCGCATCCTCCAAGCCTCAGGCATCAAAGTCCTCGGCATGCTCGGCGGCGCCGCCAAGGGCAGCTTCGAACGGCTTGACGTCTCCGATCCAGATTCCGACATCGAAGGCATGCCCCGTTTCGAGCGGTACTACCAGCCTCTCAAGCGCCTGGTTCAGGAGCGGGGACTAGACGGTCTAGACCTGGACGTCGAAGAAGAAATGTCCCTTTCGGGGGTAATCCACCTGATCGACCGGCTGCGCAAGGACTTTGGGCCGGAGTTCCTCATCACCCTGGCGCCCGTAGCGGCCGCGATGCTGGACCCGGAAAAAAACCTGTCGGGATTCGACTACGAGGCGCTGGAGGTGATGAGGGGCAAGGAGATAGCGTGGTACAACACGCAGTTTTACTGCGGGTGGGGGAACTGCAGCAATCCGGTCATGTACGAGATGATGGTCATGAAGGGGTGGGCGCCGGAGAAGATTGTGGTGGGTTTGATCACGAACCCGGAGAACGGCGGCGGGTGGGTAGCCTGGCCGGCGCTGGCGGGCGTGCTGCCGCTGCTGGTGGGCAGACATCCGAGGTTCGGAGGCGTGATGGGTTGGGAGTACTTTAATAGCTTACCTGGGTCGAGGGAGAGGCCGTGGGAGTGGGCGCAGGTCATGACGGCCCTGTTGAGGGGGAGACAGGCGTCGGATGCGGGAACGCAGTTGTTGGTTGGGCTGGGGGCTCCTTTGCATCTTGATGTTGCACAGCAGCAGCATCAGCAAGAGCAGCAACAGCAACAAGAAGCAAGGCAGCCTCCACAGACCGAACAACAAGAAAAGGGAGGAGTGGCTGGGCTAGTGGACAAGGACGAAGTGGACGCGCCCATTGCAGTGCCAAATTCGTTTGATTACCACACTGATGCAGAAGATGAGCATGAGTAGACTCACACGAGATAGGCAGACAGACAGACCTACTCTTGACTCAAGCGTCCCCATTCCCAACAACACCGACGGAATCACATGTTCAAAAAAGCAAAACTCTGTTGATAGCAGCACGGGTCTACCAGTACCGGCCAGTAAAAGGGCGTATAATTCTTACAGAACCCATCTTGAAGGAGTCAAGACCGCACATCAGCACATCACGTTGACGCAGACATGACTAATAACTTACGGTAACTGGCCCGAACCGGTGAAAAGGAAGATATCGTTTATGAACAAAGGCGAGCCAGATCAACGAGGGAAGGATCTAGGGGGTTCATCCCATCTCGGGAAGTCAGGAGAGCTTATCAATCCCCCCAAAAGGTCAACACAACAAGGTTGACGTGATTGCACCGTGCAGGATTTCTGCGAGAGCGGCCTTGATTTTTGGCCCGGAATGGTGGCCTGATGCTGCCGTGACTTGGACACTTTTGGGCAAGTGATTGTTGACCAAGACCCACGAATGCCCTCAAAGACAACCCTCAAGATCCCCAACATATGTCTAGGACCCTGAGGATCGGACCCCCTTTGCACTGTACGTCCCCTGGTTTGTGAGTTTGAGCGGCCAGCTGTCGGAAGGAGGGCATTCCGGGATGATAAGCTCTATTCCGAGTGGCCTTGGCCCACCGACAAAGCTTGAGCGGCCAGTTGCCAGTCGAGGACCAACAGTCCGGACTGGATTCCGAAGGCTGTGAATGGTGGCAACCAAGGAAAGGAAAACTAGTGTAGTGTAGCCAAGCTGACCGGACCCAGCAACATGCGATGCTTCGGAAACTTGGGATGGCGCCAAGCATCTGTCCCCTCTCTCTGCAGGACAACATCCAAGCATATGCCGGCGGTCGGGCGTTGTAAAGAATCCGTACACGACTTCCATTCCTTTTCGATATGTTGAACTTGCTCATCGAAACACCTGAGAGATTTTGACTGCAGCGAAAGAGTCATACATGTGTGATGCGCTGAGCTGGGTCAAACCTTGGGAAAGATTGAAACCACATCTCGGTGAGATGCAAAGCGTGGTAAGAGATACCAATGACCTTCAGTTTATTCCGTTTACACGAGGCTGACGAATGCATAGGCCCCTCTAGAGGAATTCAGTTCACCTTATGCCGGCCGTATCTTGGCTCCAATTCTAGTTGCGTTTCAGTTTCGAGAAAAGTGTTCTGGTCGAGGGCGGTAACATCCTTTATGGATGTTCAATCGATGACGAGAAGCATGTCATAGCATCTCACCTTACCCAGATTCCGCATACGTAGCGGTGCACGTACCCTCGTTTTTTTTTTTTTCCTGCCAACCCAAAGGCGGCTGCGTGACGCCATCCTATGATGTCCCACAGACGCGAGTGAATCAGAAGCTAACGTCAGGGACGGCAGCATCATACCTACCTAGGTTACCTGGTAGCCGCATCTCTCACGAGTGACGTTGTCCTGTCGACAAGGGGAAAAGGGCACAGGCACAAACATCCGACGTCGTACAATGATGCCAGAGCTGACGCCGTTTGTTGACGACAAAAGACGGCTTTGAGGTCATCTCACCTTTGGGGACGTTTGCGATGCGGTCATCGGCGGGACGGGGAGACGGGACCGAAGGGGACGTGTTACCGGACAGCGACGTCAGTCGGTAGGAGCCAGATGGGGAGAAGGGGGGGGTGTGCAAACTCGAGAGTTAAGAATGTCGTTGCAGTGGCAATCAAGTGAGGCCGGACTTGTTGCTGTGAGCCGCCCGTCAGCGTCAGCGTGGCTGCGTCAGAAGAGGGCTGAGATGCCCCTGGGGGAGACGGAGAAAAGGCCGTTTGACGTCAAAGGCGGGTATTGCGCCCGGAGGCTGAGATGATAGAGCCGCGCACTAATGTCAGTTTGGTGGCGCCGGCAGCGTCAGGTCCCTGAGTTTTGGGGGTCCAATTTGCCAAATACGGGCGAGGACGCGGTGACGGGCTTTGTTCCCCTGTCGTTCGGTGCCGTTGGCGGCTCCCCGCGCCTTCATTGTCCTCCCTTGATGATGATGACGGCACGGAAAAAGGTTCTAGAATGCCTATGACAGCAGAGGGTCCATGGGAGACAACGAAAACAGAGAAACCATCGGGAGATCATCATCATCAGAGCGGCTCCTTTGTTCGGTGTTAGAAAAGACTATGCGAGGGCCATATGTTTTTGGGAGGTTTGACAAGTCAAGCAATGACGACAATGGGTTGCGGAGGCGATTTGTTTACCGTTTGTTTGGTCGCACAAGGGAAGAAACATCGCGAAGTGAGGTCGGCTCTGGCGTCACTTGTTGGGTTAAGCTTCAATCTATGTTCGCCAAACTGACCAATGAGTGCTCTTGGTTCCTGCACCGAGAGCCGGGCTGGAGCTTTCTCGCTTCTCCTCCAGAATCGGCAATCACTCGTTCGAGACCACTTAATGACCCACTCCTTTCTCCATTGCTGGAATGGGAACACCAAAAAGGCAGGAACAGCAAAGCCAAGAAAGTACAACTGGAAGTAACCGTGATGGTTGCAATCCAGCGCAGAGGGAACAGCAACCGAGAAACTGAAGATGAAGACAGAAAGTGGCAGGCAGCCAGGCAGACTTTGGCCAGTTTCCACAAATTCAAATTGAATTTCGAACATGATGCGAAAGGAGCAAAGAGTTGCAAAACCCGGCCAGCTGTCGACAGGGACACGGCAAGTACCTTGTGGGGCAGGCACAGCAAAAAGAGCCAAGACTGGCGCTAAGGAGAAAAGCGGGTCAATAATGGCCTGAGACTGATGTCATCCATCCTCGCCGCATGGGTGGCGCCTTCTGACCTCGACAGCTTTTTTTTTGCAAAAGCTCGCCGTTCATGCCTCGCCAACACTGTTCGCTGTCCACCGGGAAAGAAGGTGCTGAGTTTTCACCGCACTGAGAGGGTGGTTGTTAGGGCAGCTGCGATTGGCAACCATCAGCATATCGTCATTACTTCGTTGTTGTTTCATTTCGCTGCCTCGGATTGCTTTTGGCCGCCCCGTTTGAACTCGGTGAGACTTCTGGATCTTCATGTGCAATTGGATCCATTCTGAGGCTTCAAACTTCCACCTTTCTGTCATTGTTTCCCCCTCTGTCAACGGGCTCAGGGGATGAAGCCTGGGCAAGGTCGGCAGCGCTATCTCTATGTGCTAAGCTATCCCACTGTGTGATACCACTTTCCAATAACAAGCAACGCAGGGTCTTTTGGGCCGTCTAAATGGGAATCTGGAAGAATGCCCAATCCCTAGCAGAGTCAAAATTGCTTCATTCCAATGGTAAAAACGGAAATGCCATGTTTTCTCTGGTCACTGCCCTCGCTTCCGGCGCCAGCCATGCCGGCCTGCCAACTTTTGGTCCCCTCCTCCTTCCAAACCTCGGCCCCCTCCCCCCTTCGAGCGGAACACCCGTCCAATACCCATTGGCCGGTGGCCCAACTTTTCAGCTGCCGTTGAGGTTCTGGCTTCCGAATTGCGGACATCTAAACGCGAGCTGGCAACCGAAGAACAGCGGTCATACTCAGTGTTGAAATGGCTTCTCCTTAACAATGCGTCGCCCACTTCCCCCAACCGTTAACACTAGATACTGTGTGTATTGATAGGCATGGACTATTGCGGCCAGAACCCTTTCTCCCTGCATTAGAGAGGGGAGGGCAGCATTCGAGGAGCAGAAAGGTCCGCTTCTTTGGCCGCTCAACCATTGACATCATGGCAAACCGCGAATCCCTTCCCAACACGGGCACGGGAAATACGCCGATCTCTGTTTCTGGCCTGCAGTCACGACAAAGGACTGCTGCTGCTGTCGTCAGGTTTATCAGATGGTAAGCCCCGGATGCTGGTTAGAGTAGGTACTGTGCACACACTCGCAACTCACACTCACACACTTCGCCTCTCTCGGTCTCCCGTGTCACGGGCTGGCTGTTATTTCCCTTCTTCCTCTTCTTCCGCCTTGCCCAGTCCGTCACCGTACCGCACACGGAATCCCTTCAATTTCCCCTTCCACTTCCACGTATGCTCCACGGCTCCGAATAGGCTCTGGTGAAACTACCGGCGTGCAATTACCCACAATGACCTTCCTCGTGCTCTCTTGCCCCGAGCTAGTGGCCAATAGAATGACTTCATCTACACACATCATCAATCTCCCCAAAGACCTCCGATGACCTGAGATCAGCAGGGTCTTGCCCCTTTGGGCGGCGGTTACTTGCTCCAGGAGAAAGAACCATTGGAACTCGTAAGCAGAATCTCCGCCATACGCCCTCATGGCTTCAGATGCTACTGTATCATATCTCACAGCTATAGGTAGCACACACTCCCCCTACGCAACACTACGAGGACGAGGCTGACATCACCTACTATGGGTCATCTTACCGTCTCTTCACTTTTGCCGTTCAGGCCGTTGCGCCGAGGACAACGAGGCAGCCCAAGACTAACGGCCAACAGACGGTGAGACTCTTCGCTCGCTCAGCCTCCACAGCTAGCAGTCTAGCCAACAGGTACCCGGGTCTGGAAGAGACGGCCGGCTTGGAGTACCACGGCGGGCTCACAACGGCCTGAAGGAGCCATATCGTGTCGGCTACAGGCCAGTCAAGCCTGGAGATTGATTGGATCAGAGGCAGAGCTTTTACGCCATCTCGTGCAGCTCGTAGGCCACGGTCCCCCATGTTAACCATGTTCATCACTGTCGATCACCAATCGAAACAGACAAACCTGTGCAGTTGTGGGTAGCATTGCCAAAAAGACGCATTGTCGTGGACTTGAGGACGACACAGAGAAAAGGTACGGGGAATTCTTCTTGGTCGTCGTCCTGTTGGGGCAGGGGGGGTGGGGGGTGCGAGTTGTTGACGGCACCTTGTTGGGTTTGCTGTGCACGCCCCTCCCATTGACCCCTTCTTGGCTTCTCTGCCACCCGAGATCTGACATCCGCGGGCGAAAAAAAAATCCCCAAAGAGCAAAGAGGAAAAAAAAAGAGGGGAATGCAGATCACCTCACGGTGACGGAGGAGTCCAAGGAAAGAGAGGGACCGCGGGGACAGAGAGAATCCTTTCACCCCTCCCGTCCTTGCACTTGGGGCACTCTGGCACTGCTTCCTGGCACTGCTTTCTCTCCAGACCTTCACCAAACTCGGTCTCCATCCCCATCTTCTGACCACCCCTTCCACTTCTTTTTCTGTCTTCGACCAACCGTTGCCCCGGCTGCTTGTCCCCTCTTGATACCCCCCTACCTTGGGTTTTAGTGTGGGCCGCATCAGCGCATCAGTGCACACCCATTCCCGCCCTAGCGTACGGTCGCCTTATGAGACTAGCTTTTTTCCTAGCCAAGCCATCTATTATATAGTTCCCCTCCTCCTTCTTCCCCCAGACCCTCCGTTCATCCGTCTTCTCGACATCTTCACATTCAGCTGATACTTCCTCAACGCAACCACTACCAACCACTTTCATAGGTCATCTTTCCTACCGTCATTCTCCTTACTGTTCAAGCCTTCAGCATCAAGCCTTCAGCATCAAGCCTTCTGCATCAAGCCTTCCACCACACTTCTCCAACACTTCGGCAAACCAAAAAGCTTAGCTGCCCAACGCCAACGCAAAAGGCTCACCACCAACAACCACCACAACAAAACCACCAAACAGAAATGTCGGCTGCTGCCCAGAACTCTGCCTACTCCATCACCATGTCTCCTCCTCCTCCCTTCGACTTGGGTTCTTATTCTCGCTCCATGCACCAGCACACCAAGCGCCAGATGGAGGCTTCTCAGACCACCCTGCCAAGGTCATCGGGTTCGCCTTCCAACAACCAGACCTCCAACGGCCAGAGCCAATCGAACGCCACACCAAGTCTGCCTAACGGCGTCTCGGGTACTCGCTCGAATAGCGATTACAGCCATTCATCCTGAGAGCCGGCCCGAGAGTGTGAGGAGGAATGGAATGGAATGATTGTTTGAGCACACTCCACTCTTCACCACCGCCAAACCCACGATCAGGCCTTGCTCGCTTCCCCTGTCATCCCTCAAACATTCGGGATGACATTGAACGCTCTTGAAAAAAGTCAGAGCGACCCACAGCAGCACAATTCTGCACGCTGGGAAGGAGCAGGGTCTGCATGCGACACGCACATGATGCGGATCTAGCAAGAGATCTGATCTCATCATGCACCTCACGACCTGCTCCATTGAGCTAAAAAGGCCCATGTTGCATGTAAACCTTTTAGGTGTCGGGTTTCGGCGGTGGTTGTTGTCTTCTTTCTGATGTTTTATCGTCATGTAACTTGTGGGTTATCGATTTGAGAGGAGCTTTATTTCTCCTTCGCATATTGGTGGCTTGGGATAACTTGGCGGGTTTTTGTCCTTTTGGTGCTTCTCTTTTATATTTGTTATTTCTGGCACGGCGTTATCGGGAGACGGAAAGGTTCATATTTTTTGCGAACTCCCAGGGGGCATATATCTAAAGGGGAAAGCGATTTTGTCGTTATCATACGCGAGGGGGGGGCCTTTGTTTCTGGAAAGCCATGACATTCGGGATCTGGTCTGGCAGGGGAAACCTTTGAGGTCGATTGTACATATTAGTCGCCAGATTTCCCGGGATGATTGATGATTTAGACTCATTCATATGATCTTGTTCATAATTGTGTTCCTTTTTTGCTGCTGAACGTGTGAAAATCTTGTGTTGCAGCTACGATGCTCTCCTCTATCTAAGTGTGAGTGTGTGTGGGTTTGGTCAATTGGCGGTTATTTATTGACTTTGTAGAAGTAAAAACTCACTTGGGTATTGTTGATTAACATCCATCATCCACGTCGATCATGTTTTGCTGCGATGTGCACTAGAAGGTTGAAAGAATAAGTCGTAGCGGACCGCTCCCTCGTGGCATTCGAAACAATCTGCAACCTCTCTGCAATCCTCATCCTAGGATTCATGGGGGAGCCGAGCCTCTCTCCACACCCTGACGTGCACTGTCGCCGAAAATATTCAAATCAAGGTAATCCTCACTTCTGCCCGGATTGTTTCCTCCGTCTAGACCAGGGGTTGCTTCTTTTTGATACCAAGCAAGGCCGAGTGATCCTTCTTTTTCTTGACCTGTCGCTTGAAACTGGGAGGGGGCATATCAGTTGCAGCCGCGGTTGTCGGGTTCGAGACCGTTGCCGCCGCCGCCGCTGCCGACGCCGCGGTTGTTGAGGGGCCAGCAGCAGCAGTCGTACTCGAGGAAGAACCCGACGAGCCCTCCCCATTTGTCACAGCCCCAGGTACACCCGGAAGACCCAACACTTCCACCTCCGCCGGCCCTTCCTCCAGCTTCTGCTGCAGTCTCGCAAACTCAAACGCCTTCCTCGCCGCCTCCGCATCCTCCTCCTCCTCCCTCCTCCTTCGTTCCTCCTCCTCGCTCAACCCCCTCCCGCCCAGCACACTCTCAATATCCACCCCGCTCTCCCTCTGCGCCTTTTCGAGCCTGGCATTCCGACTCCTAATCTCATCCAACGCATCCGCAACCGCCATCTCCCTCTTCGCGTCCGCCGTCTTCTGCTCCAGCTCCGCCATCGCATTTCTTTCTTCGGCAGCAGCCACCTCCCCATTCTCATCCGCCATCTCCCTCTCTATCCTGTCCAGCCGCTGCTCATCCGTCTCCTCCAGCTCGCCCTCAAGCCCGCGGCGCCACGGTTCCGTGTTCCGCTTGGCGCCCTTCTCCACGGCGTAGTCCTGGTTCTTGGGGTCGGTGCGGAACACGATCTCGGCGCTGCAGCGCGTGCACCGGATGTAGAAGCGGTAGATCTGGATGTTGAGGTAACGCTCGTCTACCGGCGTCTCCTTACGCGCGTTGAACTTGCGGCCTTTGTACATGTACTCGCCGCAGGAGGAGCAGCGGAGGGAGAAGGGCGCCATGAGGCGCACGGTTTGGACTTTGGGCCCGGTTTGTTTGGGCTGTCGAGAGCGCCCGACGAGCGAGGGGTCGAAGTCCGGGGGGTAGTATTTGGTTAAGACTTTGCGTTCGGACATTTTGGCGAAGGTTTGTGGGCTTTGGCTTTGGCTTTGGCTTTGGCTTTGACTTGGTTGTGATGGGCGTTGTTGTTGGTGATTTAATTAAGCTTGAGAGGTTGAGTGTTTGGTCGGTCGCTTTGGCTAACAAACAGGCAGCGAGTGCGAAGTGCTCGTAGCGTGTAGAGAGTCGGTGATTTTTGGGGTGTTGAGGCGGGTGCAATTCGCGCGACAAACGTTCGGTGTCGTGAAAATGGTGAACTTTGACAATGGGATGTCGTTGAAAGTCTTCGGAAATTCGGCAAGGGAAGAAGCGGAAAGGTAAGGTCGTGGTTCAGGTTGCTGGGTCAGATAAGCAGCAGATCGAGATCGCGATCCCCCCAAGACACCGGACTTATCCATCAAGGTGGGCGCGCCACGTGAGGCTGGGGTGCAGGCAGGCAGAAACCGAACGGGACGGAGCTTGCTTGGGGTGTGCCACGCCCCACTTTCCGCTGTCAACTTTTAAGAGTTTCATCGGTGTTAACGGGTTACTTTCTACAGATAATCGAGCTCACACATCCAGGCACGCATGGGCTGATCAAAGGTGCCGATACGCTCGGTCAGGATGTTGTATTTTTTTTCTCGCCAGGGAATATGAGTTCGATCAGCGCGGAGTATGTTGCACATGGCCGATCAATTGTGGCTTTGTTGCTTTCTGTTGCTGATCTTGGTGTACAACAGTTATGTAACACTTAGGGGGTTAGGGTTATATAGGGTGATCCTCCTTTTAAGCCGCTGCGCGCTGGTGAGCTTTGTGGATATACCTCCCGTTAACACCAACCGCAACTTGAACGAGATTCGTCCATTGTTGCCGACGGTTCAAAGACTTATAAAGTCTCGTATTAAAAAAAAAAAGGGAAAGATCACTTCCAGATCACCTTCATCACTGCATTCACAGCGTCTGGTAAAGTTAGTCGGTATTCCAGGTCCTGGTCATCCAAAAACGCATTCAATCACACACAAAACAACACTATCACCGTAGTTGCCTGGCATGAGATAATCCCATCACCACCCGCCCGCGGCATCAACCGCCGAGATGAAGTCAACCAAACATAAACAATAACACAATGGCGTAAAGCTAAAGCAGAAAGATTACGATGGATGAATACGACAACACTACACCATCTCGCGGGAAAGACAACTTTCCCCGGAAGATCCTTTCCCAGCTGCATGGCTCAAATGGTACGTTCACGTTCTCTCTCACCTTTATCAACTACTCATATGTCATTTGTCATTCTAATCCCCAGCTACCTAACCATACTCTTCTCCATCCACACAGGCCCCGTCCACGCAGTAACCTACTCGGCCTCCCCAGGGACTTACATCCTCACCGGCTCAGCCGACCGATCCATCCGTCTTTACAACCCCATCCCGGCTTCACCACCTCCTCCTCTTTAACCACCACCTCTTCAACCTCATTCATCACCAAACCCTTCCAGGCCCCCTCCTCAACCACTACCACCCCCCCTCCACCAGCCGGCCGTCTAATCCAAACTTACGCCTCCCACGGCTACGAAGTCTTGTCATTGTCCGTCTCCGCCTCCAACGCGACCTTCGCCTCTTCAGGCGGCGACCGCGCCGTTTTCCTCTGGGACGTATCCACCGCGCAAACCATCCGCCGCTTTTCCAACGCCGGCCACACAACAGGGCGGATCAACAGCGTCATCTTCGCAGGCGTCGACGATTCCCTTTTGATTTCGGGAGGCCACGACACCACCGTTCGAATCTGGGACGTGCGCTCGCAGAGTTCCGCCAGGCCGGTGCAAGTGCTGGGGGAAGCGAAGGATGGGGTCACAAGTCTGGTCTTTGATAGTCAAGGGACGGGCGCGGAGGTATTGGCCGGCAGCGTGGATGGAAGGGTGAGAACGTATGATGTGCGGATGGGAAGGCTGGTGACGGATGTCTTTCCGGGGGCGGTGACGAGTCTGTGTTTGGCGAGGGACGGGAAGACGGTGCTGGTGGGGAGCTTGGATAGTAAGATCCGGTTGATGGATAGGAGCAATGGGCAGTGTTTGAGGACGTACGGTAGCAGCGGTGGGGACTCCAGCGCTGGTGGAGGTTGGACGAATAAGGAGATCAGGGTGCAGAGCGTGTTGGGAGGAGGGGAGAGGTGGGTTGTTGCGGGTGATGAGAACGGAGCGGAGAACTCGAATGGAGAGGGACGGGCGTGGGCTTGGGATCTTCTGACTGGCAAGCTTGTGGCTAAGCTTGGGGTTCCGTGGGGCCCGGGTGGTGGGAAGGTTGTTGTTGGGAGGGATGGGAAGGAAAAGGAGCGGAAGAATGTGGTCAGTTGTCTTGCGTGGAAGGATGGTGGGTTTGGGAACCAGTTTTGCGTTGGCGGTACATCGGGGTTTGTGACGGTGTATGGAGAAGCGTGATCATCAAATACGGAGGAGTACGGGTTCTGTCATAGTCACATGGTGTTGAAGAAAACGGATCGATATTTGAGAGCTCCTACAACCGTTTATGTTCTCACTTGCCAGCGGGTACCATAACCTGGTCTAAGAAGGGTCAGGACACATAGTACGTCACGTATTATGCAGACTTTGGTGCGAATTTTTTAATCATCTTCTCTGAACAAATATTCAACAAGAGTGAGCCATCCCAAATTCTTTTAACAATCTGATCCTTTTTAATTTCAGAACAGGCGTATCAGCAGCTTCTTCAGTGGCATAGAACCGCCCTGAACATCCAAGAACACCCTCCGTAACCACCCCTTTTGATCATATGTCGTGCATCCGGAATTCGTCATTAATTTAGTATGTACAAGCATCATTAGATGGCTAGATACCGCCAGCACCAGAAAACCTCCTTCGTCAGTTCCATAAGCGTATGTATCCCGAAAGCATGTCATATGCAACGCCGAAAGGCTACGTAGCCGGGTATGATACAGTAGCGCGACCCAGTGGCTTCTCGATGTCGAGAAACCAGCTAGAGTCAACGCTCCATTACTGTTTGGTGTTTTATTTTATTTTCCATTGTGTTTGTCGTTTGGGGTTCGGTTCACTAGCTTAGCCCATGCCGACATACTTGAACCAGTTGGGTCTGCAATCTTCCCTGTTGAGCCAGGCCTCGCCATCGGTGAAACGGCCGGTAACGCAGCCTTTGCACTTGGGCGAGTTAGGGCAGTTGAAGAAGGGAATGTGCTGATAGCCAATATCACGGAACCTGGTAGAAAATGAAATAATTAGCATAAAGTCCTTCGTGTCAAGGTTCCGACCGCACTCACCAATGGATCTTGCTAGAGTCCTCGAAAAGACCCAGGGCAATACTGTGAACGGGCGCGTCACCCCAACGCTCGTAGAAGAAGCCACCGGCACGGTCCAAGTGGTTGAAATAGTCCTCGTACGCCTTGCTGCGCCAAAAGTTCATATCACCAATCTCAAAGTTGCTCCAGAAGTGGCATGTCGAATAACCACTGGCATCCTTGGTATGATCGGGACGGCGAGTCTTGTCCGTCAACCAGTTCATGGCGCTGTTCTCGTGCACGTACTCGGGGTGCTCGGCCAGGAACTTTTCGGTCTCGGGCCACAGAGTTGTGATGGAAGCCGGGGCGTCGTACAGGTTGATGGTGAAGCCGTACGTCTTGTTGTTATCGTGCATGTAGCGGAAAACGTCATAGTCGACATCGCAGAAGAAGTGAACGTTGGGCTCGACGCGCCAGTAGTACTGCGTGTTGGCCAGGGCCGGGTGCTTATAGAACATGCCGCTGTTCCACCGGCACATTTGGTGGTACGAGATCTTGTCGGCATACTGGATCTTCTTTTCTTCGAGGATCTTGACCGACTCGTCGTACAGGTCCTGGTTAATCCACGATGGCATTTCCCAGTGTTCCTTGGGGATAAGTTCTGTAACCGTCGCAATGATATCAGCCCGCCTGCTCCATGTATCCATACCGTGTGGGTTGCTACACCGCCTTACGTACCGTATCTGACCTCGGCCTTCGTTACCGCGCGCGTTCTCTTCTTGAACTCTTCGGAAAAGGGCACGTCGTTGAAAAAGGTCCAGGGGTAGTTGAACTTGTGGTTCCATGTCCGCTCGAGGTCGCGCATCGCCTGCAGCATGCCTTCCAGCTCCTCGTTTCGTACCAGGGCCAGCAGGGTGGCATTGATTCTGGCCGAGTTCGTTGCGCCCGGCGCATAGTCTTCGGACGCGCGTACTAGCTTCCCTTCGGGTTCTCCCGTAGCTGTGTGATGCGCAAAAGCATGTTAGCATCAAGCAGCAATGCGACTGCAGATGAATCGAAAGCGCTCTATACTTACGGTCAAGGTTGGGATCCCGCTCGAAGGACAGGTACTTGTCTTTGGTCATAGCAGTTCCCGATGGCGACAGAAGCTGCCAGATGAAGAAACACCAGACGAGCGCAGCCGCCAGGGCCAGGGCTCGTACTGGGCGAGCAATCGCCATTGTGATAGGAGGTTAGTTGAGACTGGAGTTGTCCAGGTCCAACCGGATGGGTTCGAGGTGTCACGGCCACGGGGTTGACTACTTCATCTATCAAACGGTGATATACGTGATGGTGGGATCGCAGCGCGGGGCTCGGCGACGTGCCGATTTTTGTACTGCGATGACCAAGCTGGCGGTGGTTCAGGTGGTGATGACCTGAAAAAGGGGGGAAGACAACAGGCAGAATTCTGGAAGCTAGAAAAAGATGGAGATGACAACGCCGGTGGTGTTGCTTGTCAGGCGCAGATTGGCACAGATCAAACCCGACCCGACAGACAGCTGTAGCAGGCAGGAAGGGCGGGAAAAGGGGATCACTAAAAGTTACAGCGGGCAGCAAGGTCCCACGCTGGCTCCCACTGCCGCCACTATCAGCTCCTATCGGTGCGTCCAGGATGACCGGGATTCGCGTGTCTGAGGCTGACCAGGCCGGTAGCGTTGTTGCATTGGACGGGTGCTTGTTTGCCTTGGCACACCACTCAAACGCTGGCAAGCAATTGTTTGGTTGAAATAGGGGTTCATTGAAGCTTTCTTGGCCGCTGCGGCCGTCTCTTTGAACTTGCTGCCACCTGTGGCTTGTTACTGCCCGTTCGGGTCTTATCGTCATCTTGATGACCGGACGCTAAGGCAAGAACGAAGGGATGTGGCTGGCCCGTGCGCCCACATACTATCGTCCGCTGCTGCCCGCTGGAACATGGACGCTGCAGTGCATCAGGTGTGAGACCTTGTGCCCTGGGTGAGAACCCCTCAACAACTTCACTGCAATCCGGTTTCTTCCCTACGAAGCTTTTTCCTCTGCTTCACAAAAGATGGTCCTGCTCGATACGTCACATGTTTTTATTGAATGACTGTACATTTGACTCTACTTCCTTCTAGTAGCAATCAGTGCATTTCACGCCCTTACCACTTCATAGACTGCTAATTTCCCAGCAAGAGCAGCTCGGCAATCTGGAAATCAAGCGATGCTAGTGGACCAAGTCGCGTCTAACACTTGCAACGGAACACCAGTTTGAGCCAGTAAACATCATCTTCCTTGTTTACTTATCCCATTCCCAGGATGCTCAGTCACTGCAAGGCGGCAGCATGTCATACCTTTCAGAGCTTGCGGCGCTGACCGACGAGCTCATTGATGCCGTTGCCGCCGTCCCAAAGGTCTGTTGCTGTCAGCCCCCTTTCCTGGTCAATGCCTGCGTTTACTAACATTGCCATCAGACTCAAAAGCGAAAACTCAAGTCCCTGAGGGAATCAACAGTGCAAAGTCTGCTCAACCAGAACTTTCTTAGGACGAACCAGTTCGAGGTGCAGAATCAGCTGACAGGGCTCGTTGAACGCTTCCGAGTCGTCAATCGAGAGCCCCTCGGAGACGCCCTTGAGCAACGACTAGAGGCACTCAAGCCGCACGTCAACGACTTCACTCCTGAAGTCTTGCAGTTTCTTCTGGAGTTGTCCGACAAACCTGCGCAAAAGTCCAGACTGAGCGATCTTGAGCGTCTGAAAGAGCCAGAGAAGGATGCCGTACCCAAACTGACTTGGCGGCAAATCGCCAAGGAAGATGGTTGGGCTCAAGAGCGCGCTCTGTGGAAGATTCTTGACCATGCTCCCAGTTCAGACGAAGAAGACTACTATGAACTCGAAGAAGCCCCTTCTGATGTTTCCGTTGCATCCCCAAGCACGGCTTCTTCAGTTCCAGACGATGCTCCGCCCACAGCACAGGACTTGGCCATCAAGCTTCCAGGCGGTGAAGAGCTCCTGAGACGGATTTTAGACAGCCAGGACTGGAGAAATGCTACCCACGATCTTGACTCTCAGGGACGACAGCAGAAGACGCCCGTGACAAGTCTTCAAATTCTCCGCGAAGTCGTATTTATGCTGCGCGGCCTGCCAACCTCTCTTTTTGACCCAGCATGTAAACCTGTTCCCGGTTACATACTGGAAGGAGTTTCATGGCAAACCTACGATGCTCTGGTGAACACCTTTTCTGAGTGTGGCCGAAAGCTCGCTCCGCTTCGCATCTACGCTGGCAAAAAGGAAAAGGAAGAACCACTTCTCCAAGTGTTCCAGGACTCACTTCAAAAAGCTCTTCAGTCATTTGACCATGAACTGACTACTATTCAAGGACGGTTTGTTGCCACTCACAAAGATGTCATTGTCAGCCTAGTGGCCATCTTAACGGAACTGGGGCCTTCATTAGCTCCGTTATATGTACTCTCCGGTATTGTGCAGCAAGTCCATCGGGAGCGCAACACGAAGGCATTTCGCTACCTCGAACTGCTGTATGACGCAGTTGGGATGGCACAAATGGAAGGCAGTCTTGACGCATACAAGCTTCTTGGGACCATCTTTCTAGATTGCTTCCAGGTCTACCTGAAACCAATCCGATTCTGGATGGAAGAAGGGGAACTCCTCGCCGGAGACCGTACCTTTTTCATCGGCAAATCATCGGCGAGGCCCCAGTTGCACCAAATATGGGAGCAGCAGTTTCACCAACTCGTCAGCCCAGAAGGGGTCTTGAATGCTCCACGGTTCCTGAGTCCCGCTGTTGATCGAATTGTTCGGGCTGGAAAGAGTATCGTGGTCTTGAAGCATCTCAAGAGATATTCACCTGTAGCAACCCGGGTGAAAGCAGAGGAGCCACCCATGGATTTTGCTGCGGTCTGCTCGGATGTTACTAGCTTTGCGCCATTCTCGGAGCTCTTTGGCAATGCCTTCAACAAGTGGATTCAAAGCAAGTATCACTCAGCATCGATCACTTTGCTTGATATCCTGTTCGACTCGTACGGGCTCTCCCGGGCATTCGACGCTCTCCGATGTCTCTACCTTATGTCCGATGGCGCTACCTCGGATGCATTTGCCTCGACCATCTTCAGACAGCTGGACAACTTCAGCACGAGCTGGAACGACAAGTTTACACTGACCGAGATTGCTCAGGAGGCATTTTCACAGTGTGTGGCCGGGCATCGCTTGTCTGCCGATATCGACCAACGGTACATTGCCGACAGTCCAGCCGCTTCCCGAGCATCAGTCCGCAGCACGCTCCCTGCTATTCGCCTCATCTACCACTTACCCTGGCCCATTCAGATGATTATCAGCCCGGCCGAGGTCAAGGGTTACCAAACAATGTTTGTTTTCCTGCTGCAGACCCGCAGAGCCATCTACCTCCTCAAGCATCCCCTCCTAGGAACCACTGCCACACCAGCCCGTCACCAGTCCACTTATTACCTCCTCCGCACAAAGCTCCTCTGGTTCTGCAACACCATAATGAGCTATCTCACCACCCTCGTCTTTGCGCCCAACATCAACAAAATGGACGAAGCCTTACAACACGCTCTGGACGTCGACGACGTCGGCGAGGTACACTCCAGGTTCCTCGACCGGATCCTGAGCGAGACCTGCCAAGGCAAACGACTTCGTCCCATCCGCGACTGCATCCTGGACGTTTACGACCTGGCTATCAAGCTGGAAGATAGTCACCAAGCTGAGATGGCCAGGCTGGAGGAAGAGCAGCAGGAGATCTCGAGGCTCTCGACCTTTTCGGCTTCGCAGCAAAAGCTACAGCAGCAAAAACGCAAGACACGAGCAGGGAGGACGGCTTCGTTGTATAGCAAGACGGGCTTAGGGGTAGGACTCGATGGGGAGGGTGATGGTGATGATGATGAAGAAGGCGAGAATGATGCTGCTGCTAGAAACAACAAGTGGAAGAGAAGTATCATGGAGGATGCCCGCGGGCGTGGTAACTCGACTGCTGCAGTCATGAAGGAAATGCACAGCGACTTTGAGCGACACCTCAGGTTTGTCGCAAGCGGATTGAGGGGTGTGGCGAGGGGGAGCAGAGAGGATGCGGCGGCCAAGTGGGATTTGTTGGCAGAGATGCTTGAGGGGGGAATTAAAGAGGCGAGACATGTTTTCTGATCAAGATAGCTGGCTGTTACTAGGGTGTTCGTTACTTGGGGTGGGGTATCATCAGTGATTGTAAGGAGGTTGTTAATGCTATATAAAGAGTGCTGCGTATGTTCATTATATCTAGGTCGTGAGCAGTGTAGCACGATATCAAGAGTCTGATGGTGCATGCGAAGTGATTTTGTTTTACCGTGAACTGGAGTCTAGAGCATCGCGAGACCGTTCATCTGATGACTCGTGAAAGCCGGTTCGTAAATGACTATATAAGCTTAGCTTCCGTCTGGAGTAGATGACAACAGTCCAGACTTGGCCCAGTGGCTGAGTGGTGCCCGCGTTGCCTCTACGAAACTGAAAAGGCCATCGGTTCGCTCACTTGAAGTTGTCGGCAAACTTTTCTGGAGGGTTTTCCACTACTATGACTATGGGAGAGTTGTCTGGGAAAGTCTTGGGCACTCTCCCATGGTGGCCTGGGCTCACTCACCGTAGCGAAGGTCAGCGAGATCCCCAAGTACAGCGAAATATCTACAGCGAACATTTACAGCGGAGTATCTACTGCCATGTATTCACTGCCATCTATCTACTATATATCCGCCATTTACTGCAAAATATCCACCTCGACATGTCCAACGAGTATATGTATGTGAGTCTTTCCAAGCGGCTTCTTGGTGCCATTCCTGGGGGTAAAAAAATTTTTGGGTTTTTTTTAGGGGAGTTACTTGGGCACTCTTCCTTGATTAGCGTACCCGTATTGGCGTGGCTATGCTACGGCCCAGACTACAGAGTATGACACTATCACGATACCTCCAGCCGGCTTCACTTATGACTTGGGGGTCCGTGAAGTGATAGGAGGCTCGCCCTATGTTAACATGGTAGCGACCATGAAATAACTTTTCAGCAGCCTTGTAAGCTCGTTCGGTTTCCTATTTCTATCGCTTCCACTGAGAGCCGCAAATTCCAAGATCATGTCCTCAAGGTGTGCGAAGAGAGGTCCGAACATACTTGAACCAAAAGAGTCCAAGAGGTATTTGATCTTTTTCTCTCGCACTTCAGCTGCCCTGGTTTTGTTCCGCGATAGTTTCTATCTTTCCTCGACTGTTCGTTGAATATGTCAAGGAGTATCATTCAGTCAATCTTCTCGGCCCTTTCACATAACCGACAAGACTCCCTTCAGCTTCAACTGAAATCTTGAAAAGTCTATACACTTGCACAAGCATCGGACATATCGACCTATTACCGACATGCCGTTGGGCCCTACATGATGTCGCAACATAGTTGTGCCACGCACCAGCAGCGAAGTTCTATACGTTCTATGCAAATGCATCGAAGGGTTCTTTAGGAACTTCCATCCAACCTTCCATCCAACCATCCACTTTCGTTCCATTTGGCTGCCGTGTGTACTGTGTACCAACCACCCCACAAGGCAACACACCACATATTGACAACCTAGGTACCGCAGAGAAAACATTCCGTGCTGCTTCTAGAAGGTCAGCCCGCTGCGGCGTTGCGGCGTGGCAGACACTGAGACGCATGTCAGATTTGTTGGCGTTAGACCGTCTCAGCCGTCATATGCGTGGAAGGATGACAGAAGTGCGGCAGAAGCAGAATAACATGTTGGATCAAAACCCATGGTTGCATAAGGTGCTGCAGGTGGCAGCCATGCTGCGGGGAAGATGAAGATGAACTGAAATGGAAAGAAGGAAAAAAAGAAAAGAAGAAGAAACGAAGGTTCAGAAAGGTGGGGGGTTTGTGCAGGTAGGTAGGTAGGTCGGCGTAAGCCGGGCGTGAGGTGGAGGTGGAAGTTATGATTTCGCGTGTGATGGCGGTTGTGATTGCGGTTTGTGTGTGATAGTGGCTTTTCAAAGGCTGCATTTGTATCATCTCTTACTACATACCTATAGCGCAGTGCAGTGTTTGACGTCCGTTGTCCACTTATGTCATGAATCTATCTAATGAGGATAGACACATCCAATGCCAACCTCTTGATTTTGAAATGCGAGAAAGGCTCATGGGCACAGTGATAAAAGGTGAAGGTGGCCGACAAGGCGATTACTTCGCGAAACTCCGCGAAACTCAACTTGCACATTTTCTCTCCCTCCCACCGTGACTAAAATGCTAGGTCAGGAACAGCCCTGTTGGTCAACACATTAATCAACCAATCACTGACTAGTTTATGCCAAAGTCACGGTACAGCTACCGTAGATACAATATAGGAATGAAGACGGATGGATTCGCTGCTGTGTCACTCTGTTGTCCTATTTCCAGAAACCTCCCGCCCATTAACCAACTCCTCCCGTGTCTTCTAGAATGATGAGCTGATGTTCCCTTCCATCAACGGCCAATTACAAGTATACCGGTACGGCACGACCGAACAAGAACGACCGAACAAGAGAAGGCACAGTATCTAGGTATTTGATGCGGCGTGCTCTAGATTGAAAGCTACCTTTCGACCTTCTGAGGACTTTTTCCAGAACATTTTTGGTTGAGGACCTGAAGGGGGCAGTCGGGTGAGGGCATACCTAGGTACCGTCCAGTGTGGGGGAGACGGAAAGAAGACCGGCAAGGGCGGGAGAGAGAAGCGATCCAGATTCCGACGAGGAGCCGCGCAAGAATTGAAACTGACAGAAGAACCAGGGGAGAACAAGTGGGATGTCGAGGTCGGTACGTACGGTTGCATCAGGTTCACTTTTGCGGAAAGAGTGACTGCAATGGTACCTACCTTACTGTACAGTAGTACCTGATGAACTGACCTTAAAAAGTCAATCGACGGACGGTGAACGGAAGTAAAGTTCTTTGCTTCCTTCTTTCATGTTTCCAGAACTCCACGATCCCGCCTGCCTGCCCTTCTGTACTTGCATATCATCTGTACTTTGTACCACGGTACCAAAGGTGAGACACATGCGGTACAGCTGTACCTACCTACCTACACCATGTTCAGACGGGCGGGAGGGAGGTGGTGCGGCAGAAGTACCTCTCTCCATGGTACTAAAGCGGTTACGCTTCGTAACCGCGCGAACCACGGCATATCGTATTCTTACAGCAGAGGGAGGGCCTTGCAGAACTGTTTCCAGGTTCAAGTTGTGATCGGAGATGTCAAATGTGCAGCAGTCTGTGCAATCTACCTAGGTACCTACATGCTTCCAGTGTTCCTACCCACCTACGGTAGTCTACCTTACATATACGTACGTACGTATGTACCGAAAAGCTGCCGGAAAACATACCAACGGCAGGTAAGCCACTTCAAGTTTACGGTATTTGTGGTAACCCAGCAATCTCGTTTAACCCTCCCTATTTACCGAATCCCTTCTACATATCTGACCACCCGAACCATTCGGTATCATTCATTCAGTGTCATCGCGTTCGTCGAAGGTTTCTGGAAAACAGCTGAAGTGAGTGCTACATGCCAAATGAATGTGTGAACTGTTATGATGCATTGCATGTGCATGTAGTATGTGTGATGAGTTGGAGGTACATGGCATGCATGGAAGGATATCGCATGATATTCTAGAAGCAGCAGCAGCAGCAGTGACAGCCAGCCAAGTACGGTACGTACGTAGCCAAGCGAAGGCATGCACTACGGCATGCAAGCCAAGAGGGCTGACGACCTTTCGTTACCCTTCGTTACCGAAGACACACAGCGTGGCACTAGTGCGAGCGCGCAATGGCAGCCTCATTGGGAAGAACTTGACTTGGGTAGGGACCTAGGTAGGAAATGATGAGCAATGAAGCTGGTTCAGGTTGTACGGTGGATACTACTACTACTTTTTCCTTGCTTCATTTTGGTACAAAGGACCTTCAAACAGATATTCGGCTTGATAGGTCCCCAGCCAGGTGAATACAATGTTGTGGATGATAGACAGACAAGCGGTTTCGAAAGGTGAGGCGATGGGGCAGACGGGTTAATATTATTGATCGGCAGTGCGACTCTTGAGGCAGCCATCCAGACCGAATCATAGTCTCGCAGTTGCGAGAGTGAAGTACCACGAACAATACATGCTTAGCTCCAGGCTCCCTCTCCAATGACTATCTACCACTAAGCCTCCAGTTCCTGGTACCCTCACCGAAGCGAGGATGTCGCGTCATCTTCCGCCCCCAACTAAAAATGCAGTAGTTTTTCCAAGCCACCCCTTGAAGGACAAAAACGCCGACACGCATCTTGCGCGTGTATGTGAAAGATATGAAAACATGTTTATCATAGTAAACAGGGGAAAGGAAAATAGACGATGCATCTAGCCGCCAGCTCTACCCAGATACAGAGGTGTCCTAAACAATGTGATCGTTGACCCACGAGCTGTAGATGTTGCGAGAGGTCGACAGAAAGAAAGAGAAGAGAGCGATGTCCGACGAATGGTGACCCCCAAGAGGGGATGAAATCAGTAAGAAAATAGCAAGAATCGAACAGGGAAAAAGAGAATCGACTGAAAGCGTGCACTACTTCTTTCCACTCTCGCGGTCACCCGTACACCTTAGCCGTACCGCATAGCCCCCCTTCATTGTACACATATCTTCATAATAAGAAAAGTAGAGGGCATAGTCTGGTCGCAGAGTCAAAAATACTCTGCACACCCATGTTCGTAAAAGAACTTATCGTCATAGGAAAAACCCTCCAAAGCGGCGTCTCCCTTGTTCAAGCTGCCATGGTTCTCGGCGCATGGGCCGTTGGTAGTCCGGCATAGATGCAGTCCATATCCCTGGGAAATCTTGCCTCAAGAGTTTCGCCCATTTGCCAGCTTAGTATACCTTCCGAACCTGTAGCTACAGCCTGTTTTCCGTCTCTTTCATTTCCATAGGGCTGGTCAAGGCCGTCGTCTGGATTTGCCACGTAAACCCGAATCCCGCCAAGCTCAAACTCATACTCTGACATATTCCTTCGTCCTCTTCCGACAAGCGGTACGACAAGAGCATCGTCCAGACCCTCAGTTCTCTCCCTGAGAGCTACCAACCTGTCCAGTCGGTGATCCAAAATTGTCTTGTGTGCCCTTGCATCTTCCCATACCGTATCCAGAATCTCCAAGACACTTCGTGCAATGGCAAGACCGTCAATCAGCCCCGGAAGATCTTTGATGTGTCCCTCCGCGGAAAGCACATCCAAAGCCTCGAGAACAGCGAAGCTGGTAAAGGGTGGTGGCATACTCGTGCCATCGGGGCCAGCGTTGCCAGTAGCCCTGATATGGTCTGCTACCGTGCACACCAGGCCCAGCAACTCATGAGCATTGGTGCGGGCTATGCATGCATGCTCGAATCTCTGCGCTGACGAAGTCGAGAAACGTGGATGAATATGTCGATGCGCTTTAACCATAGCGAGGTGGTAAATAAGATGCATTAGGATAAGGGATCCCTTATTTTCCCTTTGCACGTTGTCGAGTGTGGCGGCAGAGAAAAGAAAGCCAGGGGAGAGTGAAGTTCTCCAGCTTCGAGCCGGGTTAGTAGGCGTTGATGGAATTTGGCCATAACATCCACCTCATCTTCTGAAAGACGATTACCGCAGTGCGCAGTACGATATATCAAGGCCATAACCTCTCCCCAAAGGGCTACCACCTGAATCAGGCAGCCCATCATTCCTACTTTCGTCCCCTTGTCGACTATCTGCGTCTCACTGTGCTTCTGGTCTGGCTCAGGAAGACTATAGGAGTTGAAGTTCTCAAACGCCGAGACCGGCACGGAGACGTCCTCTTGTTCTTCGAACGAGCCGATATCCATTGGAAGCCGGAGGAAGATGTCAGCTGGGTTGGTGACAGCCATCCGGGTTGGAAAGAGGCCATTGAGTCTCTCTAATAAGAAACATGACCAAAATGTCCTTCTCCTGCACTCTGCAAAGCCAGCCCGTGTCAATCCATACGGGAAGGATTTGAGTCCTACGTCAGGCGACTGATCCAACTCCAGATTCAGCTGCAAATAGGTCGCTGCCGAAACAGCGCTACTGGACATTTCGTTGGCATCGATAGGCCTCGAAACAGCCATGTAGTAGAGGGAAAGGAGGATTCTTGCCTGCACAAGCTGTAGTGACATTGTTGCGTGCTCTGTAGCGTAACGAGCTACCTGAGCATAGTGGTTGATTTGCTCCTTCCTAGGGTCGAGCCCGCTGGACCCAGCGGTCGACAGGAGGGAGCCAAGAGCGAGGATGCTATAGACGAGCATCAGATTTTCTGGGGACTTGTTTCTATGGTGAGCATTGTTCTGTACCCAGGTTTTGAACGCCTTCTCGGGGAGGAATCGGAAGGTCGTGGCATCGGTGGAGACGAAAAAAGAAGTTATGGTGCTGATCACGGACTCAGGATCGGAGACATACGGGTCTATTTGCCATGCACGGCACACTGCATCCTCGTGGACGCGGGGAAGTTCAGGCTGACGGTGCCAGGACAAGTTGGAGCGCATCATGTGGTCCATCTCCGGTGCCATAGGCGGCCGGTGTCCCCCTGCGGGAGCATAGTGGTCGTAACCTATGCGAAGCCGTTTTGACGGCACGGATGAGGCCATCTCGGGACTTGCTGGGCGAAGAGTGGTGCGTGGTGAAACAGATTCACTCGAGTGCGCGCTCGTCCTTACATACTCGTGCGGTGGTGGTCGAATTAGGCTGGGCAAGCGACGAGCATCGTCAACTTCGGCGGGCGGAGTCGAAGGCGAAGTATTGTGTCCACCTCTCGGGCTATATTGCACATATTGATATTAGACGGGGATCTGTGATCACGCAGAACACGAGCAGCTCCTGGGTAGGGGACAGAACCACTTACGCATTCTTGAACTTGCAAGTACGCCCAAACTTCTCGCATTGCGCGCATCTAGGGTAATCGGGATCACACTTGATCTTCTTCTCCCGGCAAGTGATGCAAGCGATTGCCAGCCTCTTTCTCGGCTTCCCAGCTTTTGTCACCCCCCAATGAGCGTTGACCTTCTCACCATCAATGATATCTTTGCAACGGGTTCCATCGTCGTAGATGAAATACGTTTCACCATCGACCTTTTCCTCCCTGACAAATCTCGGCAAGAAATGTGTTCCTGTCCAAATCTTGGGGCCCAATCCATCCTTGCCCACGATGACCTCGGAGGCACCGGTGCTAGCTGGTGTGGGTGGTTGTGCAGCCGATTGCTCGCTACGTAAACCCAAGCCTTCCTCACGGCCCGGGATCCCGTTCGAAAGATGGCTATGGGGTCGCTCAGTGGGCGATGATCTGTACGATGCGTACTCCCGGTTTCCCAGCCCGTAGTCTTGGCCAATTTCGTGACGCAGCGACCATTTGTTCCCAGCGCTGAAACCAGACTGAGAGTGAGGCCTTTGAGGCTCCGACTCCCTGACTATGGGTGATAGAGGGCCTGGGAGTGCCCGTAACGGTGGCGGAAAATGGGGCCGTTCATCAAGCCTGGGATCCGGTGTACTGCGTGGCTGCGAGGTCAATGACGGAGGAGGGAAATAAGAGGAAGATGCCGAGTAAGGTCTATCCCAGCTGCCAGCTGGGCATCGGGGATGATCAAGCGGCGACGATGATGTTGTGTACAGTCCTGGACGGTCCGAGAACGTCGGCGAATGTAGTGGGCGAAGTTGCGTTGTAGATGGGCCAAACAGGCTACTCAAAGAGGGCAACTGCTGCCGCCCAGCGTTCTGGTTGGTGCCGACGTCTTTCCGGGCTTGTGCCTCATCGGGACTGTTTGCGGAGGGCATATCGCCTGTCCTAGATACGGGGTCATAATGGGACATGGGCGGGGAGATTGGAACGGCGGAGTTCCGGGACCGCTCTTGGAGTTTCCTGAAGTTGAAGGATGATATATCTGAATTCGGCAGCTCGGGGGGAGTCGTGGGAATGGATAGCCGGTAATAAGTGTCGAGGCCAGAGGTAATACCCATTGAGAATAATGTTGGTTCAGCTCTGATAGGTTGGTGTCCTTGTTGTCATTTCACACCTCAAGAACCAGGCGGCTATGACTAGAGGCAGCCAAGGGAACCAGTGAGTTCTGATTCCTAATATGTAGCAAGCCCAACGGTCTGCTGAAGCACACAAAGAGTCGAACAAGGCGGCTGGCAGCTAGACGTTGGCCGAATAAAGGTGCGTAGGCGGCACAGTTCACTCACAAAGCCCTTGTATATGAGCACATGGAGAGAACTACTTAGTCGAGAGCTTAAATCTGGATGAGCATAAAGGTGAGTGCGTGGGATCGTGAGTGACGATGTTGGTTCTGACGATGATGATCGGGACTAGCGAAGGATTGGATCGAGGCGTCAACGGTTACAAGATCCTCGGGAGAGGGTGTTGCTAAAGTTGATGTTTGGGATGAAGGAGAGTAAGAAGGACGAAGTCGAAGTGGGAAGCCGAATGAGAAGCCGGGCAAGAGCGCTTGTGGCTGAGAAGGCTGTAAGTGGAAAGGGTTCGGATCTTGTATGGGGGTCCTGTGCATCTCCCGGCAAGAGCCTAGACGTCCTGGTCGGCCCCAATCTGGTGAAGCAAGCCGCTGTGGGATCCACAGACGAGGCAGGCTAAGAAGGAGACCACAGGACAGGGCTAAAACTGCTAGTGCTTTGTAGGGCCCACGGAAGGGGGGGGGGGGGGGGCCTGCGTAGCTGGGGTAGTGGAGCCAGTGTCCAGGAAACCGAGTAAGGGGAAGGGGCACCGACGGGGGCCGCAGTGAATGGTCTGCTGCCTCGCTGCAAGACCTATCTGACCCGGGGGTTGGTTGGCAAGTTTTACTGTGTTTAAACCTTCACACGTGCCTCTGAGTTGTGCCGGTTTTCGTGGCCTCTTTCGTCCTGTATCCCAACATGGAAGCTTATTCGACGGAGAACGACTATTCAAAGCTCGTGTCCGATGCGTTCCGGCACAGCAGCGGCGTGGCGTCTTGTCCCTCTTTGCGTGCAGAAACAATGCGGAAGATAGGAAGCATATACACTAAAAGATACGCGAACTAGCCAGTATACAGTTGGTGTTCGGGAGTTCGATCTTTCAGTCTTGAGCTAGCCTGAGAAGGTGCTGGCATGGGGAAATGAGCGAGTCCGTAGAATGGTCTGATATGACCAGAAACGAAGGCTTGGGACTTTGTCAAACCAAGGGAACAAGGAAGAGAAACCAGCAAGTCCCCGGCATCGACTTTGGCGACCCTGCCTTTGCAATCCATCTGCCTGTTCCTCGTGAACTGCTAGCCGCATGGGATTATGCCGTAAACTTAGTCTGTAGAGAGGAGGGGCGTGGGGAAAGCATGTAAGGGGGCGTCGGAGCACCACGGGAGTTGCACGGACTGGAGTTCTCAGCAGTGGGTACGAAGAGTGTCCGCGCACGGCGGAGGGAGATGTGATGCCATGACGGGCTACCACGAGGCAAAAGAGGGTTCGGGAAGATAAGGGGCTGCTTAGTGGTTGAGGTTCGTTAACGGATAGTGGGAGGCTTTGGCCTGGGGGATCCGGGATGACAGGGGACGGGGATTGGGACCGGGTCTGTCAGTCCAAACAGGGGACGCAGCCAGGACCAGGGGCACGCTACTGTGTAAGATGCAAGTCCAATGCCCAGCCGCCAAGGACGATGGAAAGCCGTAAGAAGTTGAAGACTTTTTTTTTCCCTTTCGGCTTGTGAGGTGACGGGGAATTGGAACTGGAACTGAAGCTGGGGCTAGGATGGGCGAGAGCTGGATGGAACCACTGGCGAATACCGTACCGTGACACTAATCGCGGGATGACCGATTCATCTGTTCAAGATGATCTATCTTGTCTCGAGTAGAAGGTGGCCCGCGTGGGCGAGGAACGTCGTGTGGGTGTGCGGGAGCAACGGGTCTGGCAACGACCCTGATGACTTCTGTATCGATACCTGCCTGGCCTGTCTGCCCTTGCGTGCCTACCGTACAGCGTCGTAGTGTGTGCGGTACACTACCAGGCTCGTAGGTACCTCTACCATTTACCTTTCTGTGCTCGCCGGAAATGATACCCTGGACCAGAAGACAAGATACCGGGGAGGGCAGGTAGGGTAGGAAAACAAAAAGCGCCTGCAGCTGGAGCCAAATAGCGAGTGATCATGGTAATGGCCGCCTGTCTGCCCCAGTCCTCGTCGCATCAGCCTGTCACCCTGCAGTTGGCGAAGTGGCTCCCACACACAGCTCCAACAGGACGGCACTTGCAGCCATTTTGTGCTGTGAGGATGGTGTAGTGTAGGTTACGCAGTCGAGGTAACCGTCCGCGCAGGATGGGCACTGGATCTCGGCATCGTAGTTCCGCACTGTTTCCAGACGGGCTAGAAGGGTGTTCGTTATGCCTTGCCCCGGGAACCTGAAGAAGCATAAAGATTACCGTCCTACTGCCTCAAACACGCCACGCAGCAGCAGCGTGGCTCGGCGAACAGTGAATCAAAGGACGGATAGGATGGGGCAAGGCGCAAAGTGCAAAGGAGGAAGGAACACGGCAACGCTGGATGATGTCTGGGGCATCGGGAGATGGGGACATACCTTTGGCTCGCTTTGGTTTCCTCGAGGGGACTGGGAAAGAGACCCATGGGGGAACATGTGAGGAACAAGAGGGGGCAGACCTCTAGTGTAGGGGTGAAGCCATTTCTACCGATGAAGGACACCGTTGGTGGTTACGGCCAAGTATCTCCAAGCATTACCGTCCGGTACTTGCAAAGTAGTCCCACCCACCGCAAAGTGGCCATGCTGCAACTTTGCTTGTGTAGGCCGGCAGCAACATCGATTGGCAGCCTGTGGTTTCTTCTGATGAACCGTTCCGACTGCCTTTCTTGATCTGTGCCGCCGCATTCTGCTGCTAGTGCTGCGTAATACCGGACTTGCAACTATCCACACGCAAAGCAGAGGGAGCCGAAACGGGATTTGGCTTCCTTGACGAGCTGACACTAAGCTGGCCGGCGATTATAGTGCCGACGGGTGCCAATTGTTGCAAAGGGCTGCCCCGTCACGGCGGATAGCTTCGTACGATGATGGACTCCGCCAAGGCCAAAGCTTCCCCCCGTTGGACTAGAGGATTGCTGTGTCCTGTATGTCTTGTCTCTGACTGGAATAGCCGGTGGCGTCTTTTCTTCCCATTTTTTTCCGTTCTTTCCCTGGTCGGCATGTCTCTGATGCCGTGCTGTCACTAGCGAGATGAGACAAGATCATGCCGCAGCACAGTCGACATCCGACGACTTTCTTTGTTGCTGGTCCAGTCTCTGGTCCAGCCGATGATGGCTGATCGGCTCGCTGCCATCTTGTCCCCAAATACGATGACCATGACGCTGGTGATGCCGATAATGGTGCAGCAGGCACAGTGCTGAGGACGGCCAGTGTGGCAGCCTGCTTCTGGGTCATTGCAACGAGGGGTTGGCTCGGTTGGAATCCATACACGGAAAAGTTGTTTTTTTTGTTCAAAAAGGTTGCCGGGAGAAAAGAAAAGTGTCCCCGGCTGTTTCCCCGAAGAAGAGGGGAAGTGGAAGCTTTGGCGGAGCTCACCTTGAACGCGCTAACAGCTCCCTTGCTAGTGCATACCGCAGACGCAAGGTACACTAGCTCGATTAGCTGTAGCCATGGGTAGGGATCTGTTAGCGTGCTGTTAACAGCTCCACTGCTTAAAGTGTCCGAGTCCGACCCTTCCAGTTCCATTCCGTTTCAACCACCTGGCACAGATCCCTCCAAAAGGAAGGAGAAGCTCGTGAAGCCCTCACCGAGTCACCTTCCTCACTCAGCGCACTCTTAGCGGGCAGGTGAAAGGTACCCGGAGGCTGCATGTGTTAAGAGCGCACCGGCTCATGCATGGAAAAAGTAACATTGGTGCCTGTCGAGGTACATTGCCGGCTGTTTGCTGCAGGTGTTCATTTCCCAAGCTGCAAGGCCAACGTTCCTTCCCTCATCCACTCCATCGAGGTCAGCGTCAGCTTCCATTCCCTCCTTCCTGACACCGATGGGCACCAAGACTTGAGGCCGGCGCTTGCTGTTACATTGAAGCAAGTCGCCTTCTGAAATTGCTGGAGGTATCCGGCTCTTCTTCCATTCCCTTTCTTCTCCGTCCCCCACGACATCTTTTCGGTCAATTACTATCATCGAACGGGGTCTTATTGCAGCCAAGTTTCAGGATCGCGCGATAACCATTCCTTACAGACGAAGGTACCTATCTCGACATCAACAGGACTGCGCCACCGAGACACATGTTTCCAGAAGACCATGCCACAACGACGCATTGTACAAAGATGGCCGACAGTGCCTCTGTTTGTATCCAACAATGCTGGACGAGAATGCCTTGCATCTCCAGCCGCCCTTTGGACATAAATGGCCAATATCTCGGCAACACCTGCTTTAAGCCAGTAAACTCACCTCTCGGCCCGGCATCCATCTGCCTCTCAGATCATCAGATTCCCCCCTCCCGGCGGCGGAGGTGTTCCCGCTGTCACCAATAACTCAGCATGTAACTACTATCATAGTGTAGTGTACGATATGCGTTCATACCAGCGGGATGAGGTGGGACATCTCCCGCCTGGGTTGTACGCTACACAACAATAGTCTCTTGGGCCCGCGCGTCTGTTGCCATCATCACCGGGCTACCCACATAATATTGCCGTGGTACGCTGTACAAATGGACGGAATACGCAGATGCCCTGTCCTCCCCGAAGTTGTCCTCCCTGTCTTAGCCGCTTCCTCGAACAGTGTGCAGGTCACGATGCGACGGCAGGATAATAACCTTGCAGTGGACATGGATATCGAAGGGGGCTAATAAAGAAGAACGGGCTCGGCATTGGACGTCCTCACTAGCATCCCAATCTCCTGGGATCTGTGGAAGGCGGAGAGCCTGGACATACAAACACAGACACACATTGCGTTGCCTTGCCTTTGTGCCTGTACAACTTGAACATTCCCCGGCTGGGGATGGACAGGCGGACGACGGGCTCA